GGTGCCTGGAGTTACTCTCGTATCAGTCGAGTCATTCTATACTCGTTTTATAAGAACATCACGCTGTATATGACTCAATTCTGGGTAAGTTGAACGCGTACCCTCGCCTCTTCATCCACAAACTGACATCTCTTTTCTCAGTACTCTTTCCAAAACGCCTTCTCCGGAGAGGTCATCTACGAATCATGGACTCTCTCCTTGTATAACGTTCTGTTCACTGTTTTACCTCCGTTCGCCATGGGAATCTTCGACCAGTATATTTCCGCTCGTCTACTCGATCGCTACCCCCAGTTGTACCAACTGGGTCAGAAGGGTCTTTTCTTCCGCAAGCACAGTTTCTGGGCTTGGATTCTGAATGGATTCTTCCACTCACTCCTCCTCTATCTCGTTTCCGAGCTTCTATTCTTCTGGGACCTGCCCATGGCAGATGGAAAGGTCGCCGGTCACTGGGTATGGGGAGAAGCACTATACACAGCCGTTCTCGCCACCGTTCTAGGAAAGGCAGCACTGATCTCCAACACCTGGACGAAATACCATTTCATCGCAATTCCCGGCTCCATGTTCCTTTGGTTGGTTTTCCTCCCAGCTTACGGCTACGCTGCCCCGGCCATCGGCTTCTCGCAAGAATACTACGGCACCGTCCCCGTTCTCTTCAAACTTCCTCAATTCTACCTGATGGCCCTTGTCCTCCCATGTATCTGTCTGATGCGTGATTATGCCTGGAAGTACGCGAAGCGCATGTACTACCCCCAGCAATACCACCACGTGCAGGAAATCCAAAAATTCAACGTGCAGGATTACCGTCCCCGGATGGAACAGTTCCAAAAGGCCATTCGCAAGGTTCGCCAGGTCCAGCGTATGCGCAAACAGCGTGGCTATGCTTTCTCTCAGGCTGATGATGGTGCTCAAATGCGTGTCTTGAACGCATACGATACGACCAAGGGTCGTGGTCGTTACGGAGAAATGGCCAGCTCCAGACCTCCGGGTTTCTGAGTGCTGTCTTTCTGTCTGTTTGTTGACCGAACTGCATACCCTTTTTTGTTTTTGTTGGGGTTTTTGGCCTTGAGTGTGTGGAGCTGGCTGTCTGTTTTTTTCTTCCATCATCTTTTATTTATGCTCGATATTGCATGGGATACCAAGTGATTGGTAGGGTTGTAAACATATACTTTTTATCCTTTTTTTCCCATCCCACTTTTGACTTCTCTTCTTCTGGCTTGGTTGCGGTGCTATCAGGTTGGAGGGAGTCTTGTGACATACTATCTACGTGATGTGTTCTTAGCTTATCTCAATTGGACATGAAATGTGGCAATGCCTTGACTATTCTCTTAATCTGTAGTCTTTTCTTCATGCTTCCGTTAACTAATGGCGGTTAATGCCAGCTGGTCTCTCTATACTGGCGGCCCGGGCCACGAAGGGAAGCTGACCGGCGACTTGTTGAGATGGGCCGAGACTTCGGCCACTAGACTCTGCCGCCGAAGGGTCCTCTTCTCCACATTCGACCCAGGTTCAGGTATAAATCTCGGAGTATAGATTCCTTCTCCAACCTTCTCTTTGAACTGGCATTTACCCTACACTGGAATCTCCCCCCCTCCCCCAATGAATCCCCCCCCGTGATGACCCCCAACCACGATCCCGAAAGCACCGATGCCTCAATCACGACTCGCAACCCAACAGACTGGACATCCCAAAACGACAAAAAGAACCCAAGAAACTGGTCCCGTCTACGAAAAACCATCTCAACCCTAATAATATGCTCCATCGGATTCACAACAACGCTCGGAGCCTCAATCTACGCCCCCGGTCATGAACAAGTCCAACAAGAATTCCACGTCTCGACAACAATCTCCTTACTCCCACTTTCAGCCTACTCACTCGGTCTCGCCTTCGGACCAATGATTTCCTCCCCGCTTTCCGAGACCTTTGGCCGTAAATTCGTCTATCTGCTCACGCTCCCGCTGTGCGATGTCTTCATGCTGGGCGCGGGGTTTGCGCGGAATATCGCTTCGTTGATTATTTGTCGGTTTCTCGCGGGCCTTTTTGCTGCGCCGGGCGTTTCTGTTGCTGCGGCTACGATTTCGGATTTTACGGCGCCGGATCAAAGAGTCATTCCTCTCGCGGCGTACTATGCTGTGCCGTTTATTGGGAGTTCTCTTGGGCCTTTGATTGGGGGGTTTGCCGTCCAGGGTGAGGGGTGGAGGTGGACTTCTTGGGTTGTGCTTATTATGGCTGGTGTTTTTCATCCGTTGGCCTTGTTTTTGAGGGAGTCGTATAAGGCGACTATTTTGCAGAAACGGGCGAGGAAGGAGTTGATTGTTGGGGATGGGAATGGGGATAGGGATGGTTGGGTTGGAGAGTCTGTTACGACTGCTACTGAAACGAATTTGTTGCGATTACGTCGATTTGTCACTTCGACGATTGCGAGACCGATCCATATGCTTACTACTGAGCCGCTCGTTGGGTTTATTTGTTTGTATACGGGCTTTCAGTTTGCGCTTTTGTATACGTTTGTCGTGGCTAGTCCCTGGGTATTCAAGACGGTGTATGGATTCTCGTTGAGCGGGCAGAGTTTATCTTTCCTCGGACTTGTGGTCGGGTGTCTTGTTGCTCCTTTCATTCTGATCGCGATGGATTCCATTCTACGCGATAGGAAGATGATGCAGCAAGGGCAGGGAACACAGACCTTTAACCCAGAGCAAAAACTGTATACGGCGCTTTACGGCAGTCTTGTACTGCCGATTGCTCTCTTTTGGTTTGGATGGTCCGCTCGACCGGAGGTTCACTGGATAAGTCCGATTATTGCACAGGGGACTGCTCTCCTTGGTAGTATCCTCATTTATGTGCCTTGCAATTTCTACATGCTGGATGTGTACGGCTCGAAGTATGGGGCATCAGCTAGTGGGGCTTCGTCGCTGTCGAGATATACTCTCTCGGCGGCTTTTCCACTTTTCGTTACGCAGATGTATGAAGCTCTTGGAGTGGGATGGGCCACGAGCGTTTTGGGATTCGCGGCGCTGATCATGGCGCCGATACCCTGGTTGTTCTATTATTTTGGCCCGCGGCTGCGAGCGAGAAGCTCCTATGAACATGGTACCTGATTTACTTTAGAGATAAATATGATATTGAAGAGACATTTGCATGCTCTTTGTGACTTAGTAGCGTCCACGATACTACTAGTACCTACTAGGTATGGATCGAGCGCCTCGTCACCTTCGTAGTTCCACTGGCACTTTTCTAATGGACCCGAGCTTATATTTACCCACCTGAATGAAAATGGCCTAATTGAATAATTGATTTCCTCTGGATCGATGCTACAGAGGCGGGGGGAGTGTTGGCCCCGCGGGGTTTACCTTTCTGCAACGGGTGATTCAATTATTGTAATGAGAGCCTGGTGGATAGGAATCGAGTGCATTGAATACCCGATACTAAGTCTAGAGAGAAGGAAAAAGAAAAGAGATGAAACAGAGAGGTGTGGCCTCACAGGAAGGCATGAGAGCCGCACTGGTCCCGATTAGGTAAAGTAGAGAATGGTGACCCCGTAATGTAGTATACGCTATGCAATAGCAACGTATTTTACTCAACGATGCCCGCAAAAACAACCTAGAAAGAAAAGTCAAACCTACAAGCCCTTCTTTCTATGCTCACTTCATGAAATTATCTTCTGCAGAATTTTGAGGTCCAATGACAGCTCGAGCCCACCATAACATCTGATGGAAAGTGCTCGTTTTCTACGTCTCTTTGATCCTCCTTTGTTGGACTCGCCATTGGAATAATCATAGCATATATACTGAAATTTATATTTCGACGAATCAAGGCCTGCAGAGAAAGGCGAAGTCGGCTAGATACGCTTCCAAACTTCGAGTTGAATGAAAGGAATGACAGCACCTCGCCTGACAACCTTCCCAGTTTCTGCCTATGTGGGAGATATCAAACTAGCACTCGCGGCTACGTTCCATTCACCACATATGTGACAACCATACCTGGTCACATCAGTTCGGATATAGATCGAGGTATAAAATCCGGATTGGCAGATTTCCAGGAGCTACAGGATCTTGAAGCTGCAATACCTCGGCACCACGCCCTTTGATCCCATACAACCGATTGAGAGCAAGATCAAGGCTACATACGGTCTTTCAATTTTTAATTTGTGTCCTCCATTTAAAGAATATAGCTTATATCTCAAGTTTGCTTCAAGTTGCTGCGTCACAATATGCTAAAAGAATGATTCATTTGAATATTGCTCGGTACTCACGAAGAAAAATCTTTCGATCTGTTCCCGAGACGTCTGAGTCTGCTCTGGGACCTATCGCGGTACAACTGCGATCTTGTCACGTCGGAGAATTTGAAATTTGCAGATAAAGTCATTGAAGACCAACCTAAACCAAGCTTTACACGAAGCTTATGGTTTGCGATCCAAGCTACTGGGCAAGTCGAGTGGGTCACGGTTAGTGGAGCGGCCCCGAGTACGACAGCGTGGGAGATCTGGCTCAAATTAGCACACAATAACCGGGCAAACCTCGAATGGGATGCAGTTGGTGAAAAAGACCGATTGATGAAAGAAGCGCAAAAAAGCTCCCAGCCAACAGTATCAGTGTTTGTTCGAGAGGAGTCTGCATGACGAGGGAGGTGATATGTACATAAGCCGGTTGAAGCCATAAGCTGCCCATTCCCCGCTGCGTGGTACTGCTAGAATATCAAGTATCTGCAGGGACAATAATAATAAGGAAATTATTCTTGGAGAAAGATCCTGCGTGCTGCATTTGTCTCTTTGCCGTGATACGAACAATCGGATACCTTATTTAGATCAAGCCCTTAGCAAAGAACAGGCCCATGTAAAGACAATATGAAGGGATTGCTTTCCACCTGGAAATCGGATCGACCCCATGAACTTGAAGATAGTAAGAATTTCCGAGCCATTCATCTTAAGCTGCCCCGGCGCCTTGAGGAAAGCAAACATCAAGTTTGACCTGGCAGATTGAATAGCACGAAGCCAGAGCGTGCCTTCATACTTCAGGCTGTTTCTTGCCATCGAGCCCACTGCTACTTGTCGAAGACTGATAGATACCACTGTACCCATCAACTGTTGTATTCAATTCCTCGATTACAAGCTGCGCGAGCTTGGCATTTTGGCAGAGAACAACCCCATGGGGATTTTTCACCTCCATCAAAGCCCCCATAGCACCCTCATATCCCGCATCGACGACCCCTGCGGCAATACCAACCCCAGACCGCCACAAAGATGACCTAGGAAAGATGCTAGCCATGCAGTTTAGCGGAATTTGAACAGTTTCGTTGAAGTCGATCAAGTAAGCGCCTGGTTGGAGTGTGATTGCTTGGCTTGTAATGTCTAATGCGACGCTGGAGGTTTTCGCCGCCTTACGCTTTGTATTATCGAAGTCAATGTAAGCCGCCGAGGTCCATTTGGAAATCCGTCGTAAAGTGAGGTCGATCCCGCAAGGCTGTTGCTGCTGGCCAATGTGCCGTATGTTATGCACTATTTGGCGGCTCACAACTTCCAGTCCACTGAGAATCATGCCGAAGTCTTGGGGCTTGGGGCTTATTGAGAGAAGAGATATTGAACCGAGTGGTTGGATTGGCGAAGAATACAGAGGATGAAAAAGCTTTTGGCATGTCAAAGACCACAGCCCGTTTCTATCAGCCTTGTTTTTGAATTCCACACCGCCCCCCTCGTGATTTGCTCCCAATATTGTATCACTACCCCGCCACATGCGAGCCCTGGAGGGTAACTGACCAGTCGTAGGTCTGAGGAGACGTCGAAGGAAAGAATATCGTTGTTTATATCCAAGACTAAGCTTAGGAACATTCCATCAAAATGGACGGAAGAAAATAATTATCTCATCGCGAGCATCTCTGGCCCGGAGGTCTCCATCCAATGCCCAAATTCTCCATTGCTAGTTTCTCCCGCTCTTCCCAGGTCTCCCCGCCGTGCTCAAGATCAATAACCTGACCGCCAGAAGTCTGCCCACGTACACCACTAGAATCAAACTTCCAACCGTGAGTTTTCTTAACACAACGCCTCAAGTCGCGCTGGAATGTAGTATCGCCTGACCATCCAAGAACTGCACAGCCAACGGTTTGCCAAGGTGATATGATGATATCCACTCGGCGATGAGGATTGGGATTTTTCTGGTGTTTCGAACTGTCGAAATTTGGCTCTTGCCAAACAACCAATGCCTTGTCGAGCGAATCAAAATGCTTTCCAGTTTCATCGTGATAAGGAGCAGTTTGTTGTTCACGGAGTGTCGAGGTCAAATGCAGGGAGAGCGTGTGCGTAATGTATTGCTGCTCCTCGAGACTCGCAGCAACGTCAAAGACGAGATTTCGGGTGATGGAATCATCTCGATGTGTGAGTATAATGTCGACATCTCCACCCAACTCCTTTCCTCGCCGATAGCCACCAACAATAATACAATCAATTTCGTTGTTCGACTCCGGCCTTACTTTATCTGCGTGCTCCTTGACAATGGCAGCTATTGTCTCACTTTCTGATCGGGGAATGCCTTCCTTAAATTCATCAAAGAACTTTACCCCTATTTGCTGCACGCGAGACAGTTTGTTCCAACCATGCTCGACGATATCATCGAGGTCTCTCCAGCCTCGACTGTAGTAGAATTCGCGTGCTGTTTTGGCACCAACACCCCATATGTCGTAGAAGTTGTTCAGGACTCGTAGAACAGGGTCTGTATCTAGTTCATCTGCGGCGGAAATGCTGCCGTCGTCTTCAGAGTGCGAGCAACTGCCATGTGCTTGGAATTCGGCAAAGAGATTTGCAACTTTTGCGTCGCATCCCGGTAGCTGAAGGACCTCACTAGACCGGCGGATCCTGTAAGGGTACGCGGCTATAGCTGCAATCGACGTGCTATATGCACGCACTCCAATCTCATTCAGTGTAAGTTTGCGTATTTGGCGAATCTTTATAAGCTGGGAGATGAAATCTTCATTTGGTGAATGTAGAGGTGTCGATCGCAAACAGGCATAGGGAACATGATCACGAACCCAATCTGGCTGCGGTGGCATCGAGACAGGCTCATCATTCTCGGATGTTGTCTGGCGTTGCAGGGTTGGTGGTTGCAATTGGCTGGAACTACCGTCCGGGGGATTCTTGGAGCGTCGATGTTGAAAATGACTAGAAACAGCCAGTGGGGGTGGCTGCGATGCCGCATCTTCTTTTGCACGTTGCAGAATCTGACTCGAGGCTTTTCCAATTTGTGTATTCGGGACCACTGCCTTTCTTGATGCTCCACTCTTTCGCCCGCGATAGATTATAAAGGTGTTACCTGGGAGTGGTTTCCCAGCCGCAACGGACCTATCTAACCATTCAAGCCCGAGGACGGTAATAATACCCGTCGAGTAATCTTCAGGGTGTATTATACGTTCGATTGGGGGAGAGTGAATATGCACTTCGTCCTGCTCCCCTTCGGAGTCTGTCGTCAGATCAATGCTTTCAGTCACAGCGCCAACTTCATGGCTGACTTGTCCAAGCTTCCGTCGTTTCTGAGGAGGCTCGGATGTGCCATTTGAGAAGGATGATTCTGATTTTCGAGAGGCTGTTACTTCGTCTGTCCAGACGTCGCAACGGCGTAGCTCAAGGGCGGCGCGTTTCTTCTGAGAGATTTTACCCAGGAAAAGCGTCGCCTCCGAGGGGTTGTAAGTTATATTTCCACCATGTCTAACAAGGCAGTTCTCAACGGTGTCTAGCTCCTCTTGAGATAGATGCGTGTTGAGGATGAATATAGATGGAAGACCGGAAAATATGGTCTCACCAGCTGTCTCTTCGACCGGATCGTGCGGTACCGCAGTAGCAAGGGAAGAATCTGCTAACATCATGTGCACTTGAGTGATATACGTCACTGTACAAAAAGTTCCAGAAAAAAAAATGACAACTTATGTGCAGTTATGTATACAAGCTTTCAATCGCTCGCTAGCATGTTGAGTGTTGCTGCTCTTGAGGATGTGTCCAACCACCAGCAAAGACATGGCTCGATGAGTCATTATATCGCCAAGTGCAAATCATGATATTGGATATGCGACGATTCTAGGACATGGTCATCATGGTCATCACGTCAGTTGAGCAGTGACCATCACAAGCTGAGATTTGTTTGAAGGGGGCGATGGGAATCATGTGATAATTCGACAGCTGACGTCACATGTTGGTGCCTCAGGCATGAGTTGAAGTATACACTTGTGTTCGATTTATTTGATCCAGCTTTTAAGCATGAGTCGGAAAACAAGCGAAAACAACTTTATTATATGAGAGCTCGGAGTTGAAAGTAATCAAAATCTGGTTTAAAATCTAAACAATCTCATCTTCAATACGACGCTCTTCAGCAGTCACTGCAACCTCAGAAGAAGTCCCCTTTCCAACCACCTCAGTATGTCCCTGCTTGACATTACTACTAGGTTTATGAACAGTAACTCCACTTTCAACAGCCGGTTCGTTCTCATCATCGTGGTATCTTTCTTCATCATTCAACATTGGTTGTCCGTGGCGGCGGCCCATCCATCTCCTCCAGGGCTTGTAGAGGAGCACGCTAAGACCGCCGATAATCAAGAAACAACCACAGATTGATCCACCGATCACATCGTAATAGTCACCAGCCACTTGAACACCATCCCAGAACCTTCCAGTAGCGTTTGTCACGTTCAGAATCATGGTGAGCAGTTGAATGACACCGATGACAATGGCGACAATAACTGTCAGGGTGGTAAGAACAATGGAATAGTAGAGGAAGGCGATGGGGTCGCGATGGTTGTCGTGAGACTGGGGCATTTCGTCACCGTCTTCAGAGATGGTGCTGTCTCGCTTTGAGGGTAGGAAATTCGCAGCAGGCTGGACGTAGAGCGAGTACATAAGCGCTCCATCGATTGTGTCGATCAGACACATGCCAGCTGTGAAAAGTGCTGGAAAAATAAGGATCACCCAGAATGAGGTTCTCGATGCAGCTTGAATCGAAGATATGCCCAACAGGGCAATTTCTGACGACGTATCGAAGCCCAGACCGAAGAGTACTCCGAGCGGGTACATTTTCCATGGCCGATCGATCAATTTGAACATCTTTTTCAGGATGCTGAAGAGAAAACCCCCTCCCTCAATCTTCCAAGCTTCATCCTCTTGGCCTTCGGGCAAGTTGAAAACCTTCTGCATTTGCTTGATGAGCTTATAGAGGATATAGCCGTTCATCAGGCCTAGCAAGATCAGAAAAGCAGCACTGACGGAGCTTCCAATAATGCCGCCAATGGTGCTGAAGCTATCAAATTTGGAGGAAACAGCAGCTGCAGTTGCGGCAACAACAATCGAAGTGATGATAACAATACTATATCCGAGTCAATAGATGGCGTCTGTAGCTTTGGAATGTGTATACCTACGTCGAGTGGCCCAGCGAGAAAAAGGTTCCAACAGTAACAGGCTTCTGTCCAGTAGCCAGAAGTCGTCGTGTCATTAAGTCAATAGCCTAGCAATGTTTAGTGTGGTCAATCGTGTGTAGAAAGATGTTAGTCGTACCGAAATATGATCAGCGTCGAACGCATGCCGCAGACCGAGAGTATAAGCAAGCACTGCAGTGGAAACCAGTGATCTATTTGATATATCGGGTTAGTTTCATGGCTGAGATCCATATATTATGAGATATCAATTCAACGTACGTGTGAAAGCGCTACAAAGATGTTAGCAACTCGTTCCTCATGATCCGCTGAAAAAATAAAAAAGGTTGATGAGCCTTACCAACACAATCGCAGCTGCAATCCACACGATAGCATTCAGCAGCGCTATAAAAAGGATAATACCAATTGCACGCAGAGGGATCTTCCTAATGCCTGGCATCTTTTGGTGCGAGCGTTCAGCATGGCGCAGAAGTGGTTGCAAACTCCATTTGCGGTCGCTGTCAAGGCTACGCGAGTCTGCTGGCGAATCGCCCACTATAGAAGCCATAGTTGAGTCGGTATTGATCGTCTCTTAGCCAGGTCCACTATTTTCTGACTTTGTGGGTCGCGGGACAAGAATTCTCCCGCTATTCACTGCTTGATGCCGGGGATAGAGAGTGAAATGAAAATAGAAGAGCACAACAGCGCTGCGAATGAATAAATATACGCAACTGCAACTCTGGTAGGTTGCAGATCCTGCGACGTAAGAAAAAAACTGAAATTATTCTTATCGGCCGTCAGTCTCCACGCTGCCAAGGCACTGAAGGATGTAGTAGATCCGCTTAGCAGTTCCGCAAGGGAAAAAAAAATTCGATGTCAAGTCGGCGAGCGGCTGTGATCGGATTGTCAGGACAATGGCCTATAAACCCCACGTAGCTACGGACGTTGCTCGTGCGTGCCGATGTTTCCTTAAAATTCGATTTGTCCGCAGAGAAACGTTGGTGAGGAAGTGTAACCTTCGAGGCGTCGCATCGCCGGTGGGATGTACACGTGATTAAGCGGGGCAGCGGAGAGGCCCGAAAGACTGATAGTTAATTATTATTCATGTTTGGCATTTCGATGATAAAGAATGCCCACTTTGAACGATAAACATTTTCGTGGCTCCACCCGCGGCCGTGCGAAGGGAATGCTTTTTCGTTGTACATACATACTAGTAGTTTGCCGAAGGTCGGGGGCTTGTGGAATTCCGATGGCCGTTCGGCAGACTTGGCCGAGTGGAGCTTTGAGTTGAACTGGATGGGCGTTGGATGATTATGGTATTGGAAGTCGGATATCTAACAAGCTCTGGTAGCTCGAGCTAGGCTAATGCTGCGCAGTACTACCATAGCTCGTCTTAGCCGATCGACAGTTCCGAGTTGGTCTTTTTTGTCAATATGTTGGTAGTAACTGCTAGTGTGTTTCTATGCCCATTGCAACCTCGGAAACTACCGTGACTAGGTCGACTGCTTCGCGATGTTGACAGTCTCCGAGTCCTAAACGACAATGTTTGGCATAGCAACATTTTTAACAAGGACGCGTGCCACGTCATGAAGAATTTACTATAATTCTTGAATTTTGCTTCTCTTACTACTCAGAAGGTCTTACTATGTGCCTGGATGTTAATTTAGTGAAAATATGAGTTTAACCAAATGCTTTTCGTTCAGGGTCATGACTTCGTAAAATTATAATACATCCCAGTCCATCGATATGCTCAATATAGCATCAGCTATGGGAATAGAAAAGTCCGCTAAAAATATCAAGGGAGCAGAAGAGCGAGCTTGTAAAATGCGAAAATCGCATTAGCCTTCATGCGACGGCAAATACTGCCGGGGATGGGGTCCACTTGGTGATGGAGCCCTGGACCTCATGAATATCCTGCGCAACCAACATATTCCACTCATTTCTGGTGATCGGGGTCACGTCCGAGGCCGAGAGAGGTGTTTTCGGTCCTCGTTTTGTCGGTCGCTTCACCGCCGATTTCTCTGCCGACTTGACTGGCGGAGGCTGTCGCCGAGCACGAGCAGTGCGAATCGGCGACTTCCGTGAGTTTTCGGCCGTGGCTCGCGGGGGCAAAATGATAGCCTCTTGCTTGTGGGTATTTTTGTATGTCAATGCGACCGCTGTGAGAAGATCGTCACGAACATCGAGCTGTTCGTAAACGCGGTGGAAAAATGCTTTGCTGAAAGGGCGACCTTGGAAATCGGCGACCAGCCGACGGAGAAGCTGGACGCAGGATGTCATGTACTTGTCGTCGGTACGGGAGAACGGTTTATTAGAGAGAATGCAAAGACGGCGCTTGAATGTGTAGATGCGATCCATGTTGAGGAGGGTCAAGCCTTCTTGGCTGAAGACGACTTCGTTTTGGAGGATGGATTGCTCCACGAGATATTCGTTTGCTTGTCGCTCGTACTGGCTTCGGCTTAGGGCGTCGGACCAGCTTTGGCCAAGCGAGAACTTTTTGGAAGCTTTAGCAAGGGCTCGCTCAAGGACTCGCCATGATGGGGCGTCGAGGTGTGCAGTTGGGATAATCATCAGATCGGAGGAGTGGCCAGTGGGGAATGGCTTCCCACGACCAACAAGGAGTGTGACATGTAGCATCTTTTGTTGCAGCTTAGAAGAGATGTATTCGAGGGCGGGAAGGATGGAGGGGATCAGGATCTCAGAGTCAAAATTGAAGTCGGGGGAGAGGGGAGGCGAGATCATGTCGTTGGTGAGTGTGCGTGTAGGTGAACTAGGGACATAGATGCCCGTGGGACGAGGAAAGCGGATAACACCCATGTTGGAAGGAAAGGGGAGAAAGTGTAGAAGAAAATGATAATAATTAAATGAACCCTTGGAATATAGAATGTTTATCCAGTTGAACCCTGTCAAGGGTTATGAAAAAGACCCTTTAAAGTTGGCTGTAGAGATTTAACTCGACCTGGACAGAAACGAGCTTGATATATTGTCAACTCAGGGATTCTACCTCGTGGAACCAACGCCAACTTCCCCGCAGGGACCGTGATCTTAACATAGAATGGCTCGAAATTATCCCGTTTTTAGCTGCATCAAATGTTACTAATGATAGCAAAATTATCACACAATTGACCAATAATATCATCCTACAAGCTGGGGCACCGAGGTGGGTCATCTGGGCCACCAATCAGTCCAGGTAGAGATCGGCAAGATAAAAATAAATTAGCACCAATTTCACCAGCTTTAACCGCCGAGGCGTTCTTTGGCCAACCACAATCCTGTGTTCGTGACGTTCTCCATGAGCCTTATGCACGCCGTCACACACTTGAACAAGGGTCTAGCACTATGGTCAGGGCTCCGGTTCGTCCATTCCTATTGTTGTTGGTTAATGCTGTTGGCCCCCGTTCAAGCTGACCGTCAAGTTCAAATCCCACATCCAAGGGCTTGGAGCCGCAGGCTCTTAATCACTGGCTGAGATTGTTTCTTGCGGTGAAAACCCTATATTTTAGGTCCGTGGCTTTCGTATTGATGATGGTGTCGTTTCCCCTTTGGCTCGTGCCCTACTCATTCATCAGAGGCTCGGAGATTAAGGCGTGTGCAGCCAGAGATTTACTGGTCAGTCATTCTTTCACTCATGCATGTATTCAATAGTTCATGGGACCCATGCTCGCATATGCCTTTAATGCCTCAAGTCTGCCCTACCTAACGTTGTCTTCAGTCGGGCTTACTGGTCACTCATTGTGGGTTGTTCTGGACCCCGGCCTCAACCAACATTCTTCTGTGGATTGTGCGCTATCTGCAAGACAATCCTTGGTGTATATGACCCAATAGTGCGATTTTGTTTTAACTACTAAGTCATTACACAATTAAAAGAGAGAGAAAACAGAAGTCTCCTAATGCGAAAAGGTAGATCCAGGGTACATTACCTTTCGCGTTAGGGGTATATATACCGTTGGATACATCGAATTGGACCCTCGCAATAAGCCTCAACAGCACACAGAGCTGCTGGCATAGGGAGTGCGGCATTTAATTTGCGATAGTGAATCCACGACCTTCGTACACGTGGATCCAGCTCACTGAGATCTTCGTTTCCAATCCCCTCTAACTGCCATTAGACAGGACCTCGACCTGCTTATCGTCCTAAACCCGGGTCGTTCACGCGCTCGGCTGGACTTTGGCTGACGCACAGGCTACAAATCGTGGCATTTCGTGGATTTGATAGCCTTTGAAAGACCGAATCAATGAATCGGGTGAATTCTAGAGCCGCCCCTTGTTGGAAAACCCCCTCTCGCCCGCAGATGGATCAATCGATAGTGTGTTGTCTCCTCGAGCGACCCATCCAGTCAAATAGTTCGCTCATCTGTTGGGGGCGAAACAAGCGCGCTACTGCGGGGTTAATTACGGTAAATTTGCTGCTTATTTAACTATCGTTGTGATGAGCCCTGATACGGTGAAGATCAAAATTATTCCAACTGCGTTAGGAGGCCGAAGCCCATGCTTTGCTTTCATTTAATCTATGTTTGGTAGTGTGGTCGATTACTAATTCTTGCCAATTCTGAAATCGAGGGCATATTTTATGTTAGAGACCGACGTTTCTCAGCTTCCGTACCGCATTTTCCAGGGATCTGATCGCCTCCTCCAAGTACGGAAGCTGGATCTCTTCCCCGGAAGCACAGCGCTCGAGGATATCATATCCCTTTTCATATCGATCAACCTCGTTTTGGAAGTACAAATAACTAGTGGCCATCCGCAGTCGGAACCGTCCGTGCAGGGGCCCATTGTCATCTTCTCCAAAAGCAGAGCCAGGTAGGGCAGCCAGTCCACATTCTCGTATCAGCCACGCTGAAAGGTCAGCACTGGTAAAAACTTAGAGTTTATTTAACTGCGCTGAATATGGAGAGAAAGACGGGTAGACGTAAAAGGCGCCCCCAGGCTGCCCAACATCCAATCCGAGTTCCTTGAGCGCAGAATAGAGCTTCAATGTACAGTATCGATGCAAGGCGGTCACAGACTTGCAGTATTTACACATATCTTCACTCGTAGAGAAAGCTTTGATGGATGCGAATTGGGCCGGTGCGGATGCCGCAGACCAGCATTCGGAAGCATATTCAAAGACTGTCTTGCAGATGATATCTCCTTGTTCCGACGGGGGAAAATGGCATAGCCTACGCGCCAGCCACCAGCCGAGTATGTCTGTTCCAAGTTTGTCAGAAAGAACCATCGATCAAAGTGATATTCACATACCTTAGATAGCCCACCAGAGAGGATCACGGTTTCGGGATCATCAGTGGCACTGTCAAATGCGCTTATCCCTTTCTGAGATTCATCGAAGCAGATATCCGAATATATCTCGTCTGTGATGAGAATGATCCCCTTCGATTTCCAAAAATCTTTGATCGTTTGAGCGCAACTTGTAGAAAAGACGTGTCCTGTCGGATTTGATGGGCTGTTGACCAGCATAATCCGAGGAACTTGGTCCTCTGAGACTGCCTTCTCGTAGAGAGAGAGAAGGGATAACTCTGTCAAAAACGTGATCTATCAATATAGATGCATCTATACTGCTCAAGATAACTCACTGGTAATGGTGTGACGATCGACAGCATCCGTCTCAACCCAGAAAAGCCTTTTCCCGGCATGTAGAACCTGTGGCTCATAACTGACCCACGAGGGACGAGGAAGCAAGACAGCGCCATCGAGTATATCGAATAAAGCGAAAAGCAGCGACTTCGATCCGGGGGCAACAACTACCTGATTAGGGCTGATCTTGACACCGAGACGATCCGCATTGAAACTTGCAATGGACTAGAGTCCAGCATCAGTACATCCCCAATTGGCTTAGGATTTGGATTTTAAAGGAGACAAACCGTTCGTAAAGTCTCTAAGCCAGCAACGGGCATATAGCTTGTTTCTGTGGATGCTTCCTTGTGAGCCTGAAGAACTTTTCGCTGGATAGGAAATGTGGCCTCGCCGAAGCCTAAATGGACGACATGTTTGCCTTCCCCGCGAGCTTTTGAAACCAGTTCATTGATCTCTAGCATCGGATAAATTTTTAATTTTGCAGAGGTTGAGTTTACGACGTTGGCCACGATGAGGGTCGGACCTGTTCCAAGGTTCAAATAGTTGTTGATTTTTTCCCAATCGAACCGTACGCTTTCTGATTCAGTGCAGGCTCTACTGCTAGGAACTGGTTTCGAAGTTTAGCCAAATGATTTGTATAATATAGATCCTCAGTGATTCACACCCACATACTATCAAGTTCATTTGTATTTACATAAACCTTGGTATGGAATTTTATTTTTGCGGTAACTCCCCGAATCGGCCCTGAAATCGAGGGCGATTTTCCGGTTCAATCAAGATCCATGTAGAAAAGCAGTTAGAATTCCTCGGGTATGGGGATACGGAATACCTTTGGTTTACCCGGGGTACCCTGCCAGCTCCAGCACTCAACCAACCACCTGGGCAATGAAACGTGCCGTCACATCCTGCGAAAATATTGTTGACACCTTACTGCCTCAGGAATCAAGATCGTCTGCCTAGGCTGCCTTGTTTCTTAGATATCATCACACACATGCATCTCACATGCAGCACCACTTCATGCTTCTGCGCTTCTACCAGAGCCTTTGATCAGCCTGTGGCCTTGGAGCACTAGCCGCCCCCTAGCTGCCAAAGAAACTAGTTGTCAGGCTCGACCAAGCTGCCCCCAGAACGACATGATCTTCTCTGATGAAGCGGACCTTTTCCCCGGATTATCTGTCGGACAATTTTGAAAAGCACATGCCTTTCCTTGATCTCAATTAGTACTTTATCAAAGTGAGCCCGAGGCCTCAACTCTGACGCCAGTCACCCCTGAAACCTTGCTCCTGATTATCCTTGCCCCGTTTGCCTTCCTCGCCTATTGTTTGCATGAACAGAAAGCTTGAACTAGCGAGGCTCTTTGCAAAGAGTTCACTTTCTGGGAATGGAAGCATCATACGTTGGAGGCAGTGCTAGTTCGATGCGCAAGATAAGAAGTCAATTCCCCCTGTTTGAGATAGGAGGCATACTTGCTTGGTATCGTAAAAGGCCACGCCTGACAATTTGCCAAGAGAAACAACCTACGAACCAGAAGAGAGGAGCTTGCTTAGCCCCGAAGACCATCCCTCGAGATTGGCTGTTGGTTCCAGGGCGGGGTGGTCTTGGCGTGTAACCCGGGCGCAAAGATGGCTGATCGCCAAGTACTGTTGCCCTTTCCTCCGCTTATGCAGTGACCAGTCAAGGTGAAGGACTAGGCCATGAATTGTGTTCTCCGCGTTCATGGCCTGGTACAGGGTACATACCAACGGAGCTCAAATCAATTGAGAATGCGCCCTTTAGCATCCTCTAAGATCACCGGTTGGCATGTATTTTCCTCCCAAACCCGAGGATAATGCATCAAGCCCAAAAACCAACGCCAACTCACTGCATCCTGTATCTATTACCCCCCCCATCCCCGCCGTGGAATAGTCTTTGTCTGAGGAGATCTTGGCAGCTGGGCATCTCCGCTAGCGTCTTGGAGAATGGGGTCTTACCCACGCCCTTATCGCAAGAAAGCTTTGGAAAATATGGACCTTCTGGGGATCGGTCCTCAGTACTGTATACAGTAATCAGCTATCCATCAGCATCAGAGAAGTTATGTGAAGTGGAGAGTCAACAGAAACCAGGTTGAGCACAGCCCCGGCGTTCATATTTCTGAGAAATACGGGACAAGCAACAGGCAGATTGGACAAGCTCTCGTATTCAACCCTGCTCTTTGTCAAAGGCGCAAGAAAGTATCTTGGCCGATACGCTCTACTGATTCCAAGCGACAGTGCTGCGCAGGCAATCCGTCCGCACGGTTCTGGGAAAGTGTCCTAGGTCTTGGGTTGCACTCTTAGAGGATCGGTCAGCTTATCTTCCGTGAATAGCTGGTCTCGTGCCCCGTTAGCTTCTTTCTCGCTCGCCTCTGATTTCTGTTTTGGCTTATCGTTCACTGGGATGTCTTGTTTGTCTTGGCCGGGAGAAGGCTGTGTGCAACTCCGCCAGGCTACTTTTGAATCTTGCCCCTGCCAGAATCTGCTGAGCTCACACAAATTCTTTTTTCTTCTCTTTCATTGATTCTCGAGTCTCACAATACCCATATATTCACACATCTCTCCCGCACCGATTCATTTGCCGCCAACGGCAACGTCTTCGCCCAGTGGGGGAAAATGGCGGCGATGGACTCCAAGCATCATGGCATCTCGGAGGACGCAGAAATGCATGATTACATGGGCGAGAAGCCCGGAACAGTTGAAGAGAGTGGACTGTCGGATCCAAACCATGTCGAACTTCAACGCGCTCTGAAAGCGCGTCACATCACCATGATTGGTATAGTCATATTTCCTCGACAGCATAAGGTGCTTGGTTTAACAAGAGCTCGCAGCCATCGGTGGTGCCATTGGAACTGGTCTCATTATTGGAACAGGTGAAGCACTTGCAAAGTAAGTCGTGACTGAAATATCGCATTAATACAAGATTGCTTATTTCCATGTCGCCTCTAGAGCGGGAGTACGTACACTCGAATCCCGACCGAAAATGCCTCACTGACTCGAATAGCCCGGTGCCATCTTGATCGCTTACGCCTGGGTCGGATTTATTGTTTATTTAGTCATGTGCGCTCTCGGTGAAATGGCTGCCTGGCTTCCTCTTCCGTCCGGATTCACTGGATATGCTGTTCGATTCTGTGACCCTGCCCTCGGATTCACTCTCGGCTGGACGTATGTGACCTACCTATGAAATGACGTCCCGAGAAGTGGTTGCTAATATTGACTCAGTTATTGGTTCAAATACATCATTCTCTCGCCAAATCAATTGGTAGGTTTCAGAGACGCCCTTCTGATAGTTGCCCTAATAACCCGTCTAGACCGCTGGAGCCCTCGTGATATCGTACTGGATACCCACGGAGAAGGTAAACGCTGGTGTATGGATCACAATTTTCCTCGTTTTGATTGTCAGCATCAACTACTTTGGTGTCAAATTCTTCGGTGAATTCGAATTCTGGCTGTCATCGTTCAAAGTGGTGGTGATTATCGGTATCATCCTGCTGTCGTTCATCCTAATGCTGGGCGGTGGTCCAGACCATGATCGCAAGGGATTTCGTTACTGGAAGAATCCTGGCGCTTTCAACACATACATCAAGGAAGGTGACGCCGGTCGATTCCTCGCATTCTGGTCTACTATGGTCTCTGCCACCTTCGCTTATCTCGGCACTGAGTTGGTCGGAGTGACTGTTGGTGAAGCGCAAAACCCACGCAAGACCATTCCACGCGCGATCAAATTGACTTTCTTTCGAATCCTATTCTTTTATGTTCTGTCGGTTCTCCTGGTTGGAACACTTGTCCCTTACAACGACAAAAAGCTTGCTTTCGCTGTCGGCGCTAGTAGCTCAGCTGCGGCATCGCCATTCGTTGTGGCTATCGAGAACTCGGGCATTCCAGTCTTGTCCCATATCATGAATGCCTGCATCCTACTCTTTGTTTTCTCGGCGGCCAATTCCGATTTGTACATCGCTACACGTACCATTTATGGTCTCGCCCGTGAGAACAAGGCCCCCAAGATCTTCGCCCGTACCGACAAACGTGGCGTGCCGGTCTTCGCCCTCGCAATCTGCTCCGTCATTGCCTTACTTGCCTACATGAATGTGACCAATGATTCCAGAACGGTTTTCAAGTACTTCGTGAACTTGGTTTCCATGTTCGGTCTCCTGACCTGGATTTCCATCTTGGTCACTCACATCCACTTCGTGCGGGCGCGCAAGGCCCAGAATGTTCCAGATTCCAGCTTGGCCTATGTAGCCCCCTTCGGCGCTATCGGATCATATATCGCTCTTGGATTTTGCTGTCTCATTGCACTGACCAAGAACTACGACGTTTTCACCCACAATCCCAAGTGGGGTAATTTCGATTACAAGAACTTCATCACTGCCTACTTGGGAATTCCGCTCTACTTCATTCTTCTCATCGGGTATAAGGTAGTTACCCGTTGCAAGGGAGTCGATCCTGCTACGGCAGATCTCTGGACGGGCAAGGATGAGATTGATCGCGAGGAGGCCGCTTACGTTGCTCGGAAGGAGGCTGAGGCCCACAAACACTCCCAGTCTCACTGGTTCTACCGGACCTTTGTCTCATGGCTCTTCTAGTGCCATAGTTTCAGCTGTTCTCTAATAACAGGCTTTCTGCTGCTAGAGTGGTGGCATGCACTGATGATTTGACTCGTTTCAGTCTTTATTTGCGCGGAGACGGAGTATTGATGACTATGATAGCTGGACATAACTATACTTATCGACGAATATTATGCATTTACTGTCATCATCTCTAGGGACTAGTGGGATATATCAGAACGTAGATGTAGTGTGGGGTGGCTGTCATCGGCTACCGTACTCCGTAGAGAGGGGAAATACAGTTAGGGGCCAAAATTTCTCACGATGTGCAATAATCACCCACCTTCAAGCTGATTTGTTCCTACTGGTAGGTTTTTGAAATCCAACCCGTGACTCGGATGTCGAATATATGAATTCAATACAGCCCAAGGGAAACTGGCGAGAAGATTCGCTGTTATCTCGGAGTGAGAGGTCGCGAGGTATCACAAATATGTCCCACTCGATTCCTCGTGCAATCCGCCTGCTAACTTGATAAACTTCATATAGCCTTACAGACAACGCTTGTCTAAAAGGAAAGAAAGTCTCTCTTCAAATTTTCCCAGCGAAAACCAGAGGGTTTTAGAGCATTTGCGCCTTCCAAATGAGCGCTTAGTTGGCGACCCCCCTTGCTGGGTACGGACCTGCTATGAGCCATCCACGAAGGCTGATTGGTCTAATCTACTCAGCACCCACCGTGGAATGATATCGAATGCCCATATTTATAATTATGAATCGCGGTATAATTTCGGATCGAACTGGGAGAAAAAACTCCTTCGTGTCCCGCAGCTTTTGAAAAGCTCAACAAGACGAGAGGAGTTCGAAGAATATATCAAAGAGACTCTTGATGAGGGAGTCGAGTCCGAGGCCCTTGATCCAAAAACATGCAGAGGAAAACGGGCTATGATGTCGAGGAGGACTTGAACCCGTGGCAAAGTTTCTACTCCGAATATCATTTCGCGTTGACAGCTGGACGCATCTATGTAGCAGATGCAAAAGCGGTTGCCTCCAAGGGCCGCGATGCAGGCAAAGTCCTTGTCATATGGTAAGATGAATGCGGACGGACAATTCGCTACCATCGCGAAGAGGTCAGGGATGCGATTGAGCGTGCGAATTTGGACGACTGCTATCTCAAGGACTACTCGTGCTGGGAATATGCACAGATAGGCAAGACGTATGAATGGGAGGACCACTGGGTCCACCTTACCCTGATCACGGCGAAGAAGTCTCCAGTTAGCGTACTGTGGAAATCAATGGTTATTGGAGGTTTGTCAACGTTGTCAGAAATCGTTTATCATAGGGCAACTACGTCATTTTCTCTGCAACTTAAATCATGATATGTAGCTCCCGGGGGCCTGTGTAACCCTCGCGTTGGCTAGCGTGTATTGTGGATGTCGATCGGTGGGGGACTCAAGATACGATTGACTCAATCGCTAATAGTAAGATCCACCAGCCTTTGTCTTGCATTAACGTGTCGACGATTCCTCCAATGGGAGATAGTATGCGCACTCTCAATTGGTCTGGGTGGAGAAGGGCCCATGGCACACAGAATTCGCAAGAATAGTGAAGACGATGATAAATTGCCCGGCGCGTTTGAGCCGGCCACGTGGGAACGAATTATAAAGATCTGAATTATTAGTGTTCCTGGCATACGTTGTGCTTTCTTCGAAATCAGAAATACGATGGCTCAAGTCGCATTGATCACTGGTGGCAGTAAGTGAGGCCTCGGGACTCCGGAAATGAGGGGATACATACTCACTGCATGAATTATAGCCAGTGGGATAGGATTCTCCGTTGCCGAGGCATTAAGCAAATTGAGCAACTGGCAGATCAACATTATTGGAGTTAATGAAGAAAAAGGAAAAAAGGCAGCTGCGACACTCCCGAATACCAGCTTCTACAAGGCCAACGTATCCGAATATGAGGAACTCGCCATAGTTTTTGACACCGTCTTCAACAAGGCCCAACGATTGGACTTTGTCTTCGCCAATGCTGGTATACCTGAATACACCGACCTCTTCGCCAATCAGTCCTCGTCGGGGGTTCCACCTAAGCCCGGGCTGGATCTTCTTGATATCAACCTGAATGGCTCTATTTATGCAAGCTACCTAGCTGTCAACTATTTCAGACGATCGCCTGAATCCATGAAGGGAGCTCAAAGTTTGCTTCTGACGGCTAGCATCGGTGGGCTGTATCCTTGCATGTTAACGCCTGTTTACTCAAGCTCGAAGCGTGAGAGCCCATCGTCAGACAAGCATTGTTATAGAAAACTAACAAATATTCAGATGCATTGATAGGCTTCGTTCGCTCTATCGGAGACCGTCTTTTCAAGGAGGGTATTCGCGTTAATACCATCTGCCCGGGCGTGGTGAAGACGCCTCTTTTGAACGATGAGCTTCTTTCATACTTTCCCGCAGATATTCTCATACCCATCGAGGCAGTTACAGATGTCGCCATGAAAACTGTTTTGGAAGATAGTATTAAGGACAGTAATGGTGTTTGTGTGGCGGCAGACAAATTCCATTCACAGGCCATTCATGTGACCGGGAAGGGATTTTATCTTATTGACCAACCACCAATCAATGACGAAGAGGCTCGGACTACTTGGGACTGCATGATGGGTTGGAGATAATTAGTGTATGGGGAAGGCAATTATCGATGACGTTTTCGACTTTCCAAACTCAATATCAGAAGGATAGTAGTCTAGGATTAAAGATACTAGAAAGGACATCTACACTTCTACACATCTCTTCGATCAAAAGTTGAGAGAAACCCTCCCTATCTCTCTGTCTCTTTTCTCACGTATTCAGGTCAGCTCAGAGAAGTCTTGGCCCTTGGTAGCCATCGTTGGCGTCTTTTCAGATATCCTCAGTCTAACCCATAACAGTAATCAATTAAGGGGGGGATTGGCGTAAGCCACTGCGACTGGAGTCTTTAGGTTCACCCGTCCGTCGAAGTGTGGAGTCTAAAAACGGACAGTATAAGGCTTGATTCCCCGCAATCTGATATGTGCCAGTCATGTTGGGCATGGGCTCCGAAAAAGCACACCCATGGAAAGTAATTCAGCAGACGAAGCCCATTGGAAAGTTACACAGCGATCATCACGAAAAAAAAAAACGCGCCTTCAGTACCTAGCTAAGCGAAATCCAATTTCAAAATGATGGAAAGGGTTATTTATTTCGCGAGGGGGTCGTTTGTTACGGCCGTACCTACGGCCGTATATGCCCAACCATTTGTCCATCTTTCCCCTCTGAGAAACGGTAGGAGTCGATAAAACAGAAATAGCAACAGGTTTTCACTTATTAACACTGCCTCTCGCACTATGATACCCAATGATAACTTTTTACTGCCCCCATAAAACCGCCCCCATCCCTTTATCACCAAAAGACAAGCATCCATAGCGGGGCTTATGACCTCAGCTGAGAGTGGAACCTACAACAAAGTTACAAACTGCGAACAGATTGCCAAATTAGGATTAGCTTTTTCTTGATTCTAGGCTCACACTCTATCATCAAACTAGGCTCGTCCGTAAATAAAGGGGGCCATAAAAATGGAAATTTGTCTGAATGTTGACACTGGCTATAATAAAGACGTGGGACGCCCCAGAAATATTCCAACTTTGCTGCAATACAAACAACCTGAGATCAAATATTTGCAAACACATATCCTCATTTTTCTTCTACTCTTCTCCTTTATCGTTGTGTTTACTTCCGCTCCGTTCATCATCTCCCGTTTTTTGAAGCTGAAAAGCGGAAATATAAAAAAGTCACAATCATATACCAGTACGATGTGTCTTTTCTTCGTTCCTTATCTTCTGAAAAAGAGGAGTGAAAAGAAAGATGGGTCCGACCCTAGCGCACAAGGACCACGCCCTGTTTCTGGAGAGAGATTGGGACAGCAGTCACCACTATATGCGCAGAAAACAGGGGGATCGAACCCACCAATGGGACAAATGTACCCAGCAGTGCAGGGACAAAACCCAGCAACGAGGAGACCGTGATGATTTTGATTGAAAGTGTGTACTCTGACCTTTCCGTCCACCAATTAACAAATCTAACACATCTCTACCTCATCAGGCGCCAAACTCAATTTACGTCTTGTCGCAAGGTTTTGGGGGTAATTGGAACAGGGGGGGGGGGGCGTTGATTTATAGCAGACTTTGATTTAATTAATGTGCATTGTGTTGTTGTCTACTAGGAGAATGATATTGCTTCAAATCCACACCTACATTCCAACTTTCTCAACAACTTGAAACTACCCTCTTTATCCTGAACTGGGGTAACTATATTTCGCCCACCCAGTAGTCAAGTTCCTGGTATTAAAGCCATAGTGTGTCCTTTTTTGACAGCCTGTGACATCATGAGGGCTTTCTGAATACCCGTAGTATTTCCAATAAGGTCGAGTGTTTTCATGGCCCAATCCCTGATCTCAGGTGTCGTTGCCCCGCAATTCGCAGTGATGAAAATTGGCCATAGAAGCCGGAAAGCAAGTCCCACGCCAACCTCTCCTGAGTTGAAATGGTATGGAACACTTGCACATATGGAGCCAATCATTTGTATGCTGATGGTATTAGCCAGGGCCATCGTCTTTTGGGAAATATCTGCTGTTACAGATCCCATCGAGCGCATACAAAGCGATCGAACAATCTCCTGTATGACGATGCGCGTTTGACAATAGTTGTTCCACCCAGAGGCAAACCCAACAGAATTAAACATATAATAGGTGTCACCATAGTAACACGTATACGCATCGCTTTTGCTTTGAAGGTGGGCTGGCGTAGCGATGACATTGTAGCGCCAGGGAGGGCTCAAGGACATTGACCATGAGACTAGATCAGCATCAATGTAAAGTGCCCTTTTGATAAAAGGCTCGGGGTCCTCGGCAGCTCTATCTTGTCCATCTTTGAAGATGCCTTGAATGTCGGCTGAGAGCTCCCCCTAGTTGTATTAGGATTCTGAGGAACTCTTCAAGGGCCTGAGTTTGGTTATTCCGTCGAGACCATGCGATTTCTGACAACGCGGCAACTGCAGGGGAGATCCTTCGCTTATAGAAAATGTTGCTTATCACCTTATAATTAAGGTCAGTTAGAGTTGTCGAAATTTTAGGGCGACCTTGACTCACGATTTGCATTCGTATCAGTGTGAACAACTCTAGTCCTCTCTTGGACTCCAGTTGCTCTGTGCCCCGTAATTCCAGGAGTTTCATGGATCCTTGAACATGATTTAACCAGCCTTCCATCATATTTGATCCGGAGCCTGCGATAACCTTGGAGTATTGTTAGATTGAACTGAGTATTAGATAAGAAAATTATTTTACCTCATACAGGCCGAGCATTATGACTGCCATCAAGGTGGAATCTGATTTTGCCATGATCGGATCATGCAAGGCACTATTAGTAGCAAGAAGAGCTTTGCCGTATTCTTGTCCGGCCGAGTAATTTAATATTGGTAAGTGGTGTATTTTGGATATGCTTGCTAGCCCTATAGCCTTGACTGTGGCCTCGAGAGCCGGGGAGAGAGTTTTGTTTATCAGGTCCGGCACAAATGGCAGTATACCCCGATTTTCGGTGGTGCCGCTTTAAAATGCGATGGTGTAAGATGTCGCCCACTCCTCAGGATATCCTGAAATATTTTGCAGGGACAAGGGCGCGAGTTGAGTTAGGAGAATCGGCTCCTTAAGCTTTTGGCGGGGTTTATGCCGAGCCTGGGCTTTTGCAACGACCTCGTCGCTCTGGTCATAAAATCGTAACGCGTTCGGATCTTGGTATCCAGGACACTCTCGACCAATTCTTCTACATTGAGAACATGATGGTCGGCCCCGGTCGCACTAATTCAGTAAGTACTTCGAAGGATTTAGGGTCATTTCGTGGATATGCATACCGCTCGACGCCGCGCACGGCACAACCCACACCCGGGACTAGGTTTTCCTCTGTAAACCATTTATCCCAGTTTCCAAGAGCTGGTTTCCGAAAGGGGTATTCAGATCGGGCAGGGAATGCTGAAGATGCGAAGTGTAAGAGGGTGGGTTGGTCTCTATTTAAAGCTAAACCAACAACAGTAACCAGTATGAAAAGACGGGCCAGATGCTGACTGCAGCCACGCAGCCACCGGCGAGCTGGAGGGATTTATTGGCTGTCCTTCGCCCCCCACAGAACAAGCCTCACCCCTGTTTCACGCTAAGAGCGGCGGTGCTGCTTATTCTACGGTTTGGCCATTTCAGCCCCCAACCTCACCTCGTATTAACTTCTCCTTTGGGCGCGATGATCCATGAGTGGCTCCTTTAGGGCTTTTTATTTGGAATAAGCTTGCTCGACGCGCCAATATTATTTTTTTAGTTCAGCCTTATTTAAAGCGTCTACCCAAGAAGAACTTCCTTATCGAACAGCCACATTAAAACCGTCGTCTTTTCCATTGTGAATTTTTCACTGTCTCCTCGGGTTCCTTCTCCTTTTCTCTGAATAAAATCCTGTCTTCGTTTAAAATGAACGGCATATTTCCCGCCGACCTTGCGGTCTATCTCCTCCTGGCTCCAGTGGTTGCTTATATTTTTGTCACTCACCGATGGGCCGGTTTCCTTCCATGGTACTACTTATCCGCCTTCTGCCTTGCTCGAATAATTGGCGGTATACTTGGTATCCATGACAGCGAGAATTTAGCTGCCAACATTATTCAAAGTGTTGGTATTACGCCATTGATTCTTGGTGTCGATGGACTGGTACATGAGGCGTATGTCCCTACTGAACATGTCAAATGGTTCAAATCACTAATTGAGCAGTCGAACATACCGCAACCCATCCGGCAGTCGGTTCCTCGGAATTTCTGTTATTCTAGGCACTCCAGCCCTAATGGCTGTTGCCATGGCATTGTCAGTCATCGGCTCCTTGGATATTTTCGAAGGTCACCCCAAGCCACACAGTCTACAACATTGGAAAACAGGTACAGCCTTAGTCGTACTCGCGTGGGTTTTCCAGGTGTTTTGGTCCTTATTCTCCCTACTTTCCAATTCAGGAGGAAAGGGTCTTCCGGGATACCAAGGTGGCACAGCGGTATGTATTCCGATCTATATATTGCTTTTCATTCTATGATGCCGTGATTCTAACAATATTTCCTTGCTAGCTTCTCCAAGGAGCGGTCGTCGCACTTCTATTCATCGGAATCCGTGTTATATACAGCCTTGTTGCGGTCTGTACGCAACGCAGAGATCTCAGTCCAGTCTATGGGAAGACGGATATCCGAGTCATTCTTATGTTTCTCCCAGAGGTCCTTGCGACTATCGCAATGATCACAGTGGGCCTCCGCACGAGAAAGCTGCGGGAGGCCAAATCTATGGCCACCTACTCACCAACACCACAAAGTTGTTAATTTGATGTATAAGGATCCTTTGATGCGGGTGACCTGTTTTGAATGATGAGTGGTAACCGTTGTTCTGTTTTCGGCTTATTTGTTGTGATATGTTTGTATTCTATTTAGCTTTGAATATACGTGAAAAGAGATATGCTTCGTTCGTGCTCAGGCTGTGGAGTAATGATAAAAGTATTCAGAGGTTAGCTCGTAGTTATTGCGCTATGGTTTCGAGTGAGAGATACTGTTTAACGTGTTTCATGGGTCGGAGGGCCACCCACCCTGGAACACTCAGTAGCTTTTTCTAATAGAATATTCTTTTTAAAAATTCTTCTATATGTATTTTTCTAAAATATCCTATAAGTCATTTATTATAATAAAGCTTAATTAGTTTTTATCTTAGATTCTCTATAATAAGAATATAAAGATATTTTTTATAATATAGAAGCTTCTTAGGGTTAATATTTTAATATTTTCTCTATAGAATATCTTCTAAGATTATGTTAATTTTCTTCTAGACTATCGTATTTTTATCTTGCGTGCCCTAATGGACGGAATAGATAGATCTTCAAATATAATGGTGATTTGGTTGAGATAAATGCAGTCAAAAAGACACCCGTTGAGCTAGCGGCTCGCTTACAGTGGCGGCTCGCTTCCAGGTTACGTTGACTGTCGGAACATTTGGTTCCCATTATAGTAGGTCATCATAGAAACATGACAAAAAGGTCTCCATTGTTTTCTAATAACCCGTTCGTACCTAATTTATGGGGGAACATGAACTAACAATACGAAGAATGAACATACTCCGGAGTGGCACCATCTATCTCCGGCCATTTATGCCGACAATAACTAACTGGTTACGCTAGGGTGTTCTGTTACCTGTAGCGGTAGCCTGCTTGGGCGGTGACTCTAAGAATGCCTTGGAACTTAGGAGTCATAGAGAGTAGACTGGCAGTAGGTGGAGAGTTGGCCAAGGGCTGCGGAACCCCGAGGGTCGCCTGGGCAGGGGTTGTAACAGCTGAACAAGGCGGGTAAGTGAAAGTACACTGTACAAGTAGGAAAATCCTCACCTAGCAAGAGCCTCGTAAGCCGCACAAAGGCATTCGTAGTCATTAGAGGGACAACCTTCAGTCTGGAAGCAGTGTTAACCAAGGCGACGAAGGACCTGAGAAATTGCGACTTACATTTTTTGTCTCTTTAGCCGCGCAGAGGCTAACAATACCTTCATATTGGCAGCCGTCGTTCTGAGCCGAAACGCCCGCTAACATAAAAATAAAGCATGGCAAGAGGAGCTTCATGTTCAAAGAGCTTTGCAAGTATTGTAAGTTGAAACAGACCTTTGGGCGAAACGAAATATGACAAAATGGAAAGCCAATATCGGGGGTAGGGAAGCATTTATCTTGAGGAATTAAGGGTTGACGGTCGCAAACCTTGGCAAAGAATGGCGTCCTTCGCATTGTCAACTGTCAGATCTCGGCCAGGATAGGAAATTGATCGGTTAGCCCGAGGCACATTCAGCAAGGGTTAAATCCAGTCCCGTCCTAATATGGTGAATGATCCAGGTACAGTGGTACTGAGTTTGAGCTAGCATCCCGCGGAAAAACATAACTCATTGCTTATTGTTTGGTTCACTAACCAGACAGGGAACCGAATTGCCTCAAGATCTCAAATCTTACGGAGCTGGCACGACCGATCCTAAGCCTCTAAGTGAAAGCTAAACATCCACCCACCCACCGCTTCCCTGCAATTACGGTAATTTCGGCGATCTACCAGAAAAGCATCAAGACAATAATCGCTGACTGAATTTAGTATAGCGTGATCTGAGTGGGTATGTGTCTAGCGCTCGATAGAGTTCAACAGTGTTAAAGTGCGTATCGATGATCGCTCAAACCCCTTCCTGGAGTATTTTTGAAATCACCCTTCATTTTTTTTCCTTCCCTACAATGGGTCGAGATCTAGAGGCGCATGTAAAAAATTCTGCTTCCGAAAGATCAGCAGACATTAGGAGGCTTCATATAGACTTGCTGCAATGGCGCCTCGATTTCTACCAAGTAAGTTCTACTCCATCGGCTATCATGATATGTCAAAATCAGAACTAATTTTACATATAGATCCAATCACGCTGGGGGCATACATATGACATTTCGAAATTATATGAAAGGAATGTAGAGATGCTACATGATTCGACTCGGATGATACTTTTACGTGCCTAGCCCAATCCAGCAGGACCCGCCGAAATCAGTACTCAGTGTTACAAGGCAGCAAAATCCAGTTTGATATCGCATATTCTCTCTTCCCGCAACGAGGAAATGAAACAGTTGTCAGATATCGACTACGTCAATCTGTGAGAGACGTCCTCCCTTTTCTCACTTTCCTGTCCACATATTACCATCATTGCCGGCTAACATACCCAGCCCCCTATCGTTTTCATCCTTTGCGCCTTTTATGGTCATGTTTCTGCATTCCATCGCAACCTATACCATCGAAGATATATACATTCTGGAGGAGGTAGTGAGCACTTGGCGAAGGGCTCAAAAAGCGTCACATTCAAGTCCACTTGAGAGACTCTCCAATTTTTACGATACATACATTGGACTAGGGAGAAGGTTGCTTGAACTGCAGAGACTCCACATGGATATTACTGTCCTGCAAAATCTCAGCCTGGATTTGGTGAAAGACCCAAAGCGCTCCATCCTAATCACAGACGCTGTGCATTCTGTACATATAGCCCTGGAACGGAATCCTGCTGATGTTGCCAAGTTCCAAACCGCGTTGGATCATCTTAATGATTGGGTTCGCGGACTCGGACAGTCGCTTCCTATGGAGCTTTCTGGCATTAATTTCGAAGTCGGCAACGTTTCATGACGATGCGTATTTTATTGAAATGTTATTTTTAGTGGTCTTCAAGGGCTTGAGCTTTTCAAAGGATCTTTGGACACTGGAAACCCGAGGGTAGTCACGGTTGTGAACATTACACTTCGCCGCGATTGGCTCTAGAACTACCTCGCCGATCGATTGAATTCATCCCGATAGAAAGATCAGTATTTTAAAACCTGGAATCAGTCAGCCGCGTCATAAATCAATAACCCTACTCCGAAATTATCTCAGAGCACCTTTCAATTCATCGATAGTTTAACAGCTGTCGATCCTACACCTCGCTCTCCCAGCAAAAGAAAGGGTGGACCAGCCAACCCAACCTTACCAACCCCAGAAAATTCTCCGCCTCTCGCAAATCCACTTACCTCAAACAAGACCAGATCAACAGAGCGGGGGAATCACGAGGGTCTAAGTTGACACCAGTCAACCCGTAAAGTCCCACATCTCTTCCCCCGCAACCAACAACAATGGGGAGCCAAGCCCCGTATCCACCCCCACAACAGCCTGGATTGAACAATTGAGGCTGGCACCCCCATAGCTTAAACAGGAGAGGGTCTCAAGCGACAAATCGTAGCGCAGCTATTCAGCCTGTTCAGCACTCGTCCAATCAAAGCCCGATTATCAAGATCGTTGTCAGCCGCGGGATAAATATCTCGGCTGTGAAGCCCTACTTCCTCTGCCGAAGGGGTTTCCCCGGACTACTACGGAGTCCTAGCTTTAGATTACTTCTGCTAGCCACCTAAACATTGGGGGGGGCTAGGTATAAAGGGGCTAATGGTGCCCCTCCCCATATGAGTACTTTCTAGGAGAAGGGAAGAAAGATAACATTCGAGTTTGTATTACCCTACATTTTCTCTCCCCTTCCTTGCGTCATCATTGGGTCGTTCGGGAGTCAGCCCAAAATTCCTTCTAGAAAACGAGGAACGGATGCGATGTCTTCCGAAAGTGCCAAAAGTGACCACGACGCTCAAATGGAGAAAGTCGCGCCCAACAAACCAGCCGTTGATCTAGAAGCCCTCGGCGAACGAGAGGGCTACGTCTTGAATGACGCGACACTCGCCCATGACCAAGGGTTAAAGACCGCAGCAGACGGACAAACAATTCTCATCCCACAGCCTAGCGACTCACCCAATGATCCTCTCAATTGGACTCCGTTCCGCAAACACTTGATTCTGATTATTATCTCCTGCACGGCTTTCTTGCCTGATTATGGAAGTGCTACGGGTGCTGTTACCCTCGTGCCGCAGGGCGAGTAAGTAGCCCCCTTCAAGGTTCCATTTTCAAGTGGATTTATCACCCCTTCCGAGTCTCCAGTCACTTCTGGGTAATGATCGTACTACTACATATGTATACTAACAAATGTGGTGCCCTTAGAGAGTGGAACATGGACCCCAATGTCGTGAATCACTCACAGGTCGGAAACGTTTTCATGCTTGGCGCAGCTGGCCCCATTATCGTCGCGCTTTCAGCGTATTTTGGCCGATTTCCGATTCTGTTTTGGTGGGCTTTACTTGCTCTTGCTACGGCTGTTTGGTGTGCTGCTGCTCAGAGCTTTGAGTCATTCATGGTATGTTTTTATATCCTTCGTTATACAGCAGAGAGGGTTCAAGTTCTTTCCATCCACCCAAGGCAAATGCTAAAATGATATTATAATATTTCTAGGCCGCGCGCATTCTCAATGGCTTTTTCTCAACTGTCGCGCAAGGTGTACGTCAAGTTTCCGCAAATTCCCCCATCCCTCTGAAGCCATTCCCACCTGGGCATAGTCAGTCACTCTCAGTTACTAACCCGCATCAGGGCGGCCTAATGTTCATAAAAGACATGTTCTTCTTCCACGAACACGCACGTAAAATAAACATCTGGTCCGGCTTCATAATTCTCTCCCCTTACATGGGCCCACTACTCGGCTCATTCATAGTGAACACTCAAATCTGGCAATGGGCCTTCGGCCTCTACGCAATCGAGACCGGTCTCTGTCTATTCGCTATAATCATCTTCGTGGACGAAACGTACTACGATCGCAAAACTGTCCAGCCCGAACTCGTCCCCAATGGACCTCGGTGGCAGCGCATGTTGGGTATTCAGCAGGTTCGTTCGGGGTACATTAGGAATTCGTTCGGGGAGGCGGTTATGCGGCCTATTACGATTATTTGCAAGCCTGTTGTTTTTCTGACGGCTTTTGCTTATTTGCTTATGTTTGCTTGGGTTGTTGGGATTAACACTACGCTTTCGATCTTTTTGGCGCCGGTTTATGGGTTTGATGCTAAAGCTATCGGTAACCACACCTCACCCTACCCTAATCTCCCTCTTCAAGTTCTTGACTTGATTAGATCCACCATTTGGCAGATTGCTGACATTTGCCATTATTTTAACCTTTAGGCTTCTTCTACTTCACCCCCGTCGTAGCCGCAATTCTCGGCGAAGTAGCCGGCCACTGGCTCCACGACGCCATAGCAAAAACCTACACAACCCGACACGGAGGCCGTTTCGAGCCCGAAGCCCGACTATACGCAATCTGGTTCTCGATGCCATTCCTCGTCTCGGGGCTGATATTGATGGGCTTCGCACTGGAGCGCGAGTATCACTATATGCTTGCCGCGCTGGGGTGGGGACTTTACGTATTCGGGATCATGGTTGTGACTGTTGCTATCAATTCTTATGTTTTGGATAGTTACCCGGAGGCTAGTGGGGAGGTTGCTGCTTGGGTGAATTTTGGTAGGACTTGTGGCGGGTTTATTGTTAGTTATTTTATGATTGAGTGGGCGGAGAAGGAGGGGACTGTTAAGCAGATGGGGACTATGTGTGGGGTTGTGGGGGTGGCTTTCATTATGATTCTTGCTTTGCAGTATTTTGGGAAGAGGTTGAGGGGTTGGTCTGGGCCGGCGGATTTTAAGACGGGTTAGGGTTAGTAGGTAGCAGGTAGAGGGGCAGTAGTTATAGTACGATATGTACGATTGATCTGGTTATAGATGGAAGTAGTGGATACTAGTATCGCTGCAGTCTGCAGTGGGCGTCGATTTTGAATAGCTCAGCTTGAAATTTTGCAGTTCCATTTTCATTCATATCGGTTCGTATCTGACATTTGAGTACATGAAAAGAAAAGATTATTACGGCCTCCAAGAGGATCGGTATGTACAAAAGCTCGTTCTATTAAAAGTCAAAAAGCCCAAACGCCAATTGGAAAGGTGCTATGCAAACATCATCGTATAAGATCGAGGATCAAGAGAAGAACGTGGACGTGGACGTGGGAATATTTATGTTCAAATCAGCGGCTGTTGCTGCTGCGACCCCACGGGTTCACCGGATGTCAAGCTAGAATCCTCGCCCCGCACAAAATTTCCGAATGTCAGCACGGCCTGGAAAATCTCCTTGCCAGTAGGTACGATGTGTTCTGAGGGAAGGAGGAAACCGTAGCTGCCGCGGTCACGGAGTTTGATCTGGAAAGAGTATCTGGCATTCAGCTTATGATAGAACCAGTCTAGGGCACTGCCGCCCGAATTCAGATTGGCTGCTTCCCCGTTCGGCAGAATACCCTCACAGGCAGATGTCACGTCGTATGACTCCCGAGTGGTCATTCGAATTGCCTTGGCCAGGCCCAAAGCCAGCTCCTCTAAGCTTTCAAGGGTGGGAGGAATGGAGGAGCAGGTGTAGGAGTAAGGGTATAGGATCTGTTGAGAGTAGGAGTGTAGATCCAAGAGACCGATGATATCTGCTCTCCCACTCTCAGTCTCGTTTTGCGTCCACTGGGCCAATTGTTGAGATTCAAATGCTTCGAAGGGTTCGGCACCGGCATAATTCTCTGAGCAGGGGTTTGAGCGGGTTGTTTCGCCATCCCACTCAAAATCCCAGGCACGGTCGAGATCGACTCCTGGGCAGATCGGGAGGCCCGTTGGCTGTCGGTTCTTCCGCCATAAGCGGTCCGACTCCCATGAGTAGACGTAACCATCGGGGTTCAAAGTTGGGATGAAAACCCAGTCATATTCATTAAGAAGATGGGTGACCTCGAGCGACTCGCCATACTGGGTGATCAGGTTATAAGCAACATAGGTGACCGTGGAGGTACTGATCCACTCCCGAGCGTGGAGACCGCCCATCATGACGATGGTCTTCCGCGGCCTTGGCGAAGCATGTCCATCACGACGTGCGCCGAGTCGTAAAGCCGGGATCTCTCGGCCTTCGTAGGTGAGACCAATATTGGTGAAGCTGGCATGGGAGGAGAACATTGAGGCCATCAGTCGCATCCATTGCACGATGACGGACAAGGGCTGATATTCGCGAAAGAAGACATCCTCAATGTCGGCGGTGCGGCCGTGGGCGGATCCAGTTCCCGTATCGGGGTGTAATGGGTGCAAAGAGTGATAATGAGTTCTTGGGTAGGTGGCATAGATCATATCGACGAGATCATCCATTAATGGGGTGTGCGATGTACGGAGGGAAGCAGGCAGCAGCTCCAGCAGGGAAGGAATCTATGATCAGGATATCCGCGATTAGCAACTTGAACAAGGAATTGAAAAGTTTGAATGAATCAGATGAGACATGACTCACCATGCTATCTGTCAGTCGAATGTCCACATATTCTGCGGTAATGGCCCAGACGTCGAGGAGCAAAACCCGGGAGGCGGCGGCCAAAGCGTCCGCTTCTTCCGGCTGGCGAATTTGGAAGCGGAGGACAACATCACTCTCATAGCGATCGCGAACATTGGAAGGAGGGAGATTCTGGGCATGCTTGGGACAGTTGGAGTGCTCAATACCCCAGACGGATTCGATGACCCAGTCACGGAGTCGGGTCCACGGACGGCGTGGGTCTGGTGGGTGAGAGAGCTGGTGAGCGGGCAGTAGCGGAGGTGGAGGAGTAATGCTAGAACCAGCTGGGATGGCGAGGATGGAAGGAATTCCACTGCCAGCCAAAAGTAAATAGGCCGGAAGAAGGCGCATGGTGGGGGTGGAAGGTTCAAGTTCCAAGTTGAAGAGGTGGCGGCGGTGGAGGTTGAAGTGGTGAAGGAGGTGAAGTGCGGAGAAGGCGGGGAGTAGTCATCACTTTAGTATAACTAGAAAGTGGTGGTAGTGGTGTGGGATACAACTACTAGTATAACTCTACCTTAAATAACTAAATATACTACTATAGTCTAGTACTAATGTACTGTTTTGACAGGAATATTTACTACTAGTATTATTTACTAGAGTAATAATGGTAGCATACTGGTTTACCTGGAGTGTAACTATAGTATTAAGGCAGTGGCAGTGGCAGTGGCAGTATATAGTAGTAGTAGTAGTAGTAGTAGCATAGGCTACAGTGTTTACCACACTAAAATAAAGTTACAACTTGAACTGCTAGTAGAGCACCTAGTATCTGGCATAATTCTATTAATATAATGTACTAGTATAATTAAAATAATCTATTAACATAAACAAAAACATACAAATGAAATATTCAGATTATAATATACTCTACACTACTACCACTCACTACTGTCACTGCACTTGGCACTGGCACTGTTAGTAGCAGTACCTAGTTTCCACCCACACCACCTTCTCCTCCAGTTCTCTCCTCTCTCCCCGGTACTACCCACCATCACCATCACCTTCTACCTACTACCACCTACGACCACCTTCTACCACCAGCACCTTCTCCCTTCTAGAACATCCAGACCAGTCCAGACCTCATCCAACGTGGCTGTTCTCGGTCCATCCACTTGGCTCCCCTTGCCGCGTTCCCCTTTTTCGCCAGCTGACGACTCGGACCCTCGCAACTCCACTCCACACTTGCCCACTCCACTCTTCTCAATCCCACCGCGTTCTGGATTCCTCCTCCACGTCGCCATGCACCATTGATCCCTCCTTCCAACTTATCCTCTCCCAACCTTCTCCAAGGCACACCGTATGGGTCTGATTACCGTCCTCGTGCTTCGTTGCTATGCATTGGAAAGGCCTGCGGCTGGTCGCCGATAGTAGCTCCAAGCGCCAGAGCACTATCGACCCTCAAGCCTACGCCCAACCCCAAAGTCGTCGCAGCGAGCATCTCCCTCGTCCCTCCCCGCCGTCCACTGAGCCGCGATATTCCGAGTCAACTCCGCGTCTCCCGGGTCTCTCTCCGCCCAACGAACAAGCCGAGTTTGAAAGTCCATCCGATGCTGCGAGGGGGGCTCCAGATCCCTGGCGAGCAGGGGGGGTCTACCGCATGGCCATGGCCATGCGGTAGACCGGTCCGACTTTGCCGGCTCCTCCTCCGCCGAAACCTCCAGTCTGCGGAGGAAACGCTTCAGCTTTATGAGACTACGCCATGCCTCCGACCCCCAGCTTTCAAAAAGCTACACGAAAGCCCAGCAAGAAGCTCCTCCAGTGCCTTCTCTACCACCTCCGAAGATCATCACCACTGCCCCGACGAGCAATGAATTGGATCAACCGGTAAAACAACGGAATAAGTTCTCCTTCCGCCCATCCTCTCGTAAACAATCCATGGAGGATTTATCACGGAGTTCAACGGATCATCCAAGATCAAAACAGACTCGCAAGAACCAGGGCTCGACTGATTCCCAGATCGGCGACTCGAGCCTTTCGACCTTCCAAACAACTTCTGAGACCCCCGGGCGACTCTCGACGAACTCGCTCCGAGGTGGCAGCCGGGACCAACCCTTTGATTCGAATCGATCCTCTGCCGTGGACCCCCGATTTTCTGAATCGTCGCGGTCAGACCAGAGCTATGGGGATCAAGCCCCTACATATCAGACCAACTCTCCTCGTGAAGGCCACGGTTCTACATCTAGTGCCAAGCGATTCCGCTTACCCCGTCTCAAGCGCAACAGGAGTCCCCTCTTCCCACTTCCCCCGAAACCAACCCCCAGCAGCCGCGCGCTGGACGCCGCCCCAAAGCTCTCCGCCGATACTCCCAAGTCCGAAGGCTCAGTGGATCACGACCAGGTCTCACCTCTTCCCTCCCCTTCACGTTCCTCGATCGGATTAGCCTCCTCGGTCCCCCCCGCAACTCTTCCGTAACGACTCCACGAATTCCGCTCGCTCCTTGCGGTCCAATCCGTCTCATAATGGCCGCGGTCGATCATCAACAATGGGATCGGTGGCCGAGAATCAGGACGATTTATCTCCCGTCCCATACCTCGCATCCTCAGGACGTACTTCGACTTCTACCAGTGGCCGCAAGAGCTTCGGCGATCTTTTCAATATTTCCCAGCGTTTGCGTCAGAATTCTGAGCCCCCATTCCCTCGACATGGTTCCCCTGGTGTTGGCGGCCCCGGATCAATGACTCCAGTTTCAAAGCCAGAGTTACCACAAGTCCCTTCGCGGGAGGAAGATGATACGCCAGCCAGCTATCTCACAAAGCTAGAAGAAAACCTGCCAAAGGGATCTATCGCCGGTATCCTTGCTCAGTCGGACCAAGAATTCTTCAAAGTTGCCCTCAGAAAATACATGCGAGGGTTCCACTACTTTGGCGACCCTATCGACATGTCTATCCGGAAGCTGTTGATGGAAGTAGAGCTACCAAAAGAAACGCAGCAAATCGATCGTTTCCTCCAAGCATTCGCAGATAGGTACCACGAGTGCAACCCCGGTATCTTTGCAACCACTGGTATGGTTTCCGCGGCATGATCCGCTTCCAGCCCTTGTCTCCTAAACTAACTATGTTTCAGACCAGGCGTATTTCATCGCATTCTCGATCTTGATTCTCCACACCGACGTTTTCAACAAGAACAACAAGCGGAAGATGCAAAAGCCCGATTATGTGAAGAATACCCGCGGCGAGGGCATCTCTGATGACATATTAGAATGCTTCTATGAGAACATCTCGTACACTCCATTCATCCACGTCGAGGATGCAAATCTGCGCGAACGCAATCTGGCCAAGCCACGACGAGCTCTGTTCAAGAGTACAAGTTCCGAGCATTTGTCACGAGTATCCAGGGAGCCTGTGGATCCGTATACACTCATTCTCGATAGCAAACTCGGCTCCCTAAGGCCCACCTTGAAAGACGTCATGGAACTGGAGGACACCTACAATCACATTGGAACCGACGGGCTCCCCGATATCGATGACTTGCACCAGGCTTTCACTAAGTCGGGAATTCTGCAGATCATATCTCTCCGCTCGCGCCCGGATGCTTTCATGCAAGGGGTTGTCGACAGTTCTGCCGACTCCAATCCCGGTCTGGTAGACATTAAAGTCGCCAAGGTCGGTCTTCTCTGGCGAAAAGACCCGAGGAAGAAGCGAGCCCGATCTCCGTGGCAGGAATGGGGCGCGGTCCTCACCTTCTCACAGCTTTACTTCTTCCGCAATGTCGCCTGGGTACGCTCGCTCATGGCGCAAAACGATGCGTACGTGAAGGGTGGACGGAAGGGAACTATGGTCTTCCGACCTCCCCTTGCCGAATTCAAGCCCGATGCGATCATGTCGACCAACGATGCCGTGGCGCTCTTGGACACGGAATACAAGAAGCACAAGCATGCGTTTTCGTTTGTGCGACGCAATGCGATCGAAGAGATCTTCCTTGCAGCCTCAGAAACCGAGATGAATGACTGGATTTCGAAGCTCAACTATGCCGCCGCCTTTCGAACTACTGGCGTTCGTACTAAGGGCATGATCGCTACGAACTACGAGGGTCAACGGTATCGCAAGAGCCAGCGAATGAACTCCATCTCGTCAATCCAGTCACAACAGTCATCGGACAAGGAACCTCCCTCGCCCAGCATCGACACCGATATTGTGGCAGGGTTTGTTGCTGCCCGTCGTCAATTGATGAGCCAGAAGATTCGGGAAACCAATGAGAAGCTCTTCGTCACGCAGAGGCAGCTTGACGATCTTCTGCGGAATGCACGACATCTGCAAATACTGACTCCTGTTCATCCTCGTGCCCGTGAGGGTGTCATCATGGCGGCGGGTCGCATGGCCGCCAAGCTTAAGTGGGTTAGACAAGACATCTGGCGCAACAAGTGCTACCGAGAGGTTCTTCTTCGGGACCTCGGCGAGGATGAGAGCGTTGTTCCGGAGCGAGCGGCGTCGCTTGGCGATGAGCCGGCCAGTTCCATTCCAGCTCGTATGGCATCGGTCTCCGGTCCATCGGTGAAATACGAGCCTAGTATTCAGCATAGTATCCAACAAGCGCCGAGTATCGTCCATACAGTGTCCAGCCATGATACGGAAGAGACTACTGCGGCAACAGCGGCTGTGGAAAGTCCCCTCGACCCTGCCCTCCTCAAACAGCCCTCGGTCGATGAGATGCGCCGCCCTAGTCTCCCCGCATCAACTACCTCATCTGACTTTGCTCGTGTTGGCCGCCCGCTCTCAATTGCCCTCGCTTCCGACCAAGGCAAGGCCTCTGATTCAGACGTGCAACTTGAGCGTGAGGCTTCGGTGGTTAGCCGCGTTAGCCGCTTTGATGGTGCCAGTCTCAACTCTCGAGGCTCCAGGCTCACTTCCCCTGCCAGTTGGGACGAGGACGAGGAACGCCTGCTACGAGAAACAGGGTTGTTGGATTTGAGTGGCTCTCCCCCACCACGGAAACAACCAACAACTGTACCGGAAGCCGACAGCGAGGATAAACCAGACGAATTATCCGAAGTATCTCAAAGTGACAGGCCCAGCCGTGTCCGTCGCAGCCTGCATCGCTCACTGCGTGAATCTCCTCATATTCATATGAATCGGCACCACTCGCACACCCACAGCAAAAAGAGCCGCGGATCGGTGTCCAGCATTGGGCCTCTATCAGACGATGACACTACCCATGAAGGCGGCCTTTCGCGGAAGACACCTAGCTTCACCGTGCACGGCAAAAAGGCCTCCGTTGTTACCTTCGGATCTGAGTGGCAGAACATGTCTCCTGAGGAACGTCTCAAGCTAAGGAAGCCTACTCCGCACGATGAACCCCGAGCCTCCGAGCCGAACATACTCAGTAGCGGCGAGTCGGTGAGATCAGGAGGCCCAGACGGCCGACCTCGATCCTTCCGCAGCGTCAGCACCACAACTGGGATCAGCATGCGCAGTGACGACGAGCCGATCGACTTCTTCAAAGATGCACACGAGGATTTACCCCGACCTTCTCAGGATGTAGCTCCAGACGAAACAGTCGCCAGTGATCCCCCCCGAATCGCCTTCCGGAACGATCATCCTCAATCACCACCACCTTACCCCACCCCACAGCGCACCGTCTCCATCGTCAAATCCCCTAGGTGCGCCTCCATCATCGGAGAGCCTTCGACAACAAGCCGTGGGTGTGTAGCCCATGTCACCACTCACGGGTCTCGGCTCTCGGCCCTCTCCTTCTATTACCATTCGATCGACACGCATTGTATAGCTCGAAATCCGTTTGATCTGCTGTTTTTTATGACGATTATACCCCCATTTCCACTTCAACTCCTATTTCCCGTTGGGCCCTTTGCATTGAACGATGGCTGGAACTGATCGATCTCTGATTCTTTTTGCCTTTCTTCCTCGTTCTCATTCTCACAGCCTGATTGCCTTTTTTTTTCCTTTCCCCCTACCTTCCTCTCCCTCTCTCTTTCTTTCTCTCTTCGTGGTTTCGGTCCGGACGGGGTTCATTTGATCTGTGCATTGCAATGCATGGAAAGCATGGGAATGCATTTTGGTGCGACGGGATTACAATTTGTTTTGTTCCGTCTATGGTTTCGCCTCATCTTTTACTATCTGTGGTGTTCAGAGTAGCAGTTGAGGTTGTTTGAGGTTCTCAAGTCAAGTCAAGCCTTCGATGTGATGGATGTGATGTGATGCAGTGCAGTGCGATGTGTACCTCGATCCCTGTCATGATCACTCAATTCGTGCTTGGCCTTCCTAATAGGATTCAGGCTAGTAGACAAAAGAAAAGCTTATTCCAATTGTCAATGTGACTTAAGTCCATAATCTTCCAAAAAATACTCCGTATAGAGATCAAATACTGATATGTACTCCAATACTTGACCAGTTATACTCCGATGATGCGTAGCTCCAGGCGGTGAAGATATCCACCAATGAAAGCTGCCAACGGCACAAACTCCACTTAAGCTCCGCAAAAGTCCCGTCTCCAATCCCAATTCCAATTCCATCCATCTAAACTTCAACTCTGCTCTTCGTCAATCCAATCCAATCCAATCCCCCAAACAACTCGAAAAAAACCTACAACACTACTACTACCCCTCACCCAAACCACAACGACCGCCAAAAAATCTCTACCCAAACACAAACTTAAACAAAATGGCGCACTCAAAGCGCAACACCTCCCTCCCACACTTCACATCCTACGAAAGAAGCCTATTACGCTCAACATGGGGCACAAAGCGCAGCGTAATAGGCCGAGACTCCTTCCTCCCCTTCGCATCCTGCAAACTCTGTCTCCAACCCGCCCGATCACCAGTGGTATCCTGCTCCACGAACGGCGACCTCTTCTGTCGCGAATGCGCTATCGCCGACCTACTTGCGCAAAGGCAGGAAATTAAACGCGGCGAGCGGGAGCGTGATGAGGCGAAGAAGCGCATTGCGGAAGATGATGAGCGCATGGCTGATGAGGCCAAGGCTAAGGATTTGAGGGAGTTTGAACTTGTTTCTATGGGGTTGGGTGGTGGGGCGGGGAAGAAGCGTAAAGCTGGGAATGTGAAGGAGGAGGAGGAGGCTATTGCCAGATTTAAGGCGAGAGAGGTTGAGGTTGATGGTGTGAAGAGGAAGGTTTTTGAATTGGATGAGAAGGATATGGCGCGCGTTGCGCGAGAGGAGAGGGAGAGGTTGAGGGATGAGTTGAAGAAGGAGAAGGTGAGTTATAACCACATTACGGGGTTACGGTACCCTAAGCGAGTTCTATGCTAACGCTGCCTCAGTCCGAATCCAGCAAATCCGCCCTCCCATCTTTCTGGGTTCCATCCCTAACGCCAAATACCGACGCCAATGAAATCGCTGCCAGCAAAGCCGTTAAATTGGCGCCTATTTGTCCCGGGTCCTCCGAGACGCATAAGCATACTTATTCGCTGAAATCGTTGGTCGAGGTTCATTTCACTGAGGAGAAGGGTTCTGATGGGTCGGTTTCTCGCGTTTGTCCGAGTTGTAAGAAGAATCTTAGTAATGGGTTGAAAGCTATGCGTATGTTTCTTCTTCAATTTTTTATTGATTGATTTTTATCAACTCTGAGGGGATAAAGGCTAATTCGAATACTATCTACAGTCACAAAACCATGCGGTCATGTCATCTGCCAACCATGTGTCACAAAATTCATGACTCCACACGCTGTCCTGGATCCGCATGCCTCGAAAGAAGAACAGGCTCAACACGGACTGGTACTGTGTTATGTTTGTGAGACGGATCTTACGCCTCGTGAGGAGAAGTCTAAGGATGCGGATGGGTCGAAGAAGAAGTCTAAGAAGAAGGATAAGGATGGTGTTAAACCTGGTCTTGTTGAGGTTAGCTCTGAGGGGACGGGCTTTGCTGGGGGTGGTGGGAATGTGGCTACTAAGACTGGTGTTGCTTTTCAGTGTTGAGCCGATTCTGGATGAAGTGTTAATGAATTATACCAGTAGACATGAGTTTGAATATACTAGTGCAAAGGCCGCTACTTATTCACTACGTCCCCACCTATACATTCCAGTGTGCTAGTAGAACGAACGATGGGTCCTGTTGGAATTGAGTGACGATCTAGCAGCACCACCCAGAAGAAACTGAAAAACATCGTTGGCTTTTGAGTGGATGAGAGAGCTTCCAAGATCGAGCGCTGTGAGGCTTAGATCTCCAAGCAGTGCTTGCATAGGCGCCTATACAGCCAATTAGAGAGCACTTCCTCCCAATACGAACAACAACACCGCCGCTACTAGAAGTCGATGCTGATCATGATAATGAGCCTAGATGGACTCAGGCACTTGAAGCAGCAGCAACCGGTGGCCATTTTCATGTAGTTGAGCGACTGCTGGCAACTGGTATCCACTGGAATATATATGACGCTGGAATAAGAGCTATGCAGGCATCAGCGGGAGCAGGCCAGTTTCAGTCTTCCAAAGATCTTCGGGCCCCAGGTGCGACTTTTGAGTCCCAGGAGTATGACCAGGTGTTTGAGAGCAAGTAATAAATAGTAAGCGGAGCGACTGCTTATTGCAACAAACACCAATCTTCGTTCAACTATCAGACAAGCCCATTGCTTCTTTTCATCAACACGACTTGCCTTATTGTAAAGTATCCTCGATCGTGCTAGATTTTTGATAGACTTCAGCTATGTTGAGATTCTTCCGGGAATACTAGTATGTAAAATAGGATATAACTGAAATTAAATGATTGGAGATCTAGGAGAAGTCCCAGATGACTGCTTGCCCCTACGGGTCAAACGATCTGCAATGGTAGCCTGAGTCCCATAGTTCGACTCACTACAGCAACGAACCACGATAGCCCAAAGAGGGAAATTTATTTATGAAATAAAATTAGATACTACAAGTCCCGTAAGGGCTAGTAGTATTATTACCCCCACGGATCAAAAGATCTACAGTGGTAGCTTGAGGGTGGAGGCCCCCCCACGTTGGACTACACGATATACTATATAGAAGTGAAACTTATAGTATAAATAATAAAAGTAAAATATATAAACCATCTGGAACTTCTCTCGCGATTTTCCTCTCTGTGTTTAGTAATCCCAATGATCTCTCAGGGGCTAATTTGACTCGATAGCGCGAAAAGCGCCGGGAGAGGGGGGGGGGGTGGCTGCATGCGGAGGGGGCCTTTGAGGACCTTGAGAGAGTTGCCAATATATTTGCCCCAATCATAATAGTTTGAGAATGAAAGAATGGCGATCGGTTGAGTTTCCAAGGTTCCCCCATTTCTCCCATCCAAATATTTTACATTTCTTCCCATTTTTATACTATAAGTTGGATAACTATACGCAGTAGTACACTGAAGTATACTGTAGTTGCTGCGGAGTACGTTGACCGCCAAGCCTCGGGCGTTGACATCATTCAACCTTTCCTCTTTCGTCCGCTTCTTCACTTCCTCTCTTTCTTTGTCCCCATCCGCACTCGCCATGGCTTCCAACGATATGCGGGGTTGGGTCATGAGCGGCGTCTCAGGCGTTGGTGAGTCTGACTACTCTTTGTTCCCATGTATGCAACTGATCTCCCTCCAGCTTGTGTCCTCGGATCGGCTGTCATTTGCGTTGACTTGGTGATGCGGCGGCTCACTCACCACAAGAGCTTCCAAATCGCCAACAGTAATAATTTCCTGTCGGCCTCGTTATGTCTCAGTGCTGGTGTGATGGTGAGTAACCCATTTCTGAGACATTACCCCAACATATTCGCATCGCTTACCAGCACTAGCTCTTCACCTCTTTGTATAGCATGCTCCCCACCTCCAAGGACTACCTCACGCGCGCCGGCTTCTCCCCAACTTCTTCGGCCTATATTTTGATCAGTCTCTTCCTCGGAGGTGTGATTATCATCCAATTTCTCTCCGGCTTCATTCATCGCTTCATCCCGTCGCATGTGGTAGATTGCGCGCATAGTCACGGTGGCGCGGAAATTGATCCCGAGCGCGGCGAGACCCATCTTGCCGGAGGCGACCACCATGACCACCACAACCACCGCCACCACCATGATATGAATGGCAACACCGAGCGGACACCCCTCTTGCGACCCCCCAACTTGGGCCACTCGTTCAAATCCACTCCGGCAGTCCTACAGCGTACCCCGGTGGGCTCGCACTCTGTAAAGCGGGAATCGCTTCAGGCAATGCTCACCCGGCGAATCACGGCGTTGGTGGGCGGTGTGAAGCCCCTTTGTGACGAGAATGGACCATGCTATGGCTTCTCCCAGACCTGTGGGCGTGAATGCACCAAGGTATTTCCTCCGGAGTCAAGCCCGCCGCCTGCAGGTGCGAACGAAGTCACGCATGCCTCGCTGGTGCCACAGCACCAAAGCAATAGCGTACAACTAGAACCGGAATGCGCAAATGGGGCTGAATCGACCTCCGAACAATTTATAACTACCTCTGATACCGGATATTACGACGCGATTGCTTCTCAGCACCCGCTTCATCATACCGCCAGCTCTTGTTCCTCGTCTCCACCGCAAAAACCTCAGTCTGAACATACCATCCATGTCGATGTAGACACTCATCATCACCATCACCCCGACGATACGCATGATCACGCCAACCCAGATGTGTCCAAAATTGCTGGCGACAGTACACACCATCATCACGTCCCGCAAAATGCATTCTTGTCCATTGGTCTGCAGACCGTCGTCGCGATTGCTCTTCACAAACTTCCCGAGGGCTTCATTACATACGCCACAAACCACGCCAGCCCGACTCTCGGTCTTACAGTATTCTTGGCTCTATTTATTCACAATATCGTGGAGGGGTTCGCTATGGCTCTACCACTATACCTGGCCCTCAACTCCCGCTGGAAAGCCATTTTTTGGTCCAGTCTGCTTGGCGGTATTAGCCAGCCCGCCGGCGCCGGTCTCGCAGCCTTATGGATTTGGGGAGCAGGACGCAGCAGCCATGACGCCCATGGCCCATCTTGGGGTGTTTATGGCGGAATGTTTGCTGCTACCGCCGGCGTGATGACATCTGTTGCTCTTTCCCTTTTCAGCGAGGGCTTAGGCTTGACACATCACCGAAGCATGGGTATTGGATTTGCTGTCGCTGGAATGGGACTCATGGGCGTGAGCTTTGCCTTGACAGCTTAAATGGCCTTACCCTAGATTGATGACACTCTTTTTGCATACAATTGGCGCTGCACATTGCATAAAAAATCACGAAAAAGATGGTTGGGCGTTGCTTTGGCTTTTTCTTGTATCCTTTTTTGCTGGAGTTCCAGAAGTGCATACACATTTTTATTCATTAACATGATGCACACGATGTGGACCAGGTACATGATTGTCGGTGTGCTCGAGTTGCTTTTTACAGCTGTTGTCAATACTCCATTAAACGAATTATGATTGTTTTATAAAAATCTCTCCTTTTCCAATTTCCTTATCTACTACTAAGCAGTATACTTGATGCTAACCTTGGAAAGCACGAGTTTTTCATGAAATAGTAGCATTAACTGAACTCAGACTAAGGAGATATCATGACAATTTAGTCTCCGACAAATATATCTTACTTATAAATCCCAAACTCCCAAACTCCAGATCCTTCGCACCCAACAATCAAAGGGTTATTATAACTTATTGGTATACTTCTCCCTCACAGCGCCTGCACCGAAATCCTCCTCACATGCCCACTACCATTCATCAAACCAACCCCACTGGACTCACGCAGATGATTATGATGCGTGTCACTCTGACGCTCATCCTCCAAGTCCTCAACATCAATACTAAAGCGTCTAGGCTTCGACCAAACGCCAAACTTCTCTCCACCATTCGCTTCCCCAACACTCTTAATTTGCTCAGACTGAAGACCAAAGCGCTCAGTGACCTGCGAAACCAGATCCGCATGCGCAGAAGACCTAGTAGAAGTATGCGGACCACCAAGACGCAACTGAGCCCGGCGCATCAACTCCATATGCTGCGTCGCTGTATCGGCCGCACGTGGATGATCTGTAGCATCGGAGTCACTGAGCAAATCGTACAACACGCCTTCGTGCAGTGTTGCGGCAGATTGATGATCGTTAGACGCAGTGAAAAGCCCAGAGAGCAATTTTGTCATTTCCAGCGTGACGGGATCACAGCTTCCCCAGACTTGACGCAAGTTGTAGCAGATATCGCGGCAAAGTTGGATAGCCGAGTCGACGGAGCCGCGGCAGAAACGCGTTTCCACGAGTCGTCGGCCAATCCAGACAACCACGTCCGGAGTCCAGAGTCGTTGGACGATTCTTGATGTCCAGAGTTGGGTTAGGATGGCCTCTAGGTCGTCGAACATTTCGTATTCGCCCAGGAGGGTGATTATGTCGTTTAGCTGGGTGAAAGGGAGATCGACGATCTCGATGCCGATCGATTTTGATGCCGTCATTAGTTCTTGTAGGAGGAGCTTCGACTTTACGGACATCTCGTTGAACATTGTTGTGTCTTGGCAACGGGTGGCGTTGTGGCCGCTCAGGTATAGGCAGAGTTGTGTCGCGACGAGAATACTCTCGTAGCTGTTCAGACCGTCGGTGAGATGGAGGAATGAGTGCAGGACACCGGTCACGTCGCTTGCGTCTTGGAAGCGAGATTCATTGCAGAGGTCTCGGACAAGGCTGGTAGTCGTTGTGAGGATGTTCATGTTGTAGCTCTCGCTGTGGACCTCACGGAGACATATGCCGTAGAACTGTTGCACGATATCTCTCTGAGAAATACTGGAAGCAGAGAGTGTAGCGCAGAAGTACTCGTACAATTTCTTATTCGTATCCTTCGCCGCACGAGTGCGATTCTGCTGCGTCTGCAGGCGAGCCAGATTATCACCAGCAATGAGCGTCGGAACGAAGTCATGCCCAGACAGGTTCTTCGAAAATGCCTGTTGGGTTTGCATCTCACGGGTCATTTCGGTCATAATTTCCGAGTAGCTGGTGCGGCGTCCAAATGCTTCTTCGAATGCTGCTACGAAAACTGCGTCGCGGCGATCACCCAGAGCCATGGCGTTGGTTTCGGATCCGTAGACGACGCGGTGACGCAGTTCGTCTCAGGACATTGTTGCCACCTTCGATGAAGCCGCATTCAAGGTAGATGGCGGCGATCTTGCGAGCCCAGTCGGCCATCATGTCTGTTTCTCCGCCGGCGTGAAGGACGTCTGTCACGTATGTGTGGAGAAGGGCATTACCTTGCTGCACGGAGGTAGGCGTGCCCTGGCGCGAGTGAGCAAGGGCAAGTTCGCGGAGCCAAGAGAGGGTGGTTGTTGAGAAGAATCCCTGGGTCTTTTTGGCGAGCTGATACTCTTCGGTATACAAAGAGCGAGCTTCACTTGTAGAATCACGCTTGCGAACGAACAACTGAGCCAGCTTATGTTTCAGCGTAATGGGCAGAGGCTGTGTCATCTGGTCGAGACCCTTTGCAGATTGCGAAGTGGGAACCCATTCGCTTGTTTGCAGGGGCTTCTTGTACAGCGAGATGGCTTCGTCTGTGTACGCGTGGTTGGACTCGCATAGTTCGGCGAAGAGCAGGGTCGCGCTCAGAGTCTTTTGGTGCGTGGGTCCGTATACGGTTTGACAGGTCATCACATATTCAGATGCCACCTTGTAGCGCTCGGAAAATTCAGTACTCGTCGTGTGTGTCGTCAGAATAGTCATGTAGCCGAGGTATGCCTTTTCAATCAGTTTCTCGGTCTGCATCCTGTCGTAGACGGTCATTTGCTCATGTATGACAAGGGTAGGCCAGACATGGCGGTAGACATCAAGAGCAGAGCCCCACTGCAACTCTTTCTCGTATAGAACAATGAGCGCAAGTGCTGCTTCCATTCCTTCGGGTGCGATGGTACTGCCACGTAAGGTTGACTTGTAGATGCGCTGGTAGGTACTCTTGGCTTCATGGTTCATCTCCAACCGGGTCGCCAGGGCAGCTTCGAGGTACATATTTTCGATGGTGTGCTTGTGAGTTTCTCCCAGACGACTGGTGAGGAAATTGCTAACTGAATGGAGCAGGGCCAACGCCTTGGTGAACTGGAAGGTTGTCTCGTAAAATTCAACAACAGCCTTGGCCACAGCAAGAACCGAAGGCACGGGAACTCTGTCAGATGCAACGAGTAATCTAAAGGCATTCTCATAAACAATAGTAGCTTGATCCAGATGAAGTCTGCGGAAATAGCAATATGCCAGGACCAGAGCCAGATCAGCCACGGGAGGTGCCAACTCAGTCGTGATCTTCTTTTGGGATTCGGCCTGCTCGACGGTAGGCCAGACGTGCTGTAGGACAGCCTTTGAGCATTCACTAGCTTCGGACCAATCTTCCTCACGTACATAGATACTCGACAGATTGTGACAGAGAATCAGGGTGGAGACGGAGATATTGCTGGGTGACGAGGTAATCGAGTCCAACAGTTCAACCATCAGCTTGCGGTCGCGACCAGATAGAGAAACACTGTCTTCGATAGACACGGTATTTGCCATTTCCTCGGCTAGAGACATAGCAAGCTCGACGGCATCGGAAGAATATTCCTGATTGCTTTCCTTGTAGTAATTCCACATCAGGATAGACAAAGACCGATCCAGGCTGTACATGTGCATCTCGCGGGTCTCGGCACGAAGCAGCTGCACGCGCTGCATCATCTCATTGGAGTGAATACCAGTAACCTCAAGGTCGGCGACCAATTCACGAATGATCACCTCAGCCTCGTCATTGCGGCCCTGGCGACGCAGGAATTGATAGTAGACGAGAGCGACGTTGGCCTTCTTGTCCATCATATCGACGGAGTCGATGTCACGGGAGTTCAGACCAGCCCAGAGATTTGACAAGATTCCTTGGGCTTGGGCCTTCTCACCCTGTGACTCGTAGAGCTGAGCCATGTACAGAGCGTACTTGATGCGGCGTTCGTCGGTGACATCCATGGTGCGAACCACATTGTCGTACTTGGTACGTGCGATATCGCGGCTCATCTCGTCACTTCCAGTACTCGAGAACTGGCCAGTGAGGAAATCGGCGGTCTCGGACGATTGTCTAGAGCTGGAACCATACTTGACCAGGATCTGCTGGTAGTATTGCCGGGAGATCACAAGAGCAGATTGATTGTCGCTGCGCGTCTTGTATGTACTGACGATCATTCCGAGGTACTTCAGTCGCTGGTTGAACTCCACGCCAGTGACCTCGGTGTCGGTCAGGATGAGATACTTCATAATGTCCTCCTGTTGGGTAGTCATAGTTCCGCTCTCGGTAAATGACTGTGTCATCATCTCGGCACAGGCCAAAGTGATGCTGTCAGATTGTCCCAGAAGCTCTTGGCTGAGTCTCCAAGCATCATAGCAGTGCTCTTCTGCATGACTAGCATGTGCCAATTTGGAAACACGAGCGCTAAGTAGCAGACTCTGCAGGAGCGCCATCGACTTTTCACCAAGGACCAGGCGTCGGATATCAGTCGCGAGACGATATAGCTCAAGGACACTGGACCGAGTGAACTGCGACTCCTTGCACGTAAGCTCGAGGCGAGCAAATAGGACAGTCACAGGAAGAAGCTTCTTGAAGCTGGCAGTGAACTGGAATTCGCCAGCGTCTGTGACTAGAGGTGACGACAGAAGATGCGACAGCCAATAGCGTGCGGTGTATTCCAGCACAGAATACTTATCAAACAGACGGTTGCGCTCCTCCATGCTCAGTTTGTCCATTGAGATTTCGCTCTCTTCACGAACACTCAGCTGGACCCATGCAAGACACCTTGTCAGAAGATCATGATGGGCCTCCTTCAGGCTGAGTGGCGATTTAGCACCGACAGATCTGGCCTGCTTGATGACATGGTCGCGAATACACGTATGCGCGAAAGAGACAACACCATCACGGGTCATAACGAGAGGTCGAAGAGCAGTGGCCCATGCAGAGTCGATATGAGAGATACGCGACACGAAACTTGGTCCCTTTGCGTCGACAGCCAGGAGCTGTTCGACTTCCTCCACCAGCAAAGGTCTCTCGGCAGCGGCCAACCAGGCCATGATCGACTTAGTCTCTGTCTGGCTCAAATCTAGACTCTTCATGTGGAAGTCTAGGAGCTCCGGCATGGTTTGAGGTAAGCTTTGGATAGACGAAATTGATTGCGCCGGATTCCTCTGCTGGCCAGCATGAGCAATTGCCATCTCAGCCCAGCTGAAGGATCCCTGGGAACGATTGACAATGGCAGATACAGCAGATTGAAGCTGGCTATCCTTCGAGTTTTCGAAGTGGGAGCCAGATGAGAGCATCTTGTGGACATATGCCGAGAGGTCGGCGTGGGTCTGGGCGCTTTGGATCGTGAACTGTCCAATGTTTCTGGTACTGAGCTTCGAGCTGAGAGGACGAGTGAAGGCAATCATCTTCGAGCCGGCATTCTGTTCGTCCAAAACGGCCGTGATCTTCTCCAAGAAGGCAATGGCGTCTGAATCGCCACCTTTAATCTGGTCGAGACCATCAATGACAAACATGTACTGGATATTTGAGGCCAATCCAGCGCGAATACCCTTCCAGAGGCTTTCTTCTACCTCCGACTCGAACGCACCATCCATGGAAGCTTGAGCAGCGTGGGCGACCTGGACAAGAATAGCTTCCTGTATTTCCCTGTCACTGACACTGTGATCTAGCATTTGATGCAGAACGCCCTTCAAAATGCGCAGAGGGAGTGTTGCGACCGGAATATCAGCACCTGGGTAAAAGTTTAGTAATTTGATTAGATGATTTAATCTGGACAAAACTCACGAATAGTGTAGGGAATGACATTCCAACTATCATGTTCGGCCGATTCCTGCAAGCGCTCCACAGTCCACTGTGACATAGCACTCTTTCCAGCACCAGGGCCACCAGTCATGAGCAGGACAGGAGACTTGCCAATGGTGAAGTCATATAGAGTATTGTTGAACCATTCAAAGGAGCCATCGACCAAAGTGTGGCTGCGAGAATCGAGAATGAATTGCAGAGGACGATCCTGTACTCCCAGGAACTGTCGAAGACTTCCCAGCTCCGCGCTTGAGTAAATCAAGGAGCTGTGCCTGACAACCTTGGAGGTAGCAGACTCGACAATTGCATTCCAGTGGGTAGAGTAGCGTCTGGCGTAGATCACAAAACTAGAATCCACGTTATGGCCGGTGACATGCTCAGACTCCTTGCTCTTGAAGCCCTCAATACAGCTGGACGAGGTGGTGGAGATCATCTCGAGGAGATCTGCAAACATGGCGGCCGCCTCTGGCTGAAGCTCGGGAGATGACTTATAAGCAGTTTCATATTGAAGCAGCAGGTGAATGCCAACAGCCACACGACCGTATCTGCCAAAGACACTCTCGAAGAGGTCGGTGTTGTCAATATCAGACTATTTTCATCGTTAGCATTCACTCCTTTGAACTTCCATTAGGTCAAGAGTATCTCACCTCCAAAAGTAGAATCAAAAAACCCCATATCATCTTCGCTGCCTCATTGGCGCCGGGTGCAAAGGCTCCGACTGATTCACGCAGGGCATCAACTGCATAGGCGAGGCGAGAAGCCCATCTCAGACTGCAATCCAGTCGGCTTCCGTCGCGGGGCATCCAGCGCAGGCGCTCGGCAGCCACAGCATCGAAGAAAGCATCGACAGTGGGGCCACGCTGGGTGATCTCAATTGCAGACAGGCCCAGCTGAGTCTTGCATTTCTGCGTCACGGATTGAACCTTGTCTTGCAAGATGGTAACTCGGTAGCCACTTCCACCTAGGTTCTGCACGACACGAGTAGAGGAGACACCGGTGGTCGAGCTGGTGGCTTCTTCACTCCTGAAGCCTCCTTGACCCATACCTGCTTGACCCATACCTGCTTGACCCATACCTGCTTGACCCATACCTGCTTGACCCATACCTGCTTGACCCATACCTGCTTGACCCATACCTGCTTGACCCATGCCCTTTTGACTTCCACCCTGCTCAAGACCAGTTCCAAGAGCTCCGGCCCCGGCAATGCCAGCGGCACCGGTAGCAAGTCCGGCACCGGCACCTCGGCCCCCCCGAGCCTCCAAATGCTCCATTATCAGAAGCTGGAGATCCAGACATGGCGGCCATGCCTCCCATGGTTATACCGCCTTGTTTGGACAGGTTCTGGCTCATCGGGTTGGTGGACATGTCGGATGTGCCCTGACCCAGGGCTCCTTTTCCCTTGTTGATACCCTGGCCTGCGGCAACTGATTTTCCACCTTGTTGATACTGCTTGGAGGCCTGTGGGGTCTTCCCTGCGGTCATTCCTTTGCCAATATCGCTCTTCCTCGTGGGGGTAGAGGATTTTCCTGCAAGACCCTGGCCCATTCCCTTGGCGGCAGTCTTACCAGCAGCTCCATCACTGAAGACATCGTCACTGATACCTGATATGGTGTTGAACTCTTCGCTGATAGAGTCACCACCACCACCAAATGTTCCGCCTGCACTATTTCCTTGTGCAGCGAGTCCAGCTCCAGCCATTCCACCTGCAGCTGCTCCTCCGGCTTTAGCTTGCTTGGACTTGCTCTGGCCAGGGGTCGATTTCTTTTTCTGACTGCCGACTCCTAAAGTCTGATTGAACTTCTCTTTCGCCTGGCCCAGTAATCCATGGCCTGGGGAAGATTTGTCTTTGTCCTTACTTGCATCGCTCATCTTGGCTTCATCATCTTTCATGGCGCCGTATTGCCCTTCGGATTTGTTGTTGCTCATCGTTTTCTGGGTAGGGCTAATTCCTCCGGCTTCGTTTGCGCGGAAATTGTCGTTAGCTGGGTCAAGAGCGCTCGATTCTTTGCTCAGGCCTTGCTGCTGATCTTGCCCCAATCCTTTAGCACTTGTCTGGGAATAGGTCTGGTTGGTGGTCTTGGTGGTGCTTTCTTTGGTTTGACTCAAATTCTGCTGGCCCAAATCATCCTGAGCCCAAGCAATTCCACCTGGCGATCTGCCAACACCCTGGCCCTGACTTTGTGCCTGACTGGTTTTCATTTTTTCCTGGCTCAGTCCTCCTGTGGCGCTGCTTCCAGCACCTTTGAATGCATTATTGCCTGTTTGCCTCTGGTCTCCGGGTCCCGGCCAGATAGGACCTCTTCGAATATCGTCGTTGGGCTCCGGTGGCCCGACTGAAATGCTGCCAAACATTCGGCGTCCAGCATCTTCAGCACTTGCTGGGCTTAGATTTTCCGTGTTCGATCCGGTACTACCGATAGCACCGGCAGCATCTCCCCCACTGACGACGTCCTCGGTGTTTCCTTCATTTCCTGCAAGACCTTTGGCACTGCTGAAGTTTCCTTGGTTGGTTTCATCCTTGACTTGTTCTCCTTTATCGAGAGCCTGCTGACCAATTCCACTCTGACCAATGCTCTGTTCGACTTGTTCCCCCTTATTGAGAGCTTGCTGGCCAGTGCTACCCTGACCAGTGCTCTGCTTGAATTGTTCGCCTTTATCGACAGCCTGCTGGCCAATGCCGCTCTGGCCAGTGCCCTGCTTGATTTGCTCGTCCTTATCGATAGCACGCTGATCAGTTCCAGTCTGGTCAGTGCTCTCTTTGCTTGTGGTGTTTTTCGAGCCACTGCCTATGGACATGCGCTTGCCCAGGTTCCGGGCAACACGAAGGCCAATATTCTCTCCGTGCTTCTGAGCTTCGCCCTGAATTTGCTGGGAAGCCATAATGGTGTTATTTGTTATTTAGTATCGAGAACAGAAATAGAGTTAAAAAATAAGATATGTTCGTGGTCGTCAAGATTAAAAATAGAAAATAGTTATCATATAGTCGTTGAGTTCAGTTGTCATGAGTATAGGAGATGGGGAAGGAAAGCAGATTATCCAGATTCAAGCAGTCTTAATAGCTAAATGAGCTACCCCTCATAATTGCATCATGGGCTCGTCTCGGAGAAACCGAAAGGTGCCTATGCAATTCCATAGGGCAATTCAGCAATTGAGGGGGTATATTTGTGGAACTTCGGCTTCATCCATTCGGGAGTGAACCACGCCTTGATTTGAAGCTGTTTCCAAGGACCGCATGCGGATGGATGAATCAATATTGGACGCTGATTCAGTCAGTACCAGGAGGTGAATTGAAGTCGATGATGCTCGAAGGCATGGAAGGCAGGGATGGCATCGAGGGGATAGGTGGGTCTTGCGGCCAGGTGATGTCTTTGTATACAGATTAGCTTTCGGGTTTCGTCACTGTGTTTTCACTGCTGTTGCCTTTCTAGCGTAGAAATGGTCTCTTGGAGTATTATAGGTCGAGTAACTGAACCAACTGAAATTGAACTTATACTGATTCAAATCATACGTGTCAATGCATAAATAATTTAGATGTATTTACTGTTCAATAATGCAAGCATCTCCCTGCAGAAAAATTAAATGGAAATGTCAATGACGAAGGTGGAATTACTGTTAAGTTCTGTGCTATAGAGTCTACTTAGAAACAATGGCACGCTAAACATGAGAATGAACAATGTAGATGCAAAGTTGGCGGGGCGTGACGTAAAGACTCCTTCTCCCCACAACGCTGAGGCAGATGTTCGTCGCCTCTCAGTGGACGATCGGCTGTTAGTCATTCTGGAAATTATTTCCCCATTTATCATATCTCATTGAAATCAACCAACAGATTCTATTCGAGCTACATTTGAATCCATGGTTTGTATAGCAGTGATATCATTTCCCCAGTTTCCAAGAGGACATCGGTTTCTATCCGATGGTCCCGACCGCTTTATGAGATCACCTTGTTCAAAAGCTGGCCGTCACTCTGCGCTACGCGGGCACATTCGTCGAGCCAATGGGCAATGTCGCGGTTTATGTCATGACATTCCCCGGCCAGAAAGAATGTGGAAGCCATGCGCGCTAGACAGAAGATGTTTTCCTCCTGTCCCGTCCGGATAACATGAGACTTATGGCATGTCGCGTGAAAATCATTTCGCATCGCCTTTCCATGCATGATTCACGTCCGTGGTTCCTATTTTGAGTAATTTCAAGTCTGGTGAAGCAACTCATCCGGCCAGAAACCGGATGTTGGGAGGTTTAAAGCTGGTTCAACGGGTCGTTCTTTTACGAAAGAGTTCAAGCCCAGCTACGATGCCCGCCTGTTGCTAAACCGTAGATAACTAGCATGAGTTCATAAATGTTCTTCCGGTATCCCTCATAGTGTATTGAAGTCGAGCCATGTGCCCAGGTGGCGAGCAGAAATTCTAGTGTTTATCTACGGGAAATAGGAAATGGGTGGGCTTTTGATCAGTAACTACTAGTACTACCTACTAGATAATCTTGATCACATTGGGATTTTATATGTCTAGAGTTACTAGTAATAGTAGTACTATAAAGCAGTCAAAAGGCGGGAGATATTACACGGGCCAGATCATAAAAGCACCTGGCAATCTCTGAGATGGCTTGGGTGGTTATTATTCAAACTTCGAAAGCTTCCCGAGGCTGGAGATGGTGCTACTTGACTTTTCGCGAGCCAGAAATAGATATTGGGCCCAAATCATGGGTCTACGCTTGATTCTTTGGACAACCTCGCGAAGGTATACCGCGCCGAGCAAAAGTACAAGGAATTCGAATCTACTACCTACCAGCTCTGTCAGAGCCAGCGAGAAACACTTGGACCCAATCATGACGGTTGTCTCAAAACTTTGGAAACTACCTTTGACGAACTAGCAAAGGGCCGTGCCGCGACCCTTGGACCAATGCATCAAGACACATTCAATTCTTTATAATGACTCAGAATGGCGAGAAACAAAATCGTCAAATCGCCCGGAGCGGAAGAAGCTCTCTACAAGGCAGTAGAGGGCCAAAAGAAAAAATCTTGGACTGTGCCATATAGAAACAGTGACATAAAAGGTTCACAAAGCATGCCAAGGGCTGTGTTGAGGATGATTAGTGGGTTGAGGATGCCAATGTTGTTTTGATCCCGTGTTTAATACATTATATTCCAAGGTTAGTGTTGGCTTTGTTTGAATCATTATTCAAACCCACCTCGTATCTACAACATCCGCTTCCTTCTTCAATCTGGGGCCGCCCCATCGCCAAGCCCTAGCCCGCCCTGACACCATCCCAATACGAGGCTCCAAAAATAGCACTCTTCACCTAAACAGGCGGCATCTCGCGTGAGAAGCCTGCCAAGTCTAAATGAGCCTCTCACTAGGTTGCATCTAACAGGAACAAGCCCGAAGGAGGGATGATCATCATCGTTTAGAACTTATTGCCCGTGAAGCTGATATAGATACGAGCTTGGCCGGGTTCATCTTTCCTCTAGCAACGAAGCGAGGAAGTATATTTAGCGATTTGCAAATGCAGAAACGGCATCGTCTCATCTGGGAAATAGTATAATAATCGCGGTGGGAGACGCCTTTCGTCCCATCTCCTCCTCAACACTCTCTCCATCATAAATCAAGTGAGCCTAGCAGCCAGCCAGCAATTGGCATAACAACCATGATATTCAAACAAGCCCTCCTCTCCCTCTCTCTGGCAATTTCCACAGCGACAGCCTACCACCTCGCCGTCGTCGATCAAAACACCAAAACAGTCCGAGTCTTCCCTCGCGACGCAGCAAAATGGAACAAAGACGCCATCTACTGGTCCTTCACAGCAGACCAGGACGTGGGCTGGTTTGAACACGACGACTGGGCCGATCTAGATGACGTGAAGATCCGAAAGACCGCCGATCTAGGCTATGTCGCCCTAGTGGCTGCCTCGGGGGGGCAAAGTCGGAATGGTCGATATCATAGCCGGGCACGAAAGCGCCGACCTGGACGATGTAGTCTGGCAAGCGACTCCGGGCGATAATCCGCACTCCCTGGAGCGAATCCCATACCTGGGTGCCTTTGTGGCGTCTAGCTCTACCCCGGGTAAATTGACACTATACGTGCCGACTGATGCGTCGGATGTGAATGATCTGAGCAAGATCAAGAAGAGTCATGAGTATGAGATTCCCAAGGCGCATGGCGTTTTGTGGCATAGTGGGAAACTTTGGGCGACGGGTGAGGACTATCTTTATAAGTTTGATGTTGTGGGGAAAGGGAAGAGTATCAAGTTGGTGATGGATGGGAAGAAGATCGCTTTACCGAAGGTTTCTGGTCGTGCGAGCAATGGCCATGATTTATCGGCTAGTTATAAGGATCCGGATGCTTTGTTGGTGACGCATACTGCTGCGGCGTATACTTATAACGTCAAGACTGGAAAGTTCAAGACCCTGATGAAGGTTGACAAGCTCAAGTCTCTTGTGCAGCATTCTTCTGGTGAATATGCCTGGGTGAGGGGGGAGAAGAATGAGATGGGTCAATATGTGTCTTTCAGTGATGAGAGTGCCCCGGAGACTGTGACTGATAAGAGGGGATGGGGCGATGCTGAGTTCTACAAGGCGAAGATCTTCGATCCCGACTATGAGTGAGTTGAGCAGCGCGGGAATGTCGTATGTTAAGATCAAATGTACTCGAGAATATCATATCACCTCGTCACCAAAACATTCCTCTCTAGACTTTGAAGATCCATGGATTCTTCGATGCTTCTCAAGGCGCAGATGGCGTAGATGGTCGAGTTCGACAGTGGGGAATAAGGTACATGATTACCACACCATAAAAAGCGCGCTGAATCGTTGAGAAGGTGCAAGACAATCTACAAAAACCCAACAATCATGACCGGTCTCCGAACCCCGGAATAAGATCCAAGAGAACTCCCGTCCAACACCAGGGTTCAGCAGTCCAGACACTACCCTATCGTACGCAACGCAAAAGATCTCTCTTCAGGATTGGAAAAGCAATTCATGGAATAGCCTATGTACGACTCAAAAGCGACTATCCGGGGCTCGGCGCGCGACCGGCCCCAAAAGCAAATTTCCAACCCTGCATCAACCAGCATGCGGCGATGCATCCATATCCATATCCATTTTCCCCTCAAAAGAACCGGTTGCCGAAAATTTCAAAGGTAAACGCGAAGCATGATATCATCCGTACAAATAGCCAGCCGTAGCCGGTAAAAGCCTTCGTTCGATTGCAGCCGTGTCGGTGCCGAGGTGTTCTGGCGAATTTTGGTGTTTTTTTTCCGTCATCGTAGATTCAACCGGTCCGTTCACGACTCAAGGGTTTTCTTTAACGTTGGTGGGCAATCTATTGGCCGGGGTTGGGGTTCATCTGTGGGTTGCCTTGTTAGCCTTCCTGTTCCTTCACGGGTCGTCTTGTGTGGGTTGGGTGGTAGTGAGTGATTCTTTGTCGAATTCGATACGGAACTTCGATATCGAAATCACCGGTGGATTTGGTGTCGCAAATTTGCGTTTGTGGGCTGTGAATTGTGGGATGGATAGATTCAGTCGATATATACCTTGCGCTTGCCACCGGTCATGGTGACGTTGACGAAACGGCGGGTGTACAGGACACGCTTGTAGGCGCGGCCCTTGGGGGTCTTCTTCTTCTCCTGGGGCTCAACCTGTACTCGGAAGATCAGTTAGGATGAGGGTTCTCGCGGCTCTCTCGATGGACATGACGCCTCCGTATAACGCCACCAAAGGGCTTCACAGAGGCACAAGTTCATAGGTTCAACAGGGGGACACTTGCCTTAGGAGTGGCGGCCTTGACCTTACCGGCACGAGCGAGAGATCCGTGAACCTTACCCATGTTGGATGACTGTTGATGGAATAACGGTGGTTGTTGGAAGGGCGATGAAGTTCAAGACGGACACGGACGGCGATAGGGTTGCGAATTTGCGAAGTGCGACTGTGTGGGGCGGCTTAGCGAGGCCGTCAGCAAGTTGGTCAGGTGATCGGAGGACGGGTGAGTCAGCGTGAGTCAAGTCACGTGGGTCAGAAACTGGCGGGGTCCGCTTTAGGTAGTCCCGTGATATTAGTCAGCGTGTGAGATATGGTATACCCTAGCCCCGATTAGGATGGGTATAGATCCAGGGCCATATAGATACAGGTATGGATAGATGTGACTGGTCTGCTCTAATATTGATATACTTAGATGATCTAGACCATGGTACTGTATAATACACTAATGCCATAATGACAAGAAATAACCTCACTTCGCATCCGCCTTCTCTCTCGCCGCCGCCTCTTCCCTTTCCCGCTTTCTGGCCAAGTATCGCTCCTTCGCACTTAACACTTCTCCAGATGTCTTCGCACTGCGATTCTTCTCGGCAATCTCCCGCTGCTTCGCGGCCTCGGCCTCTTCCTCCTTTCGCGCACGTTCCTCCAATTGAGAGGCAACCATCTCGGTCTGGCGAGCACGCTGCCCAGCCCGACCCTGAGCTCCAAAGTTGGCCCCAGGTCGTCCAGCAGGTCGCGCTGCCGCTTTGGGAGCTGTAGAAGCTGTAGTCTTAGGCTTCGGTGCCACATTCAATCCCGCAGTAAGCAGCTGGCGTTTATCAACCACCTGGCCCTCATCATTGACAGCAACACGACCTCCCTTGTCATTAAGTTCAGCCGCCTTCTGAGCTTCCGTCTTATCATCGTTGTCCTTCGTCGAGTCCTCGGTCGTCTCACCAGCCTTGACCCGGCTAGCCGCTTCTTCAGCAGCCTTGACAACTTCCTGATGTCGCTCCTCCCCCCCGAGATAATACATCCCGGTAAAAGCCCACCATCCCCGCACCACCATTCTTCCTCCGTCTCTCTTCCTCCTCCTTCTCTCTCTTCTCCTCCTCTTCCTCCATTTGCCGCAACTCCTCCTGCTGCTTCTTATAAGCGCCCGTAACAAAGCTCTCCTTATCCGCAAACTCATCACCCTCCGCCTCGCGCTCCTTGGCGAGCTGGCGATCCCGCGCGCGCGTCTGATCGCGTTTCCGGATCTCCGCACTACGCAGCAGGTTCGTCATGTACTTTGGTACTTCGCTCGCTTCGGCGGATGTGTTGGATTTTTCGGGCTTGGCGTGTAGACTATCGTATACGGTGTCGTAGGAGTAAATTGATGGATCCAGTTCTTCGGCTTCCTTTGCGTGCTTTTTGCTACTGTGTAGTGCGGAGAGATTGGTGAATTCTTTGCCAGGACCGGGTACAGGTGGCTTCTTCGATTGGTTGAGGCCCAGGTGCATTTCTCCTTGCTGTGCTTTTTCCTTCTCCTCATCTTCGTCTTCGTCGTCGGCGAAAATTGAGCTTTTGGTCAGTGGTTTGATATTTGGTTTTCCCGTTCCGAGTCCTAATTGCATCTTTCGTTTCGGTGGCGGGCCCGAGGCTGCGGCGGAGGATGGTTTAAAGGGTTTGGAGGGTTTCGGGGCTGGCGCGTCTAGACCGCCGAGGGTTGAGACTTCTTCTGCGACGTCATTGTTGGATGCTTCGTCTCCTGAGTCATCGTCGAATATGTTCTTGCGCTTCTGTCCGAAGGCATTCCCTGGCTTTGGGCCGGGTTTCTTGTTGGGGAGATTGAGGCCGGTCGAGAACTGCGGCGCCATGATGTGGGGTCGAGAATGGTCGCGCCGGTCTGAGTTTATGTTATGTAGATTCACAGAGGTTGGTTTAAAGGTGAGAGTAGAAGGCCGGCTGACCACGATTGAGTGGATACAAGTTCACCTGGGCAAGCTGTGACGTCTTGGACAAAATTGGGAAGCTGCGATGCGATAGCGCCGATAAAGCAGGGCTGTCATGTGATGTGTGATTGGCTGGGTGTGGTTTTGCGGGGAACTGCCATGCTGCAGGTTTGGGAGAAATTGTTCTAATGAATTTGAAGTTGTAATTTATATTAGACGGAATGCTTTTAATAATTCAAGTCCTTAGGTAAATCTTATAAAGCTGCCTAGTTCAAGTTGACTGCGACTCCAAGTCGGGGTCTGTTGGCCTTCGAGTTTTCTGGATACTTAGGTCGTAGCTAGTAGAGAACATATATATACTAGTTTGCTATCGAACTTCAACTGCCCTAATTCAACCTTGGAAGTTCCAGCATTCAGGTTTTTCCACACGAAACTCGAGTCTGCTGATATTTAATTCAAGCTTGTATACTTGAATCAATTATTACATCCTCCTCTATCAAAATTAAACGCCCAAAGCATCCATGGATACCACCAGGATGGATTCCCATGCTTGTCCCCCCCTATCATCACGTGCCCACAGGAGCAATCATAATGCTCCACCCCTCTACTCCGTAATTAACTTCAAGTCTTAAAAACAAACCCCCTCAAATAATCACCGCCGCAAAAATGTCCTACTACTTCACCATCCTCTCACCAACCGACACCCCCATATTCAATATCGCCTTCGGCACCTCCAAAGGCGGCGGCGATGGCATTGCCCGCTTCCGATTCCCTGACACCGCCCAATACATGAACCAATTCATCATCCACTCCAGTCTAGATATCCTCGAAGAAGCGCAGTGGACGAACGGTGGAATGTGAGAACCCCCCCCAACCCCTCCCCCCCCCGCGAAGCTATGCTAATCATCGCCCGCATCCAGGTACCTAAAACACATCGACACCTACCCCCCAGCCTCAGCCTACATATCCGCCTTCCTAACCCCGAGCGGCGCACGCTTCCTCCTCCTCCACCAACCGCCCCAACTGCCGTCGAGCGGCAGTTCCAGCGCCCTAGGCGCGTCATCGTTACTGGGTTCTTCGGGGTCAACGACGCGCGCTTCGTCTAGTAGTGTTGCGGCGAATCCTACTTCTCCGCAGACGGAGGAGGCGGTGCGTCAGTTTATGAGTGAGGTTTATGAGAGCTTTGTTAAGACGGCCATGTCACCGTTTTATAAGCAGGGGATGGAGATTCGAAGTCCGGTTTTTAGGTCGAAGATTACGGCGGCTGGGAAGAAGTGGTTGTGATTTTGGCGAGATATGAGGCTGGGTTATGGTGCTGGTACTAAAAGGCTTGGACGGGCCTTCGCCATATTTCAGTTTTGATTCAAGTTTATATGCTTGGGTTAGGATTGGTTGAGTCATTCGGGCCGTTCTTTCTTTATGTTTGGAAGCGGAGTCCCGTGGACTTTATTATTGAACCTCTGGAGTTTTGGTTATTTGTGTACAGTATTTTCAGTTGAGACAGAGCGCGGCGTTGGGATATTGCATATAATTTTTTTTTTCACCCTTTCCATTCTTGTCATCTTTGGTGGTTACTTTTTGGTTATCCAAGGGATGTCTTCTTTATAGAAATCGGGGATTTTTATTTCTTTTCTTGCATATGCTATGTGCCCCTTCGAACTGAAGTGACTCGAGTACCAAAACAACATCTGTCCTGTTGGATACTCAGATCTGGGTCCTTCCTTGCCTCCTTTACATCGAATTTGTTAGATGAATGGGATATTGCATCATTTTGTATGTTACCCGGGGACGAAATTGATAGCGGATGGATGTCCATGTTTTTCCACATGGTCTGGTCTGGTCGGGTAAGATCTTACCCCAGGAAAGAAATCATATTTTGGCCGGTTTGCCGGGATGAGGATCCTGGCGAGTTCAGGAAAGATGAAGATGAAGATGAATGAAGAGAGATGAGAGAAGATCCAAAAAAGATCGAGGGCCTGGAATACGGGTTGAACCGCGCTGTTCAGAGCAACCGAAGAAAAAAGAAGAAAAAAGAAGACAAGAATAAAGATGGGGGAGGGCAGAGGGAGGTAGGAAGCAAGTAGCTCAGAAAAAAAGAGAAGAAAAGAAGAAACGAAGAAAGAAGGGAAAAATGCACGGATTATGGATTGATTTGTCAGTCCTGAAACCCAACGCCAGCCAGCCGAATCCCTCCCTATCCCAAGAACCCTAAGAGAAACCCGCTAAAAGAACCTATAAAATAGAAAACGAGATCAAGCCGTCATCTGAGGAGCCAGCTTCTTCATGGTGATAGCTTTGAAGTTATTAACGGCGTGAATGACATCATCCAGCTTAGCGACAGCGCCAAAGATGCCGCCCTCCATCTTCACAGACTCAAGAGTGCCCGTATGGAGGGCCGGCTCCGCCGCCGCGGACCCATCCTCCAAGAGCACGCAGTCGAATCCACGGTCATTGGCTTCGCGGATGGTTGTCGAGACGCACACATCCGTGGTAACGCCTGCGACGACGAGGTTCTTGACGCCCTTGTTTCGGAGGATGAGTTCGAAATCTGTATGCGCGAAGGCTCCCCGGCCTGGCTTGTCGATGACGGGTTCGTTGGGGAGAGGATATAGTTCATCCACAGTATCATGGCCCAATTCTCCCCGAATGAGCAGACGGCCCATTGGGCCTTGGGACCCAATGCCTGAGACCGGTGCTATTATTGCAGGAGCGATAGCGTTCGCGACTTGAAAGTGTGGACAGATCGGGTCGATGGCCTATTAATCAAGTTAGTAATTCTCCTACTCGGGGCTTGTATGTATGTTGGGCGATGACGTACCTTCTCGTGTATGATAGACCGGAAAACCTCCCGTGCGAAAGGCATGCAGCAATTGCTGAAGTTTAGGGATGAGAACCTGGGCGGCGGTTATATCATAGCCCTGGTACTCCATATAACCACCCGGGGCGCAGACTAATGATAAATGATATGTGTTAGGTATGCGTGGAAACAGCAGCGGCGGTAGTAACGCAAAGAACAACAACATCAGTTCAAAACTTACAGTCTTTCTGCATATCAATTATGACTAGCGCAGTTGTGTATGGGGTGAAGGAAGCATCGTGAGGCCAGTCATATGGGAGGGCGGGCAATTGGCCCTTGCGAACCTTATGGTGAGGAACTTGACGAGGCTTTTCGATGATGGGCCCATGATTATGAGTCGGGTTCAAGACGGTTAAACTCCAGATACCGGGAGAGCCAGCTGCAACCAGCATGAAGGGGCAGTCCATCAGTCGCGAAGTTCGCCGACGCTTTCGCGTTTCCTCCGTGAGGCCATTCCGCGGGCGATAGTGACCACCGCGATCACATCGCAGCCATACCTTGGCCGTGCGACCTGGTTTCTTTTCTGTGGGCGTACTGGATGATTTGACCACGACATTGTAGCCATGGGTCTTGCCGTGCGCCTGGACTGCTGCGAGTAAGGTATTCCTGGAGCGAGGAAAAGTGAATGTTAGAAGGGTGGGGGCCAAAGATGGAGAGAGAGGGAGGAGCAGAGGGATTCACCTACTTATCAGGGTATGTTCCTTCGGGAGGCGCCATCAATTGAGTGGCCAGTTCCGGAATGTCTTGGAGATCACTGGGCGCATCCAGGTTGAGATCGATAGGATCGGCCATGATCGAGAAGAGAGCCACGCGTGCGCGCGCTCACCGGTGAACAGTCTGTGATGATCAAAGGTCAGGATTCGGTGCTGGTGAGGGGTCACATGGTCATGACGATGAAGAATATCTTTGCGACAAGCTTGAACGAGGGTATAGGAAGCTCTCCGGGCAGTGGGAGTATTGGAGGTGGTGTGGGAACTTGGGGGAGAGGGCGAGAGGTAAACAAGTGCGTGGAAGCAAATGGAGACGATCAGTCACGATCCTAAGGTGTGCGTGGGTATAACAGAAGCATCTTGAAAGGGCGGTAGAAGGGACAGGCTAAACAGTAGGAAAGAGGAGATATAAATCCCAAACAGGAAAGGCAGGGAGCAAAGGGCGACAACTCACCAACGGGACGATGGGATACCCCAGAAACGAAACCCCGAGAGCCCCGGTGGATGTGGATGGTGGATGAAATCGGAGATCGAGTGATCCGAGTGACATGCTCTTTGGGGTTAGTGGGGAAGCAGAGAAGGTAGAGAAGTTCAGGCAGTAAGGCATAAGTCAGGCATCACATGTGTATGTACATACGGTGTACAGAGTAGACTAACCGCATCCGGTTAGTGGCCTCCCCCTGACGACCAACATCAGCCATCAATCAACATCAACAGATCTAAGCGTGCGCCTTTGACCTTTGCGACAACCACCTTCCACCGACAAAGTCCCTCCCCAGGTAAGTTTCCAAGTTTCCGATACATCGGCCGACTCGGATATTTTCTCCCTTCGTTACCATTTTACTTTCTCGGTGGGAGGTGCCCGTCGACTCTATTCATTCCCGATCGGACACTGCGTCACCGCCTCGCCGAGGGGTCCTTATCATCACAAACCACCCAAACCACCGTGCGTGTGTGAACGCTGGCCAGCCCCCCCCCCCACGCCCACCCCAACCTGCATGAGCCTTTGAAAAAGGAAAGGAAAAGAGAACCCCAGCCTTGGTGTGGCGAATCTTCTGGAGGATCTCTTTTCTTGGAAATTCATTCTCTTGCTTTCACTATTTACCGACGCTGAACTTGCGACCGTCTTTTCTGCGACCCGCTCTCGGGTGCCCAACGCGGGAAGATGCCTGTCGCCGACGATTCGCCCACCGAAAAGAAGCAGTCTAGCAGCAGTTCATACCGAGATGAGCTGGCGCATTATAAGGCTCAGTATGAGCAACTGGAGGCAGAGCTAGCGGATTTCCAAGTCTCTAGCCGGGAGCTGGAGACCGAACTAGAAAAGGATATCGAAGCCTCGGAGAAGCGGGAGCGCCAGTTAAAGGAGAAAGTCGATACCTTGCGGTATGAGGTGGAAGAGTGGAAGGTATGATCCCATATTATCCACCATATACTACCGGTATACTGGATATACTGGAAGCAACCGGGGAGAGAAACTCATGTTCTTGCAGACCAAATACAAGCAGTCCAAGACGGAAGGCAATTCGGCGCAAAACAACCTCCAAAAGGAGATCACCTCCCTCCGTGACACCAACCGCACTCTGCAACTGAAGTTGCGCGACATTGAAGTTGCCAATGATGATTATGAACGGCAAGCCCGGAATACCACTTCGTCCCTGGAGGACATGGAATACAAACATAATTCCGCCATCGAGCGTGGAGTGCTACTCGAGGAGGAGATGAGGGAGGGGGAGCAAGAGCGAGAGGGTCTGCGCATTCAGAATCAGCGACTACGGGATGAACTCACCGATCTCAAGGTCGAGGCAGAGATCATCCAGGAGAAGCTGCGCAACGCTGAAGGAGGACATGCTTTCCGTCGTCGGAAGCCCACCCCCCCCTCTATCGCAGTCCATCCACCCCGCATTCATTGGAAATCTTCGATCGTTCCCCAGGCACGGCGACTTCTTCGCCTGTCTTTGCTACTCCACCAGCCAAAGCATCCCTGGCTTCTTCTACCGCCACTCCCCCTCGCCTCCCATCTCCGAGTCGTCGTCCAGCCTGCGCCGATCGATTAACGCAACACCCACCTTCCCTCGCCAGCGAGCAGCAGGTGCAGACGCGATTACTTCGAGAACGCTGCACAATGCTCACAATGCTCGCACGCAACCTCGCCCCGTGCACTCTCGAACCTCCTCTCTGGCCTACAGCAACCCTGGCCGTTCCACTCCTTCAATTCCTTCCCGCAATAGTCTGTCACGAACAAGCGGCAATGCTCTTCGGCAGCCAACACTGCCTAAATCGGGCTCTCTCTACCAAATCCGAGGCCTCATCGGCAAGATGCAGAAACTGGAGGAACGTGTGCAGTCCGCCAAGTCACGACTCCCTGCACCTTCCGAAACCTCATCTCGAGGTTCCCCCCATTCTCGGGCCGGATCTGTGGTGGGCGATAGCCCCGTCGCCTCTAACATCACAGTGCGGCGAAACTCACGGAAACGACTGAGCGGCAGTAGCTTTGGGTCTTCCGTGCGAGATAGCGAGAGCGGCACACCATCATACCTCCCGCAAAGCCGGCAGTCCTTCGGGGCTCGAACCGGCGGTGACAGTCGTCCCAGCAGTCGAACCTCCTACTCCAGTCGCAGTTCCTTTAGCCAAAGCGTCCACTCCGGTGTTCCTGTCGGCGCTCGTCCCGAAAGTCGATCTAGTCGACCCGGCGCGAAAACCCCACTCGGCCACTATTCAACCAACCCGACGACAGAAAGTCGGCGCCCACGCTCCTCCCTCAGTAACAATGCCGGACAGGGCTCGTCGGTTGGCGGAATGTCCCATATTGAGGAGGACCTTGATCTCGCTTCGACCCCGACTACCTCCCGCATCCCGCAGGAGCTGCGCCGACCGTCATTTTCCGCCACAGCAACACCAGGCACGCTCAAGAAGCGCACGACTAGTGGTGTTTCGGCTATCCCCACACCGCGGAGTTTCAAGTCAAGTATTGGGCCCGGGCCGAGCATGGCACCACCGGCCGATCGCAGGGCAAAAGTGAACGATCTCGGCGAGACTTTTTAGAACGCGATATAACGCGATCTGATTTGACCTGACCAGACTTTGTTTTTTCCACGGGAAGAGAAATTCATTTCGCACTTGTCTACAATATTATTTTGGGATAAATTGCTTCACATTATTTCCAATCGACTTGATTACCAGGAGCCGGGGGGTTGACTTGACGGGATGGGATGGTATTTGCGTTCTCCTTCTCGTTCTACATATCCATATTTCTGATGATTTGTTTGAGTGTTGTCTGTGCATGCATTGCAACCACCTGGAGAGTGGTTTGGTTTTGCTTTGCTTTGCTTCCTGTATCGGCGCCCATGTACAGTTTTCTGGTGTCTGACAGGAAGAGAGTTGGGAGTTGACCACTCTCGATGAGATGAGTCCCTTTTACTCTTTACTCCATACCCCCGTCACCTCTTTTTTGTAGCTGTGGATAGAGTCCACGGCGTCCTAAGCTGTGTCTCAGCATCTTGTTCTCGTTGTCTGTCGCGAGGCGTTTCATAATACCCGATCTTATGTTTGATACAGTGTGCACTGCTAGTAGGTTGTATGCCCAGGTGCGTAGTAGTTAGTCTACCTGAAATGGGTTTTCTATGACATAGTCTTGCGGTCTAGTCTTGCGGTCTAGACCTGTGAATGTCAAGTATACTTCCAAGTTATTAGTATGGTCATAGTAGTTCATAGTTCCGTTTCCGGCGATATGGTTGTAAGGTAACACCAACACCGGTGGGCCCGCCCAGGCCCGCCCAGCCTCAGGAACCAGGCACGCTGGTCCGTTGCAAAAGGGGGTGTCGATCCCACGTTTCAGGGTCTCATAGTCTCATAGGGGGAATTAGTGAGTTAAAGTGTGGTTGGGGAGTATTCCTACTCCTACTATAGAGTAGTAGTATATGCCAGTTAGTTATAGTGTTAGATATTCTATGGATTCTATGGTGTCTACTATGTATTGTGTCAGGTCATGTGATCTGAGTATGAACAGGTGGCTTGTCAAGATAAATTAAATCGACGGGGAGTGCCAGTAGCTCGGGATGTCAGATTCGAGCCGATCAGGCTGGATGGCCAAAGCCAAGGCCAAGGCCGAGTCGGAGTCCGATCTGCATAGCCCTATTGACCGTACGGTACGGTACAGATACTTGGCAGTAAGTCAGAGTGTAATTATAGTATAGTATTATGGCCAGTAGACAGTAGACAGTAGACTGTAGTGATCCAGTCACTACTATGAGTATAGACATAGTATAGTGATAGTATAGTGCCGTAGGACTATACTCTACTTGTCTGCCGCGGCTGGCAGCGCCAAGTCGCTAACACTCAACTGATTGGCAGATTGCAACATCCCCCCAAATAAATTGAGAGGGCCCCGAAATTGGTGGGAGATTCAGCAGTGGAACCGCCCAACAAACACTGGTGAGGTTCCCCCAAAATTGCAGGCGGTGAGGGACGGTAGTTGGGACCCCCCCCACTGGGAAGGAAGTTCTTCCTCAGCATTTTTTGGGAGGTTGAACCGGCTTCTTCTTCTTTTTTCTACTCGTGGTTCCCCTCAATTTCCCCATCTTCTTCTGTATACTCTCTTCAATCTTCTTTTTCGGGTTCTGGTGGTCCCCGTGAGTGCAACCCTTCCCTTCCCTTCCTACCTTCTTTCTACTGTGTCCGTTTGCAGCTATATACTCGACACTACTACTCCCCTTACCCACCGCGCCTAACCAGAAAGGAAAAAAAAAATACCAAGACGCCGGACTTCCGATTGCTGACGATTCATTATACCGGACAGGCAAATCCTCATTGACTCTCCACGCCTCCCTTTTTTTCCCCTCTCTCTACCTCCCTTCAATTCGTTGCCCCGCGATTTCGACTTTCCACCATCCGCGCGGTTTCGCCACTTTTACTCCGTGTACATTACCATACTTCCCTTCCAGCAGCGCTGTTTAATTCCTTCCGACCATTGGCCCTGCCCCCGACACTGCATGGGAGCTGAACTCGCTTGATTACCACTTTGCATCCATCTTATCTCACCACAAATTACCTTACACATCATGGGCGTCACCAATGGAAACAGTAGCTCCGTGGCTACCAAACATGACGAACTTCCCTCACATTTCATCGGCGGTAACCGCCTGGATCAAGCACCCCCGAGCAGTGTGAAGGATTTCGTCGTGGAACATGGCGGTCATTCCGTCATTACCTCTGTAAGTGACAATCCACGTGGTGGGAAGCAGCACCCAAAAAAAGAAGAGAAAAATACATCCGCAATACGACCAGGAGCAATAGAACTCTGCTAACTCTCTAACCCTTCCAGGTCCTCATCGCCAACAACGGTATCGCCGCCGTCAAGGAGATCCGCTCCGTGCGGAAATGGGCCTACGAGACCTTTGGCAACGAGCGTGCCATCCAATTCACCGTCATGGCCACCCCCGAGGATCTGCATGCCAACGCCGACTACATTCGCATGGCCGACCAATATGTCGAAGTCCCCGGTGGAACCAATAATAATAATTATGCCAACGTCGAGCTGATTGTCGATGTTGCCGAGCGCATGGATGTCCACGCTGTTTGGGCCGGTTGGGGTCACGCCTCCGAAAACCCTCGGTTACCCGAGTCTTTGGCTGCCTCGCCGAAGAGGATCATTTTCATCGGTCCCCCCGCTTCGGCTATGCGCTCGCTCGGTGATAAGATCTCCTCCACCATTGTCGCCCAGCACGCCGGTGTTCCCTGTATCCCCTGGTCCGGTACCGGTGTCGACGACGTCGAGGTTGACAGCCACGGCATCGTGACTGTCAAGGATGATATCTATAACAAGGGTTGTACCTTCTCTCCCGAGCAGGGTCTGGAGAAGGCCAAGGAGATTGGCTTCCCCGTCATGGTCAAGGCCTCCGAAGGTGGTGGTGGTAAGGGTATCCGTAAGGTCGAGAACGAGGAGGAGTTCACCTCCCTCTACAATGCGGCCGCCAACGAGATTCCCGGATCCCCCATCTTCATCATGAAGCTGGCTGGAAATGCCCGCCATCTGGAGGTCCAGCTGTTGGCCGATCAGTACGGTAACAACATCTCCCTCTTCGGCCGTGATTGTTCCGTCCAGCGTCGTCACCAGAAGATTATCGAGGAGGCTCCCGTCACTATCGCCAAGCCCATCACTTTCCAGGCCATGGAGAAGGCCGCCGTTAGCCTGGGTCGTCTCGTCGGTTACGTCTCTGCCGGTACCGTCGAGTACCTGTACTCTCACTCCGACGACAAGTTCTACTTCCTCGAGTTGAACCCCCGTCTGCAGGTCGAGCACCCTACCACCGAGATGGTCTCCGGGGTCAACTTGCCCGCCGCTCAGCTCCAGATCGCCATGGGTATTCCCCTGCACCAGATCCGCGATATTCGTCTGCTCTACGGAGTTGACCCCAACACCTCTTCCGATATCGACTTCGACTTCTCCAGCGAGGAGAGCTTCAAGGTCCAGCGTCGTCCCCAGCCCAAGGGCCACACCACCGCTTGCCGTATCACCTCCGAGGACCCCGGCGAGGGTTTCAAGCCTTCCAGCGGTACTATGCACGAGCTGAACTTCCGTTCTTCCTCCAACGTGTGGGGTTACTTCTCTGTCGGTACCGCCGGTGGTATTCACAGTTTCTCTGACAGTCAATTCGGTCACATTTTCGCCTACGGTGAGAACCGTTCCGCCTCCCGGAAGCACATGGTTGTTGCCCTGAAGGAGCTGAGCATTCGTGGTGATTTCCGCACTACCGTCGAATACCTGATCAAGCTGCTCGAGACTCCCGCTTTCGAGGACAACACCATCACCACCGGTTGGTTGGACCAGCTGATCTCCAACAAGCTGACTGCTGAGCGTCCCGACCCCTACGTCGCCACCATTTGCGGTGCGGTTACCAAGGCTCACCTCGCCAGCGAGGCCGGTGTCGAGGAGTACCGCAAGGGTCTTGAGAAGGGTCAAGTCCCCGCCAAGGATGTCCTGAAGACCGTCTTCCCCGTCGACTTCATCTACGAGGGTTACCGCTACAAGTTTACCGCTACTCGCGCCGGTCTGGACAGCTACCACCTCTTCATCAACGGTTCCAAGTGCTCCGTTGGCGTCCGTGCCCTGGCTGACGGTGGTCTGCTGGTTCTGCTGAACGGTCGCAGTCACAACGTTTACTGGAAGGAGGAGCCTGCTGCCACTCGCCTGAGTGTCGACGGCAAGACCTGTCTCCTGGAGCAGGAGAACGACCCCACTCAGCTCCGCTCTCCCTCCCCCGGTAAGCTGGTCAAGTTCACTCTTGAAAATGGCGAGCACGTTCGTGCTGGCCAGGCCTATGCTGAGGTCGAGGTCATGAAGATGTACATGCCTCTGATCGCTGCGGAGGACGGTATCGTTCAGCTCATCAAGCAGCCCGGTGCCACCCTCGAGGCTGGTGACATCCTCGGTATTCTTGCTCTGGATGACCCTTCCCGCGTCAAGCACGCCCACCCCTTCACTGGCCAGCTGCCTGAGATTGGCGCCCCTGTCGTTGTCGGTAACAAGCCTCCTCAGCGCTTCGCTCTGCTCTACTCTACTCTGGAGAACATCCTCCGCGGTTTCGACAACCAGGTCATCATGGGTGCTACCCTTAAGGAGCTCGTCGAGGTTCTGCGCAACCCCGAACTCCCCTACGGAGAGTGGAATGCCCAGTCCTCGGCTCTGCACTCGCGTATGCCCCAGAAGCTTGACACTCAGCTCCAGACCGTTGTCGACAAGGCCAAGGCCCGCAAGGTCGAGTTCCCTGCCAAGACCCTCCAGAAGACCATCGTCAAGTTCCTTGAGGAGAACGTCAACCCTGCTGATGCAGAGATCCTGAAGGCTACCATCCTGCCCCTCGTCCAGGTTATCAACAAGTACCTTGATGGCCTGAAGGCCAACGAGTACAATGTCTTCATCGCTCTGCTCGAGCAGTACTACCAGGTTGAGAAGCTGTTCTCTACTGGCACCAAGCGTGACGAGGATGTTATCCTGAAGCTCCGTGAGGAGAACAAGGAGGACATCGTCAGCGTTGTTCACACCGTTCTCTCCCACAGCCGAATTGGCTCCAAGAACAACCTGGTCCTCGCCATCCTGGACATGTACCGCCCCAACCAGCCCAACGTTGACAATGTCGGCAAGCACTTCAAGCCCATCCTGAAGAAATTGACCGATCTTGAGGCCCGTGCCGCCGCCAAGGTCACCCTCAAGGCTCGTGAGGTTCTTATCCAGTGCGCCATGCCTTCCCTCGAAGAGCGTCTGTCCCAGATGGAGCACATCCTCCGTTCTTCCGTCGTTGAGTCCCGCTACGGTGAGACTGGCTGGGAGCACCGTGAGCCCGACTTCGGTGCCCTGAAGGAGGTTGTTGACTCCAAGTACACCGTCTTCGACGTTCTGCCTCGCTTCTTCATCCACCAGGATCCCTGGGTTACTCTGGCCGCTCTTGAGGTCTATGTCCGCCGTGCTTACCGTGCCTACACCCTCAAGTCCATCGACTACAGCGCCGCCAATGAGCCTCCCTTCCTGTCCTGGGACTTCACTCTGGGCAAGCTCGGCCAGCCCGAGTTTGGCTCTGTCTCCTCCACCCAGCCCTCTGCTCCCGGTACCCCTACCACCGAGATCAACCCCTTCAAGCGCATCAACTCGATTAGTGACATGTCCTACATGGTCAACGACCCCTACACTGACCCCGTCCGTAAGGGTGTTATCATGCCCGTCCAGTACCTTGAGGATGCTGAGGAGTTCCTGCCCCGCGCTCTAGAGGCTTTCCCCAAGGCTGGTACCGCTAAGCGTCCCGAGCAGGGTCTGATTGCCAACCTGGAGGGCAAGCGTCGTCCCACTGTCAAGACTGACAACGATAACGAGCTCACTGGTGTTCTCAACATCGCCGTCCGCGACATTGAGGAGGAGGACGACTCTCAGCTCGTTGTCCAGATGCAGAAGATGCTTGATGACAACAAGGAGGAGCTGCTCGCCCGCCGTATCCGCCGCGTCACTTTCATCTGTGGTCGCGAGGGTGTCTACCCTGGCTACTTCACTTTCCGTGGCCCCGTCTACGAGGAAGATCTGTCTATCCGCCACAGCGAGCCCGCTCTTGCCTTCCAGCTTGAGCTGGGACGTCTGTCCAAGTTCAACATCAAGCCCGTCTTCACTGAGAACCGTAACATCCACGTTTACGAGGCTATGGGCAAGGGTCCTGAGAACGACAAGGCTGTTGACAAGCGCTACTTCATCCGCGCTGTCGTCCGCCCTGGTCGCCTGCGCGATGACATCCCTACTGCGGAGTACCTGATCTCGGAGGCTGATCGCCTGATGAACGATATTCTGGATGCCCTGGAGATTATCGGTAACAACAACTCCGATCTGAACCACATCTTCATCAACTTCTCCCCCGTCTTCAACCTGGAGCCCACCGATGTTGAGCAGGCTCTGGCCGGCTTCCTGGACCGCTTCGGTCGTCGTCTCTGGCGCCTCCGTGTCACCGGTGCTGAGATCCGCATCCTCTGCACCGACCCGGCTACCGGCATGCCCTACCCTCTCCGTGTCATCATCAGCAACACCTACGGTTTCATCATCCAGGTCGAGCTGTACATTGAGCGCAAGTCCGAGAAGGGCGAGTGGATCTTCCAGAGCATTGGTGGTACCACCAAGCTGGGCTCCATGCACATGCGTCCTGTCTCTACTCCTTACCCTACTAAGGAGTGGCTGCAGCCCAAGCGTTACAAGGCTCACCTGATGGGAACTCAGTACGTGTACGATTTCCCCGAGCTCTTCCGCCAGGCCTTCCAGAATAGCTGGGCTCGTGCCTCTGAGAAGATTCCTTCTCTGGCTAGCCAGCGCCCCGCCATTGGCGAGTGCATTGACTACAGCGAGCTTGTCCTTGATGATCTTGACAACCTGATCGAGGTCGCCCGCGAGCCCGGTACCAACAGCCACGGTATGGTCGGCTGGCTTGTCACTGCTCGTACTCCTGAGTACCCCCGCGGCCGTCGCTTCATCATCGTCGCCAACGATATCACCTTCCAGATCGGTTCCTTCGGTCCTCAGGAAGACAAGTTCTTCCACAAGTGTACCGAGCTGGCTCGCAAGCTGGGCATTCCTCGTATCTACTTGTCTGCCAACTCTGGTGCCCGTATCGGCATGGCCGACGAGCTGATTCCCTTCTTCTCTGTTGCCTGGAACGATGCTTCCAAACCCGAGGCCGGCTTCAAGTACCTCTACCTCACCCCCGAGGTCAAGAAGCGCTTCGACGCTACTAAGAAGAAGGAGGTTATCACCGAGCTCATCCATGATGAGGGTGAGGAGCGCCACAAGATCACCACTGTCATTGGTGCCAAGGACGGTCTTGGTGTCGAGTGTCTGAAGGGCTCTGGTCTCATTGCCGGTGCCACTTCCAAGGCTTACGAGGACATCTTCACCATCACCCTGGTTACTTGCCGCTCCGTCGGTATCGGTGCTTACCTGGTCCGTCTCGGCCAGCGTGCTATCCAGGTTGAGGGTCAGCCTATCATCCTGACTGGTGCCCCTGCCATCAACAAGCTGCTGGGTCGTGAGGTCTACACCTCCAACCTGCAACTTGGTGGTACCCAGATCATGTACAAGAACGGTGTCTCGCACATGACTGCCAATGATGACTTCGAGGGTGTGGAGAAGATTGTTGACTGGATGGGCTTCGTTCCCGACAAGAAGGGTGCTCCCATCCCCATCCGCCCCTGGTCCGATGACTGGGACCGTGATATTGGCTACTACCCCCCTGCCAAGCAGGCCTACGACCCCCGCTGGTTGATCGCCGGTAAGCAGGAGGAGGAAGGCTTCCTGCCCGGTCTCTTCGACAAGGACTCATTCGAGGAGGCTCTCGGAGGTTGGGCCCGTACCGTCGTCGTCGGTCGCGCCCGTCTCGGCGGTATCCCCATGGGAGTCATCGCCGTCGAGACTCGCTCCGTCGAGAACGTCACCCCTGCCGACCCCGCCAACCCCGACTCCATGGAGATGATCTCGCAAGAAGCTGGCGGTGTCTGGTACCCTAACTCAGCGTACAAGACCGCCCAAGCCCTCCGCGACTTCAACAACGGCGAGCAACTCCCCGTCATGATCCTAGCCAACTGGCGCGGTTTCTCCGGCGGCCAGCGCGACATGTACAACGAAGTTCTCAAGTACGGCTCCTACATCGTCGACGCCCTTGTCAAATACGAGCAACCGATCTTCGTCTACATCCCGCCGCACGGTGAACTCCGCGGTGGATCATGGGTCGTCATCGACCCGACCATCAACCCAGACCAAATGGAGATGTACGCCGACGAAGAAGCCCGCGGCGGTGTCCTCGAACCAGAAGGTATCGTCAACATCAAGTACCGCCGCGACAAGCAGCTGGACACCATGGCCCGCCTGGACCAGACCTACGGCGACCTGCGCCGCTCACTGGAAGACACTACCCTGAGCAAGGAGAAGCTGTCCGACATCAAGACCCAGATGGCCCAGCGCGAGGAACAGCTCTTGCCCGTGTATATGCAGATTGCACTACAGTTCGCCGACCTCCACGACCGCGCCGGCCGCATGCAAGCTAAGGATGCCATCCGTCAACCCCTCCGCTGGCAAAACGCCCGTCGCTTCTTCTACTGGCGTCTGCGCCGCCGTCTGAGCGAGGAACTCATCGTCAAGCGCATGGTTGCTGCCAAGTCAGCCGCTCCCGCCACTTCCGCCGCTGCTGGCGCTGAGGTCCCTGCCCAGGTGACCCGCGCCTCGCACCTGGAGACCCTGCACGCTTGGACTGGAATGCTGGATGATGAGCTTGAGCACGATGATCGGAAGGTCGCTATGTGGTATGAGGAGAATAAGAAGGCTGTTCAGGGCAAGGTTGAGGCGCTCCGGACTGAGGGTGTTGCGGCTGAGGTTGCCCAGTTGCTTATTGGGAATAAGGAGGGTGGTTTGCGTGGTGTGCAGCAGGTTCTTTCTATGCTTCCCGTTGAGGAGCGCGAGTCTGTGCTTAAGTATCTTGGTTCTTCTTAGTCGAAGCGAAGCTTGACTGGATTGACTTGATTTGTTGAGTCTGGGTGAGATGAGGAGAAGATTTGAGTTATTCCGAAGAAGACTCTTTTATGACTGATGTGTTTTCTACTTTTTTTATGGTTATGGTTATGTCTTTTTTGAATTGGTTTTATAATACTTCTCTTTTGTGGGATGATTGTCATATACGAAATACGAAATCATTTTATTTTATTACTTTAAACTTGAACTATTCTTTGTAGGTATAGTTGTAGATGTTCAAATTGACTACCCACCCCGAGTACCTAGAAGAGGTAGACAACTTGAAATAGACCCTTTAAGTTGATTCCAATCGTTCGAATTGGTAGAGCATTGTAACCACCACTCCGTCGCTTTGTCTTGCCTGCATTCAAGTTCGAACTAACTAGTCCCTTTTCTGCCTGGCGCTACCTCGAGTCTACTAGGCTCCAGCTTTGGGGCGTCTTTTTCCTCCTTTTATTTTCTTCTGCACGGTAGTGGCACAAATGCCATCTTTCAAACGAATCCACCATCTCCATCCTTTATATCGCCTCGTCAATGCTACGAGTTTCTACACCCAAGCACCGAGAATGTCTTTATCTACGAATACGAATCCTGTGCACCTGCAAATGCCAGGGTTCAATGTTGCTCTGAACGCAACGCCTGCGGTGAGTGAGATACGACCCGATCCGATCCGGATCCTATCCGGCCTGGTTCATTTTCATTTTTCGCTGAGCATGGACTTTTCTGTAAATCTAGATTATTCATCACTTTAGGATGGTTGGGGGGTTTCCTAATGGGTTGGATGAAGCTCATTTGGAGTATGGGAGGGTGAAGTGAGTTTTTGCTTGGTGAGAGGAAAGATGTTGATTGACATAAGAACTTTGGAAATTGAAGTTAACGGGGGAGGCTTTTTTTCTAGTTTTTTGAATGTTCATCGGGAAATCTTGATGATGCGCGTTATGAACTCGATTACTGATAAACCCGAATGGGATCGAAAGGTTTGGGCCATATTTATACTAATTTCATGGCTGTGCCTGGGCTGGCCTGGTATTACATTACATAGCTAATTCTCATCTGCAGGTCTTCGATCTCAACATCACATCAAAATGGCGAGACGAGATCACAGAAAGTGGCGAAGACATCACACCCCGGATGATAGACTGGGTAATCAAAGAATTACAATGGAAAGCCGGGATTTTCGACGAGACAGGCTACGTCCAGGTATTCGATACCGGCGTGGTAAAATCGGACGCCGTCATTTCGCAAGAATTACGCCAGGCGTTGAAAGATGCGTCGGTGCCTCTTAGCAATATCCCAGAAGACGAGAAGGATTACCACCCGGGCTCGGATAACAAAGTAGTTGATCTTGTCCACCCATCTCTTTTCCCCGTCATATATGGTCGAACGCGCGTCCTTCCGGACAGAACTATCGGACTCAATGACAGTATCGAGGCTATGGGATATGGTTCGATAGTGCCCCAGCCAACGGACGAGCAAATTCTTCAGTTCACTCCTCATCTGCCACGCGGGCTGCCGGTATTTAGCAAAAGTTTCCAGTGGTTACCCTGTGACGTGGAATTCACCGAGGAGGGATGTAAGATCGTCTCGTATATCAATAACCTGCATCCTGAAAAGCATAGAGACCTGTATGGTGTCATTGAGAAAATTATTTCCAAGACGATTCCGCTTTGGAACAAGAGTCTTGAACAGCAACTGCACAAGGGCAGAATTGATTATAAAGAGGTGGAATATGGTGAGCATTCAGAGCCGGAACCGCAGTACCCTGGTGAGCACTGGGATGAAGAGGCGCCAGAATGGGATACCTTTGATGAAGAGGCTTGGGGTGAAATTTGGGAAGGATGGGCTGCGAACCGTCCTATTTTACTTCCTGAACCGGGGGAGTTCAAGCCTAGGAAAAGCTCTCAGTGGGAGCGAGTTGATCTCCGGACCAATTTTCCCGGCCAAAGATTGCAAGTCATTGTCAAGATGGCTAATATTGAACTTACTCCCGACAACCCTGAGTACGAGGGAGGTAGCTGGCACATTGAAGGACAATTGGTAAATCACTCCCTCCAACCCCCCCCCCCCTCTCCCATGCTTCAAGTTTCTGCCAGTGATTCATATATGGGAAGACAAAGATCACCGCCCGGATAAGACTAACACATCGCAGAATGAACGAATCGCAGCCTCAGCAATATACTACTACGATAACGAAAACATAACACCCAGCAATCTCTCCTTCCGCCAACGCGCCAGCTGCGATTTCGAAGAACCAAGCTACGAACAAGACAGACACGAATTCATCCAAGCAGTCTACGGCTTCGACGAAGCAAATTCCCGAGGCGAGACAAATATCACGCAAGAACTCGGAGGCATAAAGTGCGACGAAGGCCGATTGATTACATTCCCCAATACCCTTCAGCATCGAGTATCGCCTTTTCAACTCGCAGATAAGTCCAAGTCGGGCCATCGGAAGATTCTCGCGCTTTTCTTGGTCGATCCGCATCGAAGGGTTATTTCTTCTGCGAATGTGCCACCGCAACGGGAGGATTGGTTCCCTTCGGAACGCAAGGAGCGGGGTCGTGACGATGGGGAACAAGTGGTACTGGATTCGGACGCTCCCCCGTGCCCAGGGCCGGGCCGGGGTGAGTTGATGTCGGTGGATGAGGCGAGGGAGCATAGGTTGGAGCTTATGGCGGAGCGGAGTTTGAGGTCTGCGGAACGAAATCAGAATTTTGAAATTGGGGAGTTTAATCTTTGTGAGCATTAGGATATCTAGTTATGGCTAGGGGTGTCTTTGGTGTTGACGATGGTTGTGTATCAAAATTGATGTTTAGAGGTGATAAATTGATAGAAATTTCAAGACGCGGGATGGCTATCTAGAAGTGTAGTCTTAGAAGCATCTTTCCCTCGTAACTAAGCTTGAATTTACCTAGCCGTAAACAATTACGCGGAGAAATATAGATTTATCCATTGCAAAGCCGCCATTTTTACTCACAACGGCTACTTCTGAAATCAATATGCCAAGATATTGAACTCGAGACAGAGCACAGATGAAGTAGAAATGAAGACTCATGCTTGTGCCTGTTTGAAGATCCCCATCTCTCGACGGATTGGGGATATCGATCGATCTTCATAAAGCCATCATGTTGATTTTGCAGGATCGACACGGGTGACATGCGATCGTGATTAATCGCACGATTTGATGTCGTCGCAAGACTACCCTTCTCGGCCCTGAAAACACGAACCTTTTATGATTCGACGAGATTTGGGACGAGTTCAAGGGACATCGTCCGAAGTATCGCCGGAGAATGGGAGCCTGAAAAGGGCTGAAGTCGTAACTCTGCCGAACCAAGTAAAGAACTTGAACTTGAAACAGAGCAGGCTTACTCAAGTCCAGCGCGGTTTCCGCTGATTGTAAGGTTCAAAGTACAACTCCTTATCACAAGTAGCTTCGCCATTATGCGCGCGTCTCAATTCTCGCTCCCTTTCCCGGACTCGTTTGTGGTATCTGCGTTTCTTGGCCTTGCCTCGTCGGAGGTAGATCCACTCCAAGGGTCGTGTGTACCAGGCGCTCATTTTGATGATAGGGTGTGGTGACCCGGTCTTCGTTTGTTGATTTTTGAGTTGGCCGATATTTTTTTTTTTTTTTTTAAAAAAAAGGGTGATAGGGACGGAGCGAGAATAATATAGTTGGCGCCCTCTCGGTCTTTTAGAAGGTTGAAGTTGAAGGTCTCGTGCCAACGGCTCAGCCTCGTGCTTTAAAAGAAGGCTTTTGGTAAGGCGCCCTGGGCCCCGCTGCTGGGCGTCGTGATGCTCTGGTTGGTTGGTTGCACAGCCCTGGGCGCTGCGGTAAGGCCATTTTTGGTTAGTTTACCAGGTGCTCGGCCCGCCAGGGCTGCTACCACCCAAGAACCAATCCGATATCGCCGTTTTTTAGAGTGGTGTAAGCGAGTTGACTGGCCCTACTAGTACAGACGATTTCGGTTCTCGAGCGTATGAGTTCGGTTTTATTGAAGAGCCATTATGCCCAGGTGGATGCTATTTTGCGAGTTCATTTCAAGTTGGAAATTGCAACCTTGGAATTATATTGTTCGCAATGTAGTTCAGCCCGTTGTTAGTATTCCAACCAAATCGGATCGGATCGGATGGTATCCCAGCGAAGGTATCGTTTCATTGTCTTTATTTTTCTATACCTCGCACTGGCAGGTGGTACAGCGGTGGAAAATTTTCGTCTCGGGGGCTTTCTATAGTACTGGTACCCTGACTAGAGCACCACAGGCTCATGATTAGCTTATTCTAAGAGAGAGAAAAATATGAAATTTCTAGTCTATGTAAGTACCCTAAGTGCTGGGCCGAAAATTTTGATAATACAAAAAAAACTCATGAACTTGGACGCGTGTATTTCCTTCGCATGCCAAAAAAGAATGTACTCTGAGTTTACATCGTGACAAACCACTTCCAATTATATCCTAAACATGCCCATCTCGCGCCAAGTAGGCACACAAAAGACATAGCAAGCATAGCGCCAATGAAAGCCACTAGATTCGACGGGCCAATGATCTTCAGGAGCTGACCACCGATGGGAATGGCCACGAGGGACCTAGGACAAAGGATTAGTAGATGTACCAATGCTAGAGATAACAAAACCAGACTTACCCGTGACTGATAACAAGATAGCAGTTTCCAAGCCAAAGCCCAACTTCCTCCGTTTTGCACATTTGGGCAATACAGACAGGAATTAGACAGAGGATAGCACCGGTTCCGAATCCCATAAGAACAACAAAAGTGTATAATACACCGACGTTATATCCGAATGGGTACCAAAGAGCGAATATAAAAACCGTCGTAAAAGCCATTATGACTGCCATTGTATTGAAACGTCCAAATCGATCACAGGCGAATCCTGAAAGCCCCCGACCAACAGCGGCTCCACTAAAGTTGCGCGTTAGCTAGATTTCAAACAGATAGAGTAGAAAAGTGTATACGTACGCATTGTAAACAGACATCAAGTATAAGCTTGTCTCCGTGTTAAATCCTTGCGCGATAGCATATGAGGGAACAAGGCCGAGAGACGCGACCAGGACAATCTGACCGACTTTAGGACCAATTAGTTCATGAATTTTGAAAAGGTGATAGGGGTAGAGGAACATACAAAATTGGGCCGCTGTGAACCAAACGAGTCTGGAATCGCGGAAAGAACGGAGATTCAATCCACCCTTTCGTGTCTTGGGAGGAAGTCTGGTCTTAATGCAAAGGTTGCCAATGGAAAGAAGCCCCATGAAGATGAACCCAATGATTCTCAGTGACCAGGCCCAACCAAGAGAGTCTAGAGTTGCTCTCAGAATCAAAGGAAAGACAATTCCACCGAGACTCGCTCCGACCATGGCAATACCAGTTGCCATGCCTCGGCGGCGATTGAACCAGTGCGACAAGACGACCATCGATGGAGTCGTGACTAAGGCACCACTCAATCCACCTAGACCTCCGAGGCAGAGCATGAACTGGTAGTATTCTTTACATGATCCCAATAGGAACATAGTCAGGGTGAAAAGCACAGATCCGACGAGCAGGATCCAGCGGGGACCGTATTTGTCAAACATTGGACCCACCTGCGCGGCCAGGACCATGTTGAGGTAAACGAAGACGGACGATATCCATCCAATTGTCCCCGGAGTGTAAGACTGAAGTTGGTTTTTCCCCCAATGGGATTGGAGAACACCAACCGAGGACTGCATTCCGAGGGAACAAAACAGAGTCACAAAGGCGCCGGCTACTACGAGCCATGCTCTAAGTCCACCTTCGGGGTAGACATCCTCAATCTCCTTGTTTGTTGAGTCAATGGTCTCTTTAGATGTTGTTACGATATATGATAGCCGATCTCTGCCTGCCACGTGTGGGCCATCTGGAATCTGCTGCTGTGGTGCCTTTTCAGACATGATCGTAAAAGAGAGTGTGTGATAAAAAGAGTGTATCGATATGAGAGAAATGAAAGAGAGTTGGAGAATAGAATTAGTGTTGAATAGCTCATTATTTCTATATTCAATGTAGTCTTTTGCCCCCTGGCTAAAAATCCCTAGAGGGTACGTGTGTTCGCAAGGTACGTGTGAGAGTACGTGTTCTCTACCCCCCCCAGCCACAGATCGAGTATGACAAGGGTTTAGATGGAGCAAGTGTACTCCGTGTATAACATACCCAAATGTGAGAATATGTGGATGCTTGGCGGATCAAACTTTGCCTTGCATTTCTGGTCGATCATGACATCACACACCGAGGGATGTTCCCGCCTGTCGGAATCTCTCCAAGAGATTTCATTGGCGCTGTAGCGACATGTTCCTGACGGGTTCATCCCTTGCGCGGAGTTCCGCCCACCCATCAGGAAAGATCAGCATTTCTTCGATAAGGCAATTATTGGGATGGTTTGATTTGAGAATATTATTCGTCTTTTGTTTGAAGAAAGCAAAGATCTGGTTTTCATGGCGTGATAATCTCTCCTTAAACATACATCTTCAGCGCAGACGAGCCTCAATGCCAAGAACTGCTAGTTTATCGGCTAACTTTCAGATCATAATGTTCTTGTCAAACTTTACACGCGTCACGTTTCAAGACCCTGAAACATAAAAATAGGAGTAATAGGAGTCCAAAAAAGGGTCATTTTGGTGAACGGCCATCAAAGGTACCAGTAGTACTAATAAGTTAGAGATCAACCGGGAGGTGATCCCGAGCAGATCAATTATGGACTTGCCACCCGCGTTCGATTGGATCAATTTTTAGAAACTCAGAGTCTGGACCCGTAGTAGGTATTATGACCTGGACAGTCACCTGCCCGGGCAGGCACTGGGAAGTACCTATTACCTAAGTGACAGAAAATATATTTTTGCCCAGGTGAGAGGTATCGGGCTGCATCGTACCAATCCTTTCGCCGGCAATCGGCAAAGTTGTCAAATTCGACTACTAGTATCCGATCGGGGCAAGCGCCGCTCCCAGAATTTGAAAATGACATGCTTCATTCCTTGGAACATATTCTAAGATAAGCAATTCCATCTTTCTTGGTCGGTGATTTTGCCAAGCCCGTCCGTATAGTTTTCAACGTAGGTGGCGTGCCCTCCTACGACCCCGACGTCATTTCGAGGAGTTCCGAAGTTCTACAATACCTACAGATCTAAGAGAATGCATATGCTAGGCGTTCAAGTTTCTTCTACATTCAGTGACATGTTTAATCTGCGTTGTCGAAACAAGGTTCTTTTTGCCCGTGTGATGGATAAGCGCGAGGCCCAAGCGGAACAGAAGCATCTATGGAACGGCCACTAAAATAAGCAACACGAATGGCAATTGGCGATTGAAATTCCTGGCAATGAATGCACGTTCCAACGAATAATATTGGGGCCAAACAATATATTAGTAAATTCCTAACTACATACGAGACTAGTGGCAATTTAGACACTTGGATCAGGTGAAGTCAAATCTTGTTTCAACTGCTAAAGGGATGGGCGGCGGGAAGGGCTGCGGAAAGGGCCGCATGAGATATCAAAGTGGCGCGAACGCATAAGCAAACCCTTTGCAGAATGATGAAGAATTAAGCAAGTGCTCAGTAGCTGATGAGCATCCAGATACAAAAGGTAGGGAATGAAAATAGAGTGGGTCTCGTAGATTGAGCTGAACAAACAGGTGATCTACCAACTAGCAAAATACTCCACCAGATTATGTGAGAAAAGGAGTCATTTGACTAATGATTTGACCCCTAATGAAGATTCAAACAACAAGGCAACAAGACTCGCTCACCCGAACACAGGAAGGCCCTTTTTTCACCTCGTTCGTCTCAGGGCAAGGGCGGAGTGGAGAAGATCGACTCCGCCTTCTAGGAAAAAGCTAGGGCCTGTCACAATAGTTTCCTTGGATGATCATCCGAGGGGTCGATCAGTACTTCGCATGCGTAATCGTCATTGAATTTCACGAGCATTGATCTGAAACAAATCTCAGAGCATGGTCAAGAGTCCTGTCAGCATTGACTGCTTGACAATCGCTCCACTTTTCACCGCCAAGATACTTGGGGTACGTATTCTCGCGAGCGATCTGGATTCCGGAACGGCAGACCACGTACGCACAACTGGGCCGAGAATGCAGGGAGTGCAGCGACTCACGTATGGGATATCTCTTGGCATAGATCCGGATCAAATAAATCGGAGTAAATCAACCTTTCTATAGCTCTAAACCATAAATTAAGAAGGTTTTTTGTTTAAATCTACAAGTTATTCTCTATTTATCCATCATCTTACTTCTCAAACCCCTGAGTCAAACCAACATCATGTTGCACGCAGCTCCTACCAGCGCTATCCACACAGATCACCCCAAGCCGGTGCAACCTCCAACCTCGAAAATGACTCCTCGGTTGTTGAACAAACTCGATACCATTCACCACATCGAGGATGCTCATGTCCTTCATCTTTCACGACAAGTCGAAGTCTTCATGCAATTGCTCCCTCGCGACAATATCAGCTTGCACCCCGTGGCTGCCGGTGGCGTCGTCTACCTCACCAAGGCCCATCTCGGCTCACAAATCAACTGCACTCTTGGCCTGGGCATGAAAGGCCTCGTCACTACTAACGATATTGAACAACTCGAAGCCTTACACACTACTGCGGACTTGACACCTTCCATCTTGCTTTGCCCATATGCAGACCAGAGTGCATTGCAAGCACTTGCCATGCGTAGCTATGTGCTCGACGGGTTCCTGAACATCTATGCACGCTCCCTACATGACATTCAAGTCGAAATTGACCCTTACATGAGCTTCTCCGAGGACCTTACATTTGGACCCGAAATGATCGTCAGCCGAGGCGCAGCAAACGAAGAAAACGGCTCAACATTTATTCACGCCTCAGTCGCTGGATTCAAAGACGATGGACGGTCAGTCGAGGTTCTCGAAAGCCTAGCGGAGTCAGCAGTGCTACGACGCGACACAATCTTATACTTTGCGAAGATCGATGGGCAAATTGCGGGATGTGGTGCCATGGCTTTGATGGAGACCCAGTATGGCAAGATCGCACATCTCTACATCGACAGCACGACCCCGAACTTCCGCGGGCGCGGTGTTCAACGGGCACTTATCCGGGCGAGACTAAATGACGCCAAATCGCTTGGTTACGACTTTTCCACCATTCACTGCCTACCGAGTATTGGCACCGGTCGCAATGCCGAGAAGGAAGGGTTCGGTCTTGCTTTCACCAAACCTATGATGACCAAGAAATTGGACTAAGGAGATATTCAAATCTTCATTCGGTTTAATTTCTCTTTCCGGATCATCCTCAGCCCCCTGCTTTTCTTTCTTCGCACATAGACACTTCTTCTCATTCTAGGCTACAGCGCTTTGCCTTAGATATTACTTTCTTTTCATACATTCTCATGGTTGCTCTTATTGAAGATTTTCGGCCTTCGGTGTTTTACAAAGTTTCGAGTTTCTTTGGCCTGACAGGGTGAATCTGGCACAAATATACATATGGCGTTGGAAACTTGTCGTTTAGAACAATATAATAGACTTCATTGATATTCTAAAACTTGTTCCGTTTCGCCTAATTAGGTACTTGTATCTTTTTTTCGTATATTTTGCTGGCTCCGGCACACCCCGAGTTAGATAATGACAGCCCCAAAGGTACTAGTAATCTTCGGGATAAACTAACCTTCGAACCTCAATATAGTCATTAATACTAGGCCCGGTAGGCTTTTGGGCAGTGCGAAGGGATAATGGAGAAACGGAGACCGCCCAAATCATATAGTTTTCGTAAGAGACCACCTATTTGTCTATTGGTTAGGATAACAGTAATTGAGCAAGAACCTTAGAATATTTGAGCAAGGCGCCCGGGCGCACATTTACTATACATCCATTCGCGTGCGTTGAAGATCTTAGACGAATACTACCTCGGGACATGGTTAAGTACTAGATAGATCCCACGGTTCTTAATAGGTCTGGTCACTTAGTAGTACTACCCCTAGATTTATTTCAAATACTACTAGGGATGTAGATATTTTATCAGAAAAAGAAATTCTTCATCGTCACTTTTTATTTCGCAAGGGCAATTTTCCGGATCCTCGGACAGGTAAGAAGAGTTGTTCCAATCTTGCGTGCTAAGTTGTCTAGGATACCTATAGCTCATCTTTCTGACGTAGAATTCGTCATGGATCTTAAATGATTACGAATTGCATCTGAAGCCTAATCTGCCTGAAAATTTAAGAATGTGATCCATTTCTGGCCTCTCAAGGTCGAAAAAGAAAGCGCTGAGCCGTGACTTTGGACAATATTACTAGTACTCCGATAACGGACTGTAGTATGTTGAGATTTTTGTCATGGTAGTATTAACTAGACGATGCCTATGTTGCCGAGAGCTACAAAATCTTCAAGTGCGTGCTATCCCCATAAGTGTCCCTGGTTAAATTATCCTTCAATTGTTAGCTTTACTTCGGTCTAGCCTTGTATGGTTGGGCTGTACCGGTGGGCCCATGGCGCTCGCCACAATCCGAGATCGGGACCCCAAACCATGAATTTGTGACCCACAGATGTTATCGCCGAAACTTCCTTCGGCTTTTGTCGTACACGTCTTATACAACGTTCCTTGCACCTCACCTCATTGGAGAAAATTCAGCTGGATTTTTCGATCTCATTAGGATGGGCGAATTTGTCGAAAACAGCGATCAGCCGACCGCGGTCGCGCTTCCAAACTCCGAGCAGTTTTATATGGACAACAATCAAGGCGAAAAATATTTGATTCAAGTATCTTGGCCGTTGAATTGGCGAGATGGTCCGGCTTCGGCTCGCAAACCCCTACCTATCATGTATGCCACTAGCGAAAACTCCAAGGGGCCAGGCTTACTTACCCCATCTCGCTAGGTATATGGTCGATGGGAACGTAACGTTTCTGACTGCAACCGAGTCTTCTTGGCGTCGCCAACTCTCGTCACGATACACTGGAGGAGGTCTCATTGTCGCCATTGGGTATCCGTTAACTAGAAAATTATATGATTTTCAACGACGGAACAGCGATTTGACCCCACCAACGAAGAATCCAATTCCTGGCCACGGAGGAGCCGATGGCTTTCTTGATTTTATTGATGGATGTGTTCGGCCCGCGGTCAAAGCGCGTTACCCGCAAATAACTGTCTCGCGAGAAGGTCTTTATGGCCATTCATACGGGGGCATTTTCGTGCTCCACGCCTTGTTCACGCGCCCCACTATGTTCGATAGCTACTTGGTTGCCAGCCCCTCGATTTGGTGGAATGATAGGTGCATAATGAGCGAGGCGAAAACATTCTTGGAGAACGAAATCACGCCAGTCAATATCGGCTCGCTACCATCGCTGGCTATTTTCTGGGGCTCCTTTGAACAAACTCCACCCCGATGGGATAATGAATCACTTGACGAATATGAGAAGAAAGTGCAGACAGCCTCCGATCAGAAGATGGCGGACAGCGCCTTCGGTCTTTCTGAGATGTTGAGAGGCTCAAAGGGGATACGAAGAGTCAAAGCAGAGGAAATTCCAAAGGAGGACCATATAAGTATTACTCCATGTTCAGTCAGTCGAAGTATCATAACCTTCTTCGAGGACTGGACATGGGAGGATTGCTAGATTCTCTTGGAAAAAATAAAGGCACCTTCGACATGCTCGTGAGAGCATTACACACACAATAGATTCTTCTGCACGAAATTTTAAATTTCATATAAGCGAGGAACATTGGCATTTGAAAACAGGAATTTCGACATGCCCAGTCGTGGAAGAGAATACGGAAATGATCGGGCGCCAGTCTAGTTTGAGAGGAGATCGACTGGACCCAAATGTCTAGCGATTGGTCTGAGTACTCAGCTTCAAACTTTAATACCAAACTTCACTGCGATATGGGGGCTTTAAATATGGGCCAAGTCGGGCTTTTCCAGACACAGTTAAAGCAAGGTCATGCGTCGGACATAATCGGATTAGCGTCGCAGCATCTTGGAGCTGGCCTAAATCAATCCGCTCAATCAATCTAATCAGATCCTGATTGTGGCTGATACAGCATGTATTGTTCGGTATGGCATTTGAAAATATTCACAAAATTGGAAACACCTTCGCTTCTCGCCTTGGCGGTCCTCCATTGAAATTATAGATGGAATAGTCTAGAGTTCCTTGCCTTATGATGTTGTATCTTAGACTACACCTATTATTTACCTTCCTCAGGCCCAATTCCTTTGTTTATACATAGTTGATAAAATCGTCTCGGGATGAATCTTCATTCAAAAATTTATTCTCTCATTTGTTCACTGTCAAATCAACGGGGCGATTGGATATTGAATGAAATTACCAGGCAAGATGTGCAGGATGTTGGATACCCCCCCCCCCCCCCAGTTACCACCCACGAGGCCGGCCGGGCCAGGCTCCGAGTCCCAAGTGGCCGCCAAAAGTTGTACGAGGTCTCTTCATTGGCCAGCAGTACTTTACCCTTGCAATATGGCAAAATGGGGTCTTGGTAAGAAATACGAAGGAATGGGCTTGGCCTTGTGATTCCGGATGGCGCTAGTTCTTCACTTAGGATAAGTGATCCATACGAGATATTTTGACGCTCAAGATAATACTTGCCAAGTTAATCCGTGCCCAGGTGCTAGCTGATGAATTTGTTTTATTCGAAATGGGTTCAATGGCCCATGATATTCGTGGAAGCGCTCTTGGCGCACAGATAGCAGCCGTCCAAGCTTGGCTAGGTGGCGAGGGAGATATTCGGAGTCACGCCGCCCACACCACGTACGGTGACTCTCTGGATTGATAGAAGAATTAGAACCGAGGGTTACGGGTTTTTCGTATTCGACAAAAAAAGACGAGACAACAAAGTAGCGCATTAAATAAAGAGAAAAAAAACCCGTAATGCCTTCTCCTGGCCGGATTATAAAACTCAACCAATCGTCAAATATTCATGGCTCATAGCCGAGCATACCAAGACAGCCCAGATATCCCGAGGGTTGGCATTAGTTAGTACTTAGGTGTGGCCAGGGTCCCTTATACTGTATTGCGCGGTAACACCAAGAGCGGGGCCTGAAAGCTGGTGTCTCGCCGCTTACCTTGCCCCTTTCTACATTATGTTTTTTTTTCTCTTTTCTCTCTAATTCCGCACTTACAAGCTGTCCATTTGAACAAATCATGGATTTTTCATCTCCCCACTCCCGAGAATCGGGCCACTGGTTAACCCCGAAAGAGTTAGACTTACGACCCAGCACTGTCCAGCACAATAATAAATAGCCGCCTGTTCGCCATAACAGTCGTGCTTGCAAATGCTCGTTTTTTCCTCCAACGAGCACAATGGCCATTCTCAGCAAGCTTCACAGAATTGTGGGTGAAAAGCCTGCTGCGAACTCTCATGAAGCTTCGATAAGTGACCCAAATGTCGTCCAGATGAAAGCAAATGACAAGGAGGCTGCACATGACATGAATGAAATTGCTGGAGTATCTAAAAATGATGAAGATAGACCAACTGAAGATGCACAAGTTGGCGTGAGACAAATTGAGGCAGTCACATTGGCCTGGGGAAAGGGGTCCGTGTTCACGGTGTTGATATTGTTCGTTTCTACACGTTTCTACCCATCTCACCAAGTGTTTAGAATACTAATATTTCGACCTGAACAGTATTTGGTTTCTCACACTCATCAATAACATGAAAAGCTCCATGGTCTATAGCTTGACTGCCTATGCCACGAGTTCATTCATGGGCCATTCCCTTTTGACAGTCATCACTATTGTCGCCAATGCCATGACAGCTGCGGTTTATATCCCCATGGCCAAAGCGTTAGATCTCTGGGGACGCGCAGAGGGTCTTCTTCTTATGACTTTGTTTTGTATTATCGGACTTATTCTTCTCGCTACTTCGCAAAACCTTGAGACTTACTGTGCTGGAGAGGTAAAACACCCAGGCTATAGTTAATTGCTTTATGGGTGCGTGTGCTAAGTTTAATATAGGTATTTTACTCTGTCGGCTTTGGTGGGCTTGCATATAGCTGGGATGTTCTTGCAGCAGATGTGACGAATCTGAGAAATCGTGGTTTGGCATTTGCTTTCACTTCATCTCCAGCTTTGATCTCTGCATTTGCAGGTTCCAAGGCCGCAGCGGAGTTTCTCCTCCATGTCGACTGGCGCTGGGGTTATGGGATCTGGGCAATCATCTTGCCATTTTTTGCTCTACCAATCTATTTGATTCTGGCACACAGTTTGCGCAAAGCCGAGAGAAAAGGAATTATCGTCAAGGAGAAGAAGTCATGGAGTTTTAATCTACAGACCATCCAGTGGATTTTTATCGAGTTTGATGGTGAGACCTTCTAGAATCTTCGTGATTGAAACTAGGTGTGAAAAATGCTAATCTGGGGTTGTCTCTCTAGTCCTAGGCGTTATATTGTTTGCTGGCGGGTTCGTCGTTTTTCTTTTGCCCTTCACGCTGGCTAGCAGTGCCCCCGATGGATGGAAAACCGGATATATCATTGCAATGATAGTAGTGGGATTTGTCACTATCATAGTGTTTGGGCTATACGAGACTTATGTTGCTTCAAGGCCGTTCTTGGACTACAAATTTCTCACCGATCGAACAATTCTGGGCGCGTGCCTACTGGATATGACATACCAGATCTCATATTATTGCTACGGCAGCTATCTGTCATCCTTTTTGCAAGTGGTATATGAATTGGATGTGGCCACTGCCGGATACGTTGGAAACACCTTCAGCGTGGTCTCTTTTGTCTTCCTGTTCATCGCTGGTTGGCTTATTCGATGGACTGGCCGCTTCAAGTGGATCCTTTGGATATGCGTTCCGATGTACATTTTTGGGCTGGGTCTTATGATCCACTTCCGTCAGCCAGGTGGCTATATCGGGTACATTGTCATGTGTGAAGTGTTTTTCTCTGTGTCTGGTGGTATCTTCATTCTTTGCGTGCAGATAGCTGCTCTTGCCTCGGTCGACCACCAACACGTCGCTGCAGCTTTGGCACTTGTGTTCGTGTCGGGTAGCATTGGCGGAGCTATTGGAAGTGCTATATGTGGAGCCATCTGGACAAACACCTTCTTGAAGCAACTGGAGCTTCATCTTCCCGCATCTGCCATGCCGAATTTGGCTCTGATTTACTCACAGCTTCCTGTGCAGCTAAGTTACGAAGTTGGGAGCCCTGAGCGTGATGCTATTGTTAAAGCGTATGGCTATGCCCAACCAAAAATGCTCATTGCTGGAACCGTGTTTATGGTCCTGGGCTTTATTTGGGTCGGGATGATGAAGAACTTGAATGTTAAGAAAATGACCCAGACTAGGGGAAATGTCTTTTAGTTGAGTGCGATTCATGCCCGAGTATACACTATGAAATCAACATTTTATGCTTTGATCTGTGAAATTCACACATCTCTACACCCCTAGCATATCACGATTGAGGTACAGGTTTTCGAGGGATCACTTGCACCTGCTCGGGCGTATTTTCAGAACCATGGGATAAAACTGGACTATTCTGCCTAGGAGGTTGTAGCTTAGACAATTTGTTGCGTCGGCGGAGACAGAGTCTGGAAATTGGAAACTATTAGCAAACTTGGTTGGTAAAGATTCGGAGGGTTAAAGACGCTCATACAATATTCCAAGTATTAATATTATGAGAAAAGGACCCCCCCAGCCCTACGCATAGACCAATGATGAGCTTCTTATTTGTTCCGTGAGTCGTAGCATCCAGAGCATTATTCCAACTGGATGTAGAGGAGGGAGTATAAGGTGTTGGCGCTCCGGTTGTTGAATACAGTCTCTTGACATTCGTCCCAAATAGAATTGCACTTGTAACGGAAGCAAGCGTCTTGGCCGGAAAGGTCGGTTCGACTCCAGACTCAACAGTCACAATAGAAGTCACGGTAGTTTCGTAAGAAGTTGTGTTTTGGAGGTTTGCGGGGCAATTCGCCAAGCCAGACGACATACATCTCACAATTGTGTAGGATTCTTCAGATGTGACAGATGTTGTAATTAAGTTATCTCGATTTTGAATCTGAGGGTGATCTGTAATCTGTGATGCTTCCGTTGACGACTTTCTCTCTGCACATGTGCTGGCGAGCGTGGTATACCAGAGAGGAACGGTTGTGTTGGGTGATGGGCCCCAGGAGTAGTCGTCAACTGCCACGGTAGCACCGGCTGCTGCACCCACTGCAACAGTATATTCTGCAAGCGCTGCAAGCTCGCAATCATCCTCATTTCCCTCTGATGAGCCTTGTACACTCATCAGGAAATCCGCAACATAGGCGAAAATTTCGGCACTAACACCTGCGCTATAGCTTGGCAACACACTCAATTCATGAGATGCAAATTCAAATCCGACACTTGTCTTGAGGCTCAAGATCGCCTGAATAGATCCCTGGCCTTCTATCGTGACAGGCAGAAATTCGTAGGACCCCGATGGACTGTTGAATTTGTGAGATGAATCCCAGAGTTTTGCTATTATAGATTGAAAAAAGCAATAACTTACAGCGTCATACTCGAGAGGTTGCTGCTGAAAAGTTCCAGGTCGAAGCTGAGATCATCATCAAGTTTAATATGGATTCCACTTCCGATGTCAATTTGAGCTTCCGCGATTAAAATAAGATCGACACTGAACACGGCACCGGCGGTGAGACCAGGAACAGAAAACCCTGCAGGAGTCTCCGATGTAAAAAGATTCAGACTATAGGTGGCCCCTGTATTCAGAATAATATCAAGGTCCAGATAGATTTCCAAGTCAACGAAATCAAAATGAACATGAGCCTCTGGGATTTTGGGAAGATTTTGAAGATTCAAATCGAAGTCAAGCGTTGGAAAAGCCCTTATCTTAAAATTTTCATCACTCAAGTCGTTCGAAACATCTTCCGCATATTCTTCAATTTGATCAATGACCCTTTCCGTGATATTTGCGACCTCGTCTTTGAAACCATCCAATGTCTTGGTTAAGTTAAAGTCTCCAGAGATGGCCAGAGCACCGTTCACCACTCCTTTAACATAACACGTCAAGCATTTGACCTCAATAGAGCTATAATATTGTCAGACTTGTGCTTCTGTTCAAGAAGTAGCCGCCATATGCTCTGGGTAGTCTCACTTATCGCTATACTGAAACAGAGTTGCACCCGACCAGCCTTTGTCAAGGGAGGTTTTATTCATAGAGTAAACTCCATCTGTTGAGTCGACTGTGGCTGAATGAAGGGCTCGGCCAAGCATATTAAGTGTGTCTGCATTTGTCATACCAGGGGGGGTTCCGGACTTGCAACGACACATCCTTTGGGGGGGAGGGCTCTGATAGAGACACAAAAAAGACTGAAGCAAAGCAGTCGCATCAGAATGGAGAAATACATTTTGATATGTAATTCTCGTCACCCGCAGAAAAAACCATGTACACATTACAAAGGGATATTAGACGGGAGAGGGGAGGCCATGGGATATAAGAAGAAAAAAAACTAAAACTCGCACTAAACACCGACCGGGAGCTGAAACGAAATCCATGTTGATCTGGTTCGCTCTCGCGGGGGACTTATCCAAAGCTGTTGGGGGCCAGACAGGGGTTTGCATCAACTCTAGCAGGACGAACATGTTCACATGCACTCTGGGGCTCTGGGAGCCCCTGGCCCGAAGTTTTCAAACGAAGAGCATCCAACTCTGTGAGACTCTACAACGAATTTTCTTGGTCCAGACTACAAACACCTGTCTTTGTTTAGAAGAGCCTAGCAATGGCATATCAAAACTGAAAAAAATTCCCTGGGTTGGGAAAATGAAGCAAAAGTACGATTTATGCCGTCTTCATGCACGACTCCGCCTCGTGTTGGGGCTACTGCTGCGCTACCAAGGGAACCGAACTCGAAGTGGTCCTATCCCCACACCAGGTTTTTGGAGGTCTATCAATAGATACAGCGAATTAGCACACTTGAGGTGTCTGAAATTCTATATCTAGCTGTGGGCGGTATATTGTAAAATTTCTACTACTAGTAGTTATCGGAGGCTCGATGTTTCTTGGGAAGGGGATTGAGGATTGGGGGCCATATGCAGATGAACACACATTTGGGGGCGAAAACGGAAGTCGGTCCTATATTGGCTAGCGGGCCATAGAGAGTTGATGGCAATGAAAAAACACTCGATATTTCCCACGATACTTCTGAACTAGTTCCCTGCGGTGTCTTCGGGACCTTTATTTGGCTATTGGAAGGCTCTCCTTTCGTTAACTAGCTTTTTCATTTTATCCAAGTAGAAATGTGCAAAAACCCGAGAAAAACCGAAGAAGAAATATTCATTTTCGCCACAGGCTTGTGATCGGTTTCCCACTGGCATAACGAAAGTCTTTTCCGTTTCATTTCCAGGGGAACGAGAGCCAACTCCAGCCAGTAGGGTTATGAATTTATGGAGTCTGCTGAAAGGTAACAGAAGACGGAAGAATCAGAAATAGCCAATATAGAGGGCAGACCGAAGTAAATCCAACATGGCAAGAAAAAGGTCCGAAATCGTATCATTTCGCTATTAGAATTGTGGAAACAGTAAGCCGAACCATGATTTTTACAAAGATCATGGTCAATTACGGTTATGTTTAGAATTCATGCTTGGCCGAGCTTTTGGGTTTTATTGGAGTTGAGCTTGCCGATGAGGCTATATGCGATAAGGCTATATGGAATGATACCTCAAAAGGCGTTTGCGAGAAAACTAATTCTAGATCCTCCATGTCGGCTGCCGGCTTAGCAGCAATCATTTTATGAGAGGAAAATTAACCATCTTGGCGTTGACTACTGAACGAGGGTTGGTCGGAGACTTGCCAATTAGCAGTGGTCACCCATGGCACCCGCATGCGGCGTGCGGGACCAATCGTTGGGGCTCATTCCAATGGGGCCTCCATTGTCGGTAGCAGCCAATACTGATGAGCGGCGCACGGAGGTACGCTGGGTATGCCTGGTTAGGATGGTGGCGTAGAATTTAATTTTGACTCAGAAATGGAAAAAAGGAGATTGAAGATGCGGACCTAGACGTCACATTGAGCACAGCATAATGAAAGTCAAATACCCGCCAGAAGAGTATATAGGTTGCCTATTGTTTCGAAACCAGCGGAGTGCAAGTGGACTGCAATTAAAAGTATTAAAAGTTATATTGCTATAGTATGGCCAGAATTAACAAGCCCAACAACCAACATTCAAAATTCAAAGTAACAGGTCGTTAGTACAGAGCAACACCAAAGAGCAGCACGGCACTCGAGGCAAGCAGAGCGTTGAATCCGGGAATCAAAGTGTTGGCAGCATTTTTGTTGTCGTCCGAGTCTGTGTCCGATTCCGAATCACTGTCGTCATCTGAGGTTGAATCTATATTTTGAAGTCAGTCCGCTGTGATTCTCTTTTCGAGTCCACAAACGATATCCACATAAAAGCTTACCCTCGCTCATACATTGATCTCCAGCATCTGAAAATCTCTCTTGGAAGTTGGAAAGCTTAGAGGAGATTTCACTCAGATCGCCAGAATCACACCCATCCTGGATGCAGGTGCTCAGGTCGTCTACCGAAGACTGGACCGAGGAGAATGATGTGACGCTGCAGAGACAGTCCATGGAGGCGTCATCGCTGCTTCCACATTTGTCTTCAAGTCCGGAATCGTTATAGAAGTCGTCGAGGCAGGTCTTGATACACTGGGGAACGTCCCCGACAATATCATCCCAAGTCTCAAAATCACTGGCAGCGGTCACGGAAATGGAGGCGAGGCCCACGAGGGCAATAGAGAGGAAACGCATGTTCTCTTTGAACCTGGTTTGTTATGCGAAAAGTAGAGGATTATTTTTTAAAAAATGAATGTCTGAGAATTATCAAGCTGCGTTGTAGAAGGGACTGTGATAGAAGTTCTGGAGAAAGGCTGCGGGCCCGAATTATAAAGGGGTCCTCGCCAAGTCCCAGTCGCATCGTACCGTCTTCACATCTTTAAGCGACACCCGTGCCTGCAGTGAACGGACTTGCCAAGGGAGTTGAACATGTATATGCGGCTCTGTTGTAGTCGAATACGAGACGGAGCACCATCCATCCAGCGGAGCCTTGCTTGGCGGGGACTTCTGCAGTGTATTCGGAGCGCAAAGAAGCGCCGGAAAAAGAAATCGCAGTCGTATACTTCTCCGCATGGACCCATAGGAGACTTGGCGCCCCGCCAAAGAACCATAATGGGACCTATTGTTATACCTTCCTCGTATTTCATGCCAATCCTAATATAAGCGCGAAGAATTTTACCCCTTTCCCCTATGGGCCAATAAAAGAAGACTCTCGGGTACGTATCCCACCATTAGTCAATTGCAAAGAGTATCAATCCGGGAAGTGTAGAAAAGCGTAGAAAATTGTTTCTCCGAGAGAAAAGGCTTATTTAAGACTCATTTAGAGGCTTCATTAGTATTGAGAGGATAAGGTGCAGTAGTACAAAAAGTCGATAGATGAAGAAGAGATAGAAAGCGAAGCTATCTACGATATGCGAGACACAGCAACCTATATGCCTGAGGCACCCATATCTCAACAATGAATCACACACTGCGGAAGATCCTTCGCCGTCTTGAAAAACGAAATTTGAACATAATTGGCGTTGGGAGCTTTGGAGAAAAATTAAAAATAGCCGAGGGGCCATTTCTCGTATTTTGTAGTCGATCGTTGGTATTGCTCTCACTAAACCGAATCGAGCCTCGCTTCGTGCAATACTGCAATACTAGTCATGGTTGTCCCATTGAGTAGTGCGATTTTGAGCACATTCAAGATCAAATATTTGAATGACAGAGAAGAATTTATCATTTGTGAGATTACGCGAAAACTGAAATTCGCAGCGCCTTTACTCTGACCGCGATGATCCCCGCAGACTCTGTTTCACATTTCGAATAAGAAATAAGCGGGCAGGCTAAGAAAATGGGATTCGACTAGACCTTGCGGCTTGCGGTGTCCACTTACCATCAGGGATCACCTCTGAACTTTGCTGCTGCCTAGTCACCAATTTTCCTGTATCACATCACATCATCACTAATTTTGGCAATATGGAGGTTACATGTCGACCGTGATTTTAGATCCATACAAAAACGCTCCCCTACCCGCGCAGTCAGGCAGCAAGGTTGTGATAAAGACTTCTAGAGGTCGGACGGCATGAAATAGCGGGAGAAGGCTCAGAATATGCGACGCTTTGTGTGCGGATTCTCTGGGGTTGGTAGAAAGCCGGGATTCCCGCACTGACTGGAAGCGAAGATTGGAGAGAGATTCTCAAAAGCAGTGCGCCATAGAAAATTAAACCCTGGGTAGCCCCAGCTTGAGACTGTAGCCCCACTAGATAAAGATATGGTCTATAGACATCTGAGACGCCTCAACTGAAATTTCCATTCCAAGCAATAAATAGATAAAGGGTTCGATTCCTAAAACAAAATCCTTCTTTGTAAAGCGCTGATGGTCATGATTCGGTTCCAATAATACAACTATCCATCCAAACGATTTGTCCAGCATGGTCGACATAAGGGCCTGAAAATCACTTTCTGGGAATAGGTCTTTGATATCCTTAGTAAAGGCAGGCTAGGAGTCACGTTTTCCCCATACCTGGGCGAGGCTATGATCGGGCAACACCCTGTTCCGTCTGACTCGGAGTATTGACGCCGTATGAAGCGACCGCTGCGGGTTTCTGAATCCCGGGTGAAATAGGATAAGGCCACTGCTGTATGGGGAATGGCTGAAAGGGGTTTTGATGTATCTCCTTCTTTTTCTGCTTCTTCTCCCGGTGCATTTTGATGGCGAAGATAATGATGATGCCAATCACAACGACCAGCACGATCGGGATAATGATGGCCTTGAGAAGAATCTTGATGAGACCCATGATTAAATGACACTGGTAGCTAAAGGGAAGACGAGGGCAATGATGAAAACCCGTTATTGGAAGTTGGGTTTTAGATAGCCTTGACCGTAGAGAATCATAAAGGAAGACCAGCGGCGCCCCCTGGGAGGATTTATAGCTTTAATAAGGGATGATTGCTTAGGATTGCTAGCAGGGTGCAGTTAATCACAAGGAAAAGGCTTCTAGATGGCGCTTACCTATATGATCTGGTTGGGCGAGAGTATCACAGGCCCGCAAGTGATGATGTGACGATGTCTGTGTTACTTATCTAGGGCCAAATATAGCCCACCAATGAAGTTAAGAGAAGTGACACTCCTTACAAGTATATGAGCCAAGGAGTGCCCACTCGGTCTGCATGCTAAGCTTCAGCCCTACAGGGCTGCAGTGATGTGACCACTGGTGCAGGGTGGAGAACAGGATTTCCACTCTAGCAAAACCAGGTGCCATCTCCACCACCTCATTCGGATTGTTGTTGCTGCAACTAGCTCGTTGAAGCAAGGCCCTTCCCAGGATTAATACCAATGGACCAATGGAAGTTGATCAAGATGGATGGTAAAGAGATCCTGCGGTGCCGTCGCTATCTATCCTAGCAACTGAAGGTTCGTCGAATTGTATGAGTACGATCCCAAAAGAATGGAATTGAGCTCCCGGATTCTCAGATGGTCCCAATAACTTTTATAGCCCATCCATTTTCCAAGGGCATTCTCTGTCAGGGTGATCCGATTTTAACAGCGTGAGGAATAGTGAATAGTTGGCATTGAATTTACGCTACGAATGTCCTGCATAGCGCGGGATCTTCAAGCCAATGAAATTCGAGATAGTGTTCAGCTATTTCCAGGCACCAATATTTCCTGAAACTTGAACTTGGTGTTTTAATAGTTACTCGTCCCATGATTCGTGCGGACAATGTGGTGGGGCCGAGAAAATGACTCCCATAATAACAGGAAAAGCAATGGCCCAACGGCGGGAAGAGATTGAGTTGCAATGATGCCAGATGCCTTTGCTAGGAGATGGTGAGTGGGGAAGGATGAAAGTATTAATATTGGTGCGTGCGGAGAGAGGAAGCGATCTAGAAAGGACGGAAACATAGGAACCTGAGGCTCTTAGTTAGTGCCTCAGGCAACGATGATAATTACCTCAGATTTAAGGCATCAGTTCGATGCCCCTGAGGTGACTATGATTAACAAACAATTTAAGTGAGAAAATATCCAGAGGTATAATGTTCTGGTGGCAACGTCAAGTAGCGGCACGTGCGAGCTATACAGTGCTTGGTCCTAATTAGGGGAACCATTCCCGTAGTTTGCGAGGAAAGCTGCATCACACCCTGGCGTCCTTAGAACCAAGAAGCACCTGGGCATATCCTCAGATGACTCGGAGCCTATTGAACTAGAAGATAGATATGAACCTTGGAAATGAAAGGACTTATAAACTGGCTTCTAAACTTCTCACTTGAATGATAATTTTGAATAGAGATTGAGCGACTCGGAGGATGCAAATTCACCATTTCATTAAGACGACCTCGGGATGCATCGATTCGGGTTTAATCTTAAGAGGAACATCAGAAAGCAAACAATTCTAAACATCTAAGAAGCAGAAAGAAAAATCCTCAAGAATCTCCAAGGAAGAAAAATCGCTGATATCATAAAATAGAAAACGCAACTGAATTTCACGAAGCGAACCACCACTTTACGCCGAGGTAGCAAAATAAAGCCACGCATCGCACCTCAGTGGCTCCCAGAACCCCCGTATTCGGTGCTATCGGAGGCTTGTAATCTATGTGTCTCCATCTCATGGGAAGCCTGATACTTGGGCAGCTTAAAAGCGCTATCAGAAGGCAGTAGCCAGCCAGGGTGAAAGATATTGAAAGCCCCCACGGCGACGATCATCATGACACCATCCAGAATGATGAAAAAGACTTCGTGGGTCATAACATATCCCGTCCAGCCCTGAGAAAGCTCAATCACACGATAAATAGACCGGATGTAGATGAACACAACTGAGATGATCATCGCGAGAATCATACAATTGACAGAGTCCATTTTTCCCACCTGAATCAAGCCGGTACGGGTCGTGCGGCGAAGAAAGTCAAAGGCACAGTATACGAAAACGCTGATTGAGACAAGCTGAAAGACGATACCCGCAACCATAGTGTTTGTGCCTGGTGCAGTGTCACCTTTTCCGTTTGATGCGGAGGATGCCATGCCGCCTCCCGCTGCTTGGATAATGAGAGAGATGACGTCGCAAGTGCAGAATATCCAAAGGTATAGCTTGGGGGAGAGGAAGGAACTTTCCGGTCCGAAGATTTTGATGAAGCGACCGAGTAGAATGTAGATACCCGCTGTGTAGAAAACAGGAGCTGTGGTAAGATGGAGTTTTATTAGCCTTGTGTTTCTGCGGTCAATTTTGGGTGGTATTTGAGCCTACCTATGATCAGTGTCGAGATCTGGATCATGAATGCGGTACTGTTGTATGGGCAATCAGAGCTCCAGGTACGCCCGGCCCAGCCAAGAACTTCCACTGTTTATTGATTAGACTCGCATGATTAAGAAGAGTGTGCACTAGATTCGTACCAGCGCTACCGATAGCAAAAACGCAGCACCACCATGTCCGCTTCCAAGAAAATTGGACAATGTGTGCAATCATTGTTGCTCCAAACAGCAAACAGAATGCAATACCAGCTCCTTTTGACGGGATATAGTCATATGAACTGGGAAAGCCTTCGCGATAGGCATGGCAGCCAACAGAAAGCTGTTCATAGATCTTTTCGGTTTCGGAAGACATTCTGAGAGGAGAAATCGAGTATAAAACCAATAGATGGACGTTTGGGCACTAAAGAACAAAAGAAAATTGTGCTGATAGAAATGAGAAAAGTAATAGTAGCTATGAATTGTAAGAGAACAGGAATGATTAATCGACCATTTATATATGTCACAAGTCTTACAGTCTCCAAGCCTGGTGCTCGAAATACTACTAAGCACCTACCTTGCAACGAGCAATGACTTCAGCTCATGGAAGGCTGAGCAAAATGCAGATACGGATCCATCTCGTCAATGCCTAGTTGCCATAATTAGCTCGATCAACGAATACGGACAGAGGAGCCAAATAAGGCTGAAACGACATTAAGATTTGGGCGCCATGGATCAGTGGGACGTGTATCAATCTCTCTGACTGGATGACGGACTATGAGACTGCGGCCATCATCATGAGAACCATGAAGCGCCAATTTGTCGCACGGCGCTGCAATTGGATAATCTTGAGTCCGGGATTAGATGATTGGCTAGATCGTATATTGTTAATTAGCCTAAACCCGATTGGACTAACCCGCATAATCTTATTCTGGCAGGATATTTTCAGGCGTGCTCAGCCTCACCGCTTGGGGTTTGTCGGCCTGGACCCCGGCTAACGACCTTTCATTGGCCCACTCGTAATTTTGTCATCGGAGGGACAGAATCAGCAACAAATGCGCCCCAAACAGATCGACGGGAGAATGTTGATGCTGGTGCCTGGTCTGTGAATAGAAATCTTGGCGGGATCGGCTTTCGGATTTTTACGCCAAAACTATTTTTGAACGGTGCGATGAAATTGAAAAGAACGAAAAGAACCAAACGAATAAATTAATTTCTGGCGTGGTTCGGATACATTTGGAGATGGTTCTAGGCAAGTGAAACGTGATCAGCGTCGTTTTGTTTCTTTTTACGGCATGTTGTGCATGACTCGTCCGCAATCAAACCTGGAATTGCGTAGGTTTATACTTGAGTCAGAATGAGGTTCGATTTGATTATCGGAATTTTCCGCTGCTGACAACCCTCTTCCTTTTTCATGATTGTGTTTTATGATGGCCCCTGCGACGAGGAAAGGGCTTCTAGAAATGCATTTCGGCTTTTATGCAGTGAGACACACAAGCGAATCATGGCTCGCCGGATATTATTTTTCGTTTTTTCTAGATTTGATAGGCTCGAAGTTTATCATGGAGCTGGAGTAAGGAGAATGCTATTTATTCAACCCTGTACTACCAATTTTATTTATTAAGCCTTTCCAACCGCATGGTACTATCTTCAAGTAAACCTCTATCTGACATGCATGATGGTTCTGATCGTTGTTGAAGTATACCTCGGATTAGTAGAATCCCTTCAACACGGGGATTCGATTTTTTCCTTCAGATTCCGGGATAGATAAAGCCAGGTAGCTCATATGTATGGCAAAATCATAACAGTTGGAACAAATCCACGGGCTCCCTCGGATTAATCTAGTTAAATGCCAGAACTTGAAATGTGAACAGCTGGAGCCGAGATAAAAATTTACCAGAGAACCATTCCGCTAAAACAAACTAGTATACTAGTTCTCGCAACTTTTTCCGAATTGCTTAGAACGGATGACATAAAGTGCGATCCAGGACGGGACTGGTCTTTACCAATAATTAATACCGAATGTTCAAATCTTTACTAGTACTTTCAACCTTCGAAGTCAGTAACTAGTTGACTATTTGTCGAGGCCTTGTGCCTCAGGCATTAAGATTGCCTACCTTCCAGTTGCTTTTCCTCCTCGATAACTATCCAGTCACGACACATAAACACACATCTTTACATGCACCGCCCCTCTCGGGCGTGATTCTCGGTTTCCATCAATATTCTTCCAGGTCCCACGTGACCACCACCAGTTATCCTCGTATTCCTTCGGCCATCGGCGTATTTGCGAGCCATATCGGCATATTTTCCATCGGCGAGTATATTTTCACCAGTAAGAATTGCATGATGAGGTAATCAAAAAATTCAGCTCTAATACGCCTAGAACTATGTTTTGTCTTGGTATATTCCAACTTGACGGTTTTTTATTTAACAAGATGGAACTTTGGGTTCGAGTCCAAGTTCTTTTCTAGCCCATGTCAAATCGCTTGATATACATGCAACTATCATCAATTGTTTCAAGATGCTGACCGCTCTCTTCCTTGCTCAAAGCCGGACTGATACCAAATACACATGCACACTGAAAGCTGGCTATATACCCAGTCTACTCAGTGACATTGTATGTGCAGCATCTGATTCTCTTGATGCATTGGAGCTGTTCAGCGAGCTCTTACAGGAGGATCATGCTTCAGCTTCTTCTACAGGCTATATGGCATTTGATGCCCATGTCGGAGATACTGCCTGCCAGCTGCGTGCTCTCATGATCATGGTTCTCAGACAGCATCTATTGAAGGATGGGCGCGCTGACCGATTTCAACGACATATTGCTTCTATGACAAATGCACTCCAAAATGTCATTACCCGAGCGCGAGACTCATGTCGGATGTTGACCGCAAAAGGATCCAATTTTGAAAAATTTGGGTTTAATCGGGCGGGAGAATCGCGATGCAGTCTCTTGATGAAGCTTGGATGGGTAGAGCCCATCACCGAACACGAGACGCGGTCGGCGGGATCTATAGAAGATTGGAATCCAGACAATTTCCAACAGGTCATTCGTCTCCTCGCCTACAGTTATGTCCTTTCAAAATACAAAACGTTTGTGCGACGGAAGCACATAATCGGAGCTGAATTGGACCCTGAAATCCCAATACAATACGCTGCTCGACTCATGGAGTCTGATTACAACTCGAAGAACCCCGTCTTCCCTTATTGGACTCAACAAAAACGTGTTGAGCATGACTTCCAATGCATGCAGGTCTGGCTATCAGAGCTGAGCTGTGCATGGCTGAGATCACTAGCACACGCACGGGAGCGAAACGACAAACTGCAGAGGTGAAAAAAACATCGTCCATCCCGCATTGGGTTGTTGATTTACAGGCTAACTCTTACTCCCCGTAGCTTACTGGAGAATACAACACAGTCCAGTCGCAAAGGTCTGACGTCCATACCGAGCTTCGTTGGATTCATTGCTTTGCGTCAGCTTTGGACACAAATGCCGCCTCCTATTTTGATCGCAGTTAAACGCTTTTGTAGCGCAACCTGTAAGATTTTTAAGCCAGCCCACTAAAATAGTATCCATAAGCTAACACCAACCCAGCATTTCACGTTAACTACTTCACAGTCACCATCGATACAAGTACCTGTTCTGGGTCCTCCATGCTCCCAGCGCCCTTCCAGTGGAAATTGGAGCAAGTAACCGCCGACCAGTTGATATCAGACGAGTCTACAGACCCATGCTTGGTCATCTGTGGTAACTCTATTGATGGGCCGTTGGTCGATTATCTTTATGCATCATCAATCGCGACTCTCCATTTAGACGCTGATTGCGGTGATAACGAGAAACATTGCACTCATTTTCGGCTTGCTGATCATGACCAAGTTGCTCTCTCCGGCTATGCTCTTCATAAACACTATGCATACCCGGTGAAAGGAGAGAAAACACCAGAAGACACCGATCTTTTTGTGAATCAACTTTTAGAAGAGGCTGAAGCTGGATTGACTCACCAACTACAAATGGCGAGGGATAAAGGTGACGAAGTAGGGACGTCTTCCAATTCACTCAAAACATTCATGTGGCAGCATATCTTTTTGGAAACCCCGGGTCGACTGGCCTATAATATGCAAGAAATTGGAGGAACCCTACCAATCAGCGCGCTAGTTCAGAAATGAGGTTGCATCTCTTGTTTGTCTTTGACATGTCGTATGTTTTCTCTTTCTCCTGACTTTTCTTGTTTCCCCCCAAAATAGCCCTATATACTGCATATGCCGTGGATATCGCACTTTGAATTTAAGATCGAATCGATTCGTTTCAATTCAATTAAAACCTCTATTAACCTGATGCAACCTAACTTAGAAAATTTCCCTCCATCAGAAACAAGAGCTCACCAAACTCCATGCCCAGCAGTAGTAAAAACAAAGTAAAATAGCATGGTGTCGAAAAGAAAACGCGTAGGCAACGCGTAGGCAACGCGTCAAAACGGTAACAGAACCTCAATGGTCTATCGCCACGCATCGCTCGCCCCTGCGGCCAAATCCCACCTCCAGTTTCAACTCCTCTTGACGGTTGCAAGGCCTCACCTTGGTGACCAACACGTCATTGTTTCTTTAGATGTGTTCCTTCAAGTGCTGTACGGCATACATACATTTTGGCATGGGTAATATTCTCTTTATGATACCTGTTTCATATACTCGGTGTTCACCGCGCACGAACATTAGAATTGAATCAAATTGAGCTAGTCTCGATCCATAATGTAATTCATTCTAGACACAAACTAGGCTGAACCAAAGGGCCATCCCTGGATATTCGTCGTCAACAGCTGACTGGGGCTGTATCTCGCCAGCTTTTGCCTTGACCTCATCCACATCCCAGTTCGCCCGGACATATCGCCCGTTCAAGAATGAGGCTTCCTTACTCGTCAACCAAACTGCAAAATCGCCCGCGAGCTCCACTGAATCAGGCAATAGTCAATCAGCTGCCAGGCATGGATATATTAGATTAGAAAAATGAATAAAAATATACCAGAATCCAGAGGCACAGCGGCAGGGTCCGTTCCAGATGCCTTGATGAGCTCCGTTTCCTCCATTCCGGGATGTAGCGCCCCTGTACAGATTGAGGGGTCCTCGGCAGCGATGTATTCCATGAGCTTTGTTATGGCTAGCTTTGAAATGGCGTAGGCTGACAATCCTGGCAGCATTGCAGCGGGAAACGTGATTGCGGCCGTATATCCAATCACAGTAGCGTGGGCTGGGTTAGCGGTAGGTAGGAGTGATTTCACCGTAATGAAACTTCCTTTCAGGTTGGTCTTGTAAGGGCCAGTCATTAAGTCCATGTACATAGCCGAGAAATAGTGTATCTATGAAACTGACCTCGAGGTTCTGTCACCAATTGCTAACAGATGTATCCTGGACGGAACCAGGGGAGGAAATGTATGCTGCAGCGAGAATAAGTGCATCCCAGGTCCCCCCCAGAGGCAGCAACCTCTGCCATCCGCTTTTCATCTGTGATATCGGCTACGCAGATAGAGCCATCACAAGATAGCAATTTCTGTGTATCTTCCAAGGAGGACTTTGTGCGTCCAATCAGGATAATATTGCTTGCTCCAGCGCGGGAGAACGATACGACGGTTGCTCGGCCGATGCCACTTCCCTGCAGTTCGTGGTATCAGTTTGAAAGTCAAGATTTGTCAGAGGGCTCTTTGTTTAAGGTATTCTTACACCTCCTTTGATAATAATGGTTTTGCTGGCAACACTCAGCTCGCTTCGTGAAGACGAAATAGATGGATAAGAGCCATTGTGCCAAGTCGCTGTCAGTGAAGGCAAAAGGGACTGCATTTCGATGAGCTGACAATGAAGATAGAAAAGTTTGAAGCGGGTTGGTGGACAGAGGTGGGAAGGGGGAAAGATTCAAGTAGATGGAAAGAGTAGAAGCGAGGGATAGTGTAACGTTGAGTTTACGATGAATGTTGTCGATGCCGGAGCTGCTGCCTTCGGCGTCAGGCCTCCCAGTGGAATCAGACAGACGCTCGCGATCGGGGTTGTGGCGATCAGCCGTCTAGAGACGGAGTTGTTGAACCTGTCCCATACGCTAATGGAGGGCTAACAGGGATCTTCTGGATGGCAGCGACAGAAGTTTGCGTTAGCCAGTGATGCGAGAGCGAGGAGATGTAAGAGGAGAAAAATAGCAGATTGAAATATTCCATCCATAACGGCGCGAGCTTTCCGTTGTGGTTTATTCAATGAAGCTTTGAGCCACTTATATTCTTTTTGCGCCTGTAAGCTTATGCTTGCCAGTGAGACAGGAGTAAGCACAGTCTATCTTTCAATCACTGACTAAAACGTCGACGTCGATATCAGGTTGATAATGCGTTCCATTCTCAAAAGCTAAATCAAACTAATTATAAATCCTCAATTATCAAACAGAACATACCGCGACTCAGCCGATTCCAGCTCATTCCGCCCAATTTCGGGATCCAAAATACTCAACAGACCCTGACTCTCCCTCGACTCCCAACCGGCCATCGCAAAATAAGCCCTCCCTGAAACATTGTACCGGAGCCTTGTAGGCTCCTCCACCATCGCACCGTGCACTACCCAGCCCTGACTGCCCTCGGCACGTGGGCTATCCAGTGCCCTTAGCAGTCGATTTTCAATTTCTTCGGATATGTCATAAAACATGACGACCTCAACAATAAAGACATCTAGAACAATTTTCAGAGCATCCTGAACCAAATGAACAGGGAAAACAATGGGCATTCCCGCAAGGTCCGGTGTTAGGATCGTGCCCGCGGCAGCGTGGCCAGCGCCGGGTTGTTGAGAATTCCCATGGTAGTTGATATTGGCCCGATCTATAATTGACTCGTTAGTATCTTTTTTTTATTCGTCTAGAAGACCAAACAGGCAGAAATTAAGTTCTGCTGGCGGATAGACAGGAAAGGTCTAGAGGCAAAACAGAAACATACTCGCAAGGAACTGGATCTTTGACTTATCACCATCCACTTGTCGCCAGTGCATTTTACGGATTACTTCCTGTCGGGAGACAATAGTGTTGCAGAGCCTCGCTCCTATGCCTTGATCATCCCGCACCACCGCCGCTCTTGTGTAGTTAGCATCTCTAGATACTAGCTTCATCCGATCACCATATCTCTGCATATCGTTCATCCCATATATGGTAGCACACCCATAGGCCTGTCAGCAAATAGCATCCGCGGCTGAAAGACTTGACTTGATATCGGCGACTGGGATAAAAGTAGAGAGGACGATCTTGGTGATAGCGTGGGCCATGCTGCGGGAGAAGTGCATCACTTTGAGTTTGGCTGGCAGTATGTAGATGAGAAAAGGATAGCGAATTGGTAATCTGGAGAATGGAGATAGATTTACGAGTGTAATTAGCTGTGGGCAGGTAATTATACGTAAACGGCTGAGCTGAGCAAACACTTTCTGTATCACCCAGAGGGAGCCGGGAGCCTCAGGCCTCGGCGCTTGGTCATCCCGCCCACACCACCCTTCGCATTTAGATGGTTCTGAATAGCCTCGGGCATTCTCTCGTTCATGGCCATCGCCATTGCTGAACAGAGGGACTGAATGGAATGAGATAGATGGATGGTGTGCTGGATGACTCAGCCCTTAGGGCCTCAGGCTCCCAGCTATCGTCCTGTCCTTCCCAATTGAGTTAACTACTTCCCCATGTTACTGGCACCAAAAACCATAGTCAATGCAATGTTGGAATTCAATTTAGAATGATATCTTGACAACAACTTGAGCCTTAGTTGCCACCTGGGGACACGATTGCCCAGGGTCACGGTGTATCTATATTATTTCAAGTTTCAAGAAGTTCAAGTTGTCAATTTCTCTGCATTACAACTTGAAGCCCTGGTTATATATCCAAGGTTTGGCAACCTTCAAGTTGGAACGTTGGAATAAAATTCAGCATAGGGATCTCAGGATTTGACTCAGAAAATACTGAAGCATACAAGTATTTTTTGGGAGATTTGATTTAAGAACGATGAATAAGGGTTGTTGAGATATTTTAAATGGAATTTCATGCCATAACTATCGTGTTTGGTGCTAGATATCCGGCTCTTGCCAGTGCCCAGGTGGGCCCCGTGTCAGCCCAACCGCAACCCACGTTAAATACTATTGAACTTCGTTCAGAGTACACAACTGATATTGATTCTTTTTTTTCCGGAGGCTGAAATTGTGGGAAATGTGTAGTGGCTGGCCTCTAGGAAAGTCAGTAGTCATCGGAAGCCTGACTCTACACAGGTATTTATGCTAGCTATAACTAAACATGAGTAGGATATATTACCCTTTCCAGCTATGTCTAGCACATACGACCATAGGGTGTGGAGAACAGGGCTTCCCGTCCGCTCAGCCGTACTTAAGCCACACGCCGGCAGGTTAGTAGTATGGTGGGTGACCACATGCGAATCCCTGCTGTTGTATGTTTTTGAACTTTTTTCTTATTCCTTTTGGGACTGCTCTTGTCACTTTTCTCTTCAGCCCCTTTTTTCTTCACCGAGTGGACTGAACACCCCTGAAGCGCCGACATGGTCTCTTGGCTAAGATTTTCTTTCCTCCGTCCCGCTTGGCCCAGTCCCAGATTTTTATTGGTAGCCTGGACTGATAATGATAGGAGCTGATTAGAGAAAATAAATTTACCAAATTGAAGGGCTCTACTGCGGCCAAGCATCATACTTCAATAAAACTAAACTGAAATGTCGGTATTCTTTACTCTTCCCGTTAGACAATTACTGTGGGCCTAGGATTCTATTTGTTTCGCGACCACAATAGGGTCACTTTAGTCATTTAGAGTATCGTATGCCCAGGTGGGAAGAGGTGAAAGTCTGTCTCCATTTAGAATAATCAAGCTGACATAGCGTCTTACTAAACAATTCTGAATGATTGCATGGTGTAATTGACTACGGAGTAGTAATGGCATACCGGGTCTTGATAAACTGCAAATTGACCGCGCATCTGATTGGCGGAGCCGCAATGGCCAAGGAGCCTTGGATTGGAATCATATGACATGATCTTCAAGCCTCATCGTTCACACCTTCTGTTCTCTACCTTCAATATTCGATATTTTTTTGCGATTGTGTTCCTTTATCCCAGGGCTAGGTAAGCGATCTTGTGTATATTAGCTGTCCGTTTCTTGGTTGTAAAATCCGATCTTTTCTCTCAATAGCCTTAGTGCTGCCAAGAAAATATATATGGCATGGCTCGGCACCATCAAGCTCGTATCTGACAATCTTAGCCAAATCAGTAAACGAGAATCATGGTCAAAGTGCAGTCTGCAATCAACTTGCACTGCCCCTTTCTGTCAAACCAGCCCAGGTGCTCTGTATATATTTAATTTATCCAACGCAGCCACAACCGCTTTCTAGAAGTTTAGGTAACTATCCACTGGCAGCTATACCGACTACACCAGAATCACGGCCGTCCGAATCACCATGTTCGCTCCAAATACCAACAACTCGGAAGGAATGAGCAAAGAAGCCATTCAATCACACGACAAATCACTCTCTAGTAGTTTACACACTCTCCGAAATTGGGACCATGTTACATTTATCTCGTTTTACGTCCTATACCCTCTATACATTGCAATAGCATTGCCCGTGTACCAAGGCCCGCAAGAAAACCCATCGCTTTTTGACACCATTCCCAATTTTAGGGCGGGCACAACACTGCCCCTTGCCACCGTTCGTCTATTTTATATTATGTTTATTTCCATTCAGATTCTGTTTTCTTCTATCTCAAGCACAGGCTAACCTCGATTTGCAGTCAATAATAGGTCTGATCTGGTTCGTTGTAACCCTAATTCCTCACTGGGATGGCTGGTACCAGATCCGCATTTATTATTTAGCCGTTTTATTTGCCCGACTTCTTTAAACGGTCCTCATCGCTACTTCTATTGGTCTTCAAGCCACCTATCTACCCCGTCCTTTAGGATCGTGTGAGAATGGATGGGAGTGGGACGTGTGTTACCGCAAACCATCTTGAAGGTGACGGGAAAACACCATAGCGTGAACTATTTACCTGCGTGTGAAGTACATGCTGTGATTACCTGGAGGTTTGAGGTCTTTGTGCTGTACTGGAAGGCCCTGACTTCATTGAGTGCTGGTATTATTTATGTGAAGTTTGAGCGGATTCAGAGAGTTCCTGTTTATATGCTGGTCCAGAGCTAGCTAGGGATCTCTTTTATCTAGTGCCCTGGAATGAAGTATCCTAACATAACATGGAAATGCATATAGAAAGGTCTGAACTTTTGGCTCTTAAAGAGCTAAAGGGGCGAGCACTAGGGCGGCAAGCCGCCTAGAACAAACTCATAGGTGCTAGGTGGCTATCAACATACAACATCTGTTGTATGTTTGTATGTATGTATGTTTGTATGTATGTATGTATGTATGTATGTATGTATGTATGTATGTATGTATGTATGTATGTGTGTTTTTCTTTTCTTTTTCTGTTCTACCAATTTTTGGCTCTCTTCCACCCAGAATGGCCGCTGGCTGGTAAGCCAAGCATGGAACAAATCATAACCTTGGAAGCTCCGAATAATCAAGGTATAGAATTGTGCCTTTAGGTGACTTGTTTTATTTGCAAATGAATAACTCATTGCTTGTACAATTGATTTTCAGATAGAAGGGCATTATAGACCAGCATGGGAGGCCTTGAAATTCGTGCGCGCCCTCTGAGTCAAACACAATTCCACGTTGAAAACGTCAACGTGTGAGCTCTTGTCAGTATCGAATGCAACATCTGTCTGGCTGCGGTTGTGCCAAGACACATCATATTTGTCGAAAAGATGCATCACCAGTGACCGGAGTTGTTTATCTGCAAAATATTGACCAAGGCACTTGCGTGAACCGTAGCCAAAGGCATTCATATTTCGAATAAGCTGAAAATCCCAACGTATTAGTTACTAATCCTCTGGCGCAGGAGAGACGAAAGACATACCTCTATTGGGCTTATAGTTTCGAATCTCATTGGCTGATATTCTGTAGCGTTGGGTCCCCAGAAAGGGTTGCGGATGTTAAGCCCATAGGAGTCAGTAGTCACACTGGTCTGATTCAAGTTAGTTAAATGTCTTAAAACTTAGAGTATAGTCACCTACATGCTTGGGAATATGGTACCCGCCAAGCTCCTTGTCAGTAATTGACGCCTCAGGCAAGGTAAAGGCTATTAGATGTCAGCTTAATCTTCGAAAATGCAGTTGGAGTTTAGACACATAGGCTTACGCAGCACAGGTTGCAGACGCATTGCCTCCAAGAATGCATAATGTAAGAGTGTATCCTTTCGACCAAGGTACTTCTCGACGTCATTCCGATGCAACTCAATCTCGACCAGAAGGGCATCCTGAGTCGCACTATTGTCCGCAAGGAAGAGACAGGTTGTGGTGATAACATGAGAGGTCACATCTAGATTGGTGTAGGTCATCTCGGTGATGGTTTGAATCAGCTGTGTTGTGATAAAGTTAGCTTGTATCGAGAATAAGGAGCCGTAATCCTACCTCCTTCTGGGTAATTGTGCCTTGATGCACGTGCTTCCAGAGTTGAGTGATGGGCAGATCATTTTTATCCTGTCTTATCTGAGCGATCTTGTCATTGAATAAGTCCCAACGGTTAAGGAAGTTCTTTGTTGCTTTGTATTCACTTGGGGTATGCATCCAATATCCAAGCCAGCGCCGGAATGGTCCGTTCTCAAAAAGTAAAAGCAATGCTTTAGAGTAGATTCCTCCGATTTCGAGTAGTTCAGCTTTCTCTGTGTCGTCCATCTCTCCAAAAAAGACACGGCTTGTCTCGAGAAGGGGGAATGGCATAAATGTTGTTGCGGCGGAGATAATAAGTGGGTCGTTCGCACCACCTTTGTCTATTCGGACGTTCGGAATGCTAGCCACAAACTCCAACCCGGCTCGGTTGATACGCGGGATGTGTTTGACAGCAACACTATTTGACACAAGCGGATCAAGGATTTTTCGGAAGACTCTCCATCGATCACCCGAGACGAAACCAACAGCTTCACCTAACACCGAATTGGTCACCCAGCCGCTGCGACGGTGGAAAGTCTTGTTATGGGAATTGGCATCCTGGTAAAACTTGGCAACATCTTCCGGCGTTGTGATCACGCTTTAAAGGTCGTTTTAGACACAATTTATTTATCAAGGGGCGGGGTCACTAACACTTCGGAATGCAAGCCTGTCCAGATACGATAGATCTTGCCATACCGCTGTGCCCAGTCGAATGAGTACTTGCGTGATTGGAATAAACGTTCTTTCGAGTTGCCGAATGGATAGGAGAATGTCGGTCCATCCAGAAGGCCTTTGTTGTCGATACTTCGGATAATGTTTGTGTAATGAAGAAATGTCTGGTTTTCAATTAGCTACGAATCACAACACCCGCAGATAAAGTTTACATTGAAGATGGTGCTTAATGCCCCTGGGGTTCGAATAATGAAAATTGCGACGATTGAAAGCCCAATCGCAGAAGTAACCAATAGCGAATTTGCATTACCAAGTGGCGCAATATAGTTTGTGATTGAGCCAGTTTTCAACTGCGCAGGAATGAGGCCCGCAGCCCATAGATCGTGGAACTTTGACTCCATGTCGAGTTTTCGAAGTGACTCAGAACCATAGAAACGTGGACTAAGAACTACCAGCAGTGCATCTGAACGGATATGTATGTTCTGAAGCAATAGGTAGTCTATATCATTCAAATTTTGTCGGCTAGTAAATTGCGATAGCAGCGAATGGTAATCTCGGCCACTATTCAAGGGGTCAGACAAAGGTCCACCCGGGACGAGCTAAACAACACGGATTCTTGATCTTTTATTGCCTACAATATTACAGGGATCGGACAGTATCAGTCCTATCTCTTACTGCTTATTACGGACAAATTCCGACCCAATCGTAATGGGCCATTCGACCACCGATGTTTTGAAACTTACTTTAGTTGTTCTGGCCCAGAAGAAAAATCGACAACCATCTCTCCGAATCCCAGACATAGCTCGACAGCGCACAAAATGACAATTCCTAGCAAAAATGATCGCGATATTGGAAAAGAATTTCCACCACCGGCTAATATAGGTACGTGCTTAGATTGGGCGGGACTCGCGCATTGCCGTATTTATCTAATGGCGCAAACAGATTGGTCTTCCCTCAGCCTTGCAGACCCACCGAAAGTGAACGGGCATGTCGAGTGTAGCTACGATGCATCGACTGGGAAATGGAGCACCCCGAAGCTGATTGCCAGTCCTTATATTCAGGTCCATGGGCTAGCTCCTGGTCTCAACTATGGGCAGCAAGTATACGAAGGGCTTAAAGCATTTCGCACGGCAGAGAATACCCTACACATTTTCCGCCCCGAAGCCCATGCAGCTCGGATGCGCCACTCAGCAAACATGGTTTGTCTGCCAGAAGTCTCTGACGAACTATTTCTGGAGTGCGTGCGACTAGCCGTCGCGAGCAATGCGGAATTTGTGCCTCCAGCTGATAGCGCTGGTTTTCTATATCTGCGACCGGTACTTTTCGGTTCTGGTGCACAGATTGCTCTGGCACCATCTAACAAGACCGTATTGGCCGTATATGTCATTCCCGGAGGGGCATACCATGGCACAGATGCGCTTGATGCACTGATCATGGAAGACTTCGACCGTTCAGCACCGCGTGGTACAGGAAGTGGCAAGTTGGGGGGGGGCAACTACGCGCCGGCTTGGCCGCACCAGGAGCGCGCTCGACAACGTGGGTTTGGTCTCACGCTTCATCTAGATAGCGAAACGCGATCCCAAATCGAAGAGTTCAGCACAAGTGGCTTCGTTGGCGTGGAAGGGACATCCAAAACAATTTACGTGCCAGATACCCAGAACGCTATCCGCAGTATCACTAGCGAGTCTCTCACCAGTGTCGCAAAGCAAGAGGGGTGGACGATAAAACACTGCGCGGTAAGTACCCCGAAAATAAAATCGCTGCTTGCATCTAACATCATATAATTCAGATCCCTTTTAACACCCTTAGCCGATTTTCCGAAATCTTCGCGGTCGGTACAGCGGCTACTGCTGTTCCAATCCGCTCGATTTTACGCGATTCCACAGGCGAACGATTCGAGTTCGGAAATGCAGTGCAGGGCAAAGAGATAGTACAGAAGCTGTCTGGAATACAAAGAGGGACAGAGCTAGATGAGTTCAATTGGCGATGGAGTGTCTACTCCCTTTGACAAATTTCGATCTTGGATAGACGTCCAGGCTCACGGTTGTAGACAATTAGTAGGCACCGGTTTCATGTGCTCATTTTCCATTGAGTCATAGCTATGCTAGTCTGCGGATGATATAGTTTTATGGGCCAGCTGCCCATGTATGAACTTGTGCTGTCTTCGCTTTGATTACTTCCCACGCTTAGTATTTGCAGCTCAGATTTGAAACAGTGGATAGTTAAATTTGATTTCCTTCAAAATGGATTCTGCTGTTCCTTCCTGATGAAATCGACCAATTCTTTCCTAGTAAAGCTGTGAACATTCAAGTTTGTGACGCAAAACATCTCAATGAATTTAACATTCAATTCTTAATTCATTTGTGCAATGATTGATTCAAATGATCTATAGATAAAGGCAGCCGAAGACAATTATAAATGGTTTATGTAGACTCCTATGGAGATCTTTTCTAATTTGGAGTTGAGATTCGCTGCACACCACTCAAGCTCTTTATACCTTGCTCATTGGGTTCCATCCACCCATTTGAACCCGGGAAACAATAAAGCTCACAGCACCGAGAGCCATCATAGCGCCGGATAGGCCGATTAGCCCGCCCCAGTTGCCAGTATCGTCGGCTACTGCGCCACTGACAGGAATCCCCACCAACGCCCTAGAAATTGATTAGCGATGCCATTTTAAGAACCATGGTAATTAATAGCTTACCCGAATGCAAGACAAAGGCAGGCGATACCGAACTTAAGACCGAGATTAGCCACCTGGCCATCCACCAGCGCGACAACACAGGGTGATAACAGGCTGGTATATCCACCAGAGACAAATCCGTAAAATAAGGAGAGAGAAAATGATACCACCGTTTGTGGGGAAGTAATAGACGGGAAGCCAGACCACAAGGAGAGCAATGGCGGAAAGGGTAGTGACCAGTGCCATGACATTGAATTGACCAAGATGATCAGATACAAATCCTGGTATAATACGCCCAATCATGGACCCAGCATTGATCATGGCGAGCGTATATTGAGCTAGATCCTGCTTCATACCCTGCTCCACGGCGATGGTCGGTAGATAGTCGAAAGGAACCAAGAGGGAGAACGTGCAGCAGAAGACACCGACACAGAAAGCTATCCATGGAACGAGATTGTGGCGCATTCCAGGAACTTTACCGGCAGAATTGGGGGTGGTTGAAGCTTCAATGGAGCACGACACACCCAATTCACTCTCGTCGGGCTTTTCATCTGTTTTTGGTGACTCTAAGGACGGAGTGGCGCTTGATTCCTTTTCTTTCATGGCGGCCAGGCGCTTTGGAGGATATGGTCCCTCACAGCATATTAGGCCAACTATCATACAAACGCCGACCACTAGTGTAGACCAGTGAATTGCTGTTTTGAATCCGTGGCTATTTATCAAGCGAGAAACCATGATAGGGAAAATAAGACCTCCAAAGCTGCTTCCGGAACTTGCTAGGCCGACAGCAAGTCCGCGTTTTGTCGAAAACCATTGAGTAACACAAATTACCGCAGGAAGAGTTGTACCAGAGCAGGCTAGACCAAAAGCGACTCCTTGACAGAGAACAATCTGCCAGTATGTTTTGCAGAGACTGAGTAGACCGAGAGACACGATTCCCAGGGCAACGAACGGGGCCACCACAGGACGAGTGCCGTAGCGGTCTACAAGGGCGCCGATGGGTATACCGACACCGAAAATGAGAAACACGGCGATGGTGGCGATCCAACCTAGCTGAGAAGCTGAGTATTCTGGTAGCATAACCTGCTTGTAGTATAGAGTGAAGACACCGCACCTATGATAAAACAGAGTTAGACTTTGTGGCCCTGACAATGGTATATTTTGCAAGGTTCCAAGCCCTGGGGGTTGCTTTGTTTCTTTGATCAACAGGATCCAGGGTGCTCACGCTGTCACATAGCCATATGACGAAGTCTGCAATAAGAACGAGCCGAATACAGTCCGCCAGGCTTTCCACCCCCCATTCGGCGGTTCCAATTCGGTCTTGCTTACTGGAGCCATTCGCGACGATAGAAGTATTTATTAAAAAACTTCTTAGGGAATCTCTGAAACATGAGTAGACCACAAATTATTTCATGGTTGTTTATAAGAAATCTTCCTCGTGCGAAAGACATGTCCCGAATGGGTAAGTCTCCGAAGTCCGCGGACTTAGCACTAGGCTACGGAGTAGTCTGACTCCTACTTCCCTGTACTTGTACTCCGTGCCTGTGAATGGAGAATTCAATAGTGCAGAGCCCCCATTTTTGTCCACCTCTTTGAAACAGCCAATCGTATCAATCAAGAGTTTTGCTAATTAGCGTCCAATGCGGGTCTCGCACGAAGACGGCCGAGCGGGCCCGCTCACTCCGACGGCCGTGAAGCAAGTTTACTCCCCCTGCATCCGCTATGTTGGTCAAGACTAATGGCTAACTAATCCCAACTTGTATGTATGTGGAGTAACAGAACCAGATGCAGATCATTCTAAAATATCGAGTCACATAGTTGATTTTCATTTAAGTTGGCAAGTCTCTGCTTTGCGGAGGAAATTCTTGAAGCGTTGGACTACTCATATTCACCAGCATGGAGAGAAAGCCTCTCGAAACCACCTTTGTACATCAAAGAATTCGTCGACCGGTCTCTTGTGAGCTATGCCGATCGAAGAAGTTGCGTTGTGATCGTGGAAAACCTTGTGCGAATTGTCGACAGCGGAGAAAGTCTTGTGTCTATGGTGGACAGGCTGACACAAGGCGCTCGAGAAATACGCCACATTCTTCTACTCAGCAAAACGCGACCGCCTTGCTGAATCTGAATAATACACCAAGTATGGAAATAAAGCCAATAATTTTCCGCGATGAATCTACCGACCTCCCGGAGTTGTTCACGCGCATCGAGATTCTGGAGGAAGCTGTACTCCGGCATACCGGCAAATCCATTCCAGGAGCACATCGTCCAGCTGCCTCGCCCAACACCTTGACTTCCAAAACTCCTGCAGTATGTATAGCCATGTTTTCGAGGCGCATTGAGCTAATTGGTTCCCGTTAGACTCGCCTCACAGGGACTGGATTTGGAAATGCACTAAGTTATCTGAGCTCCAACCAGCATCCTCACGACCAGAGCTCAGCTACTCTTGTCTTTGCAATCAGCTGTCTTCCAAATCTTGATCAGACTCGTGACTTGTTTGATCACTTTTTCGACACTACACATCCGAATTTTGGTGTGCTCCATGTGCCATCTACACGCACTATATTGGAGGAAAGTTATCATCGTCTAAGGTTGGGAAAAACTCTTGAAGCAGGAACTCTTCTGCTTCTACTGAGCATTATCTCCAGTGCCGCATTTATATGGACCCCAGATTTGCTGAAAAAGCTCTACATAACGCCGTCTGAAGCCAAGGATTTGCATGTTGCCTATAGTCACCTGGCTTTGGGGCTTCTTGATTATGACTTGCCGCCCTCTACAGCCGCCCTAGCGGGAATAAGTACCCTCACCTATCTCCACACCAACGCAGAAGGCCTCCTTGATAAAGTTCATCTTCTGCGTGCTCGGGGACTTCTCATGGCACGCGCAATGCGCATTCATTGTTTGGATACCCCTAAGAGTCGCGAGCACCGGCGTCTAAATGGTTGCGATGGAATTGAAGTTGAAGTACAAAGACGCATCTGGTGGCACATGGTCTCTTCTGATTGGTATGCATTTATCTCTCTGTTAGCTTTTGAGACCAATCTTGGAAAGTTAATATGTGGTTTAGGCTGCTTGCATTCTCTGGTGGACCTCAAGAAGGAACTTATATTTTTCAGAAGAAGCACATGGCTGTGCAATATCCCAGCAATGTGGACGATGGTACCATTACCGCGAAGTTTGACCCCGACCGTGTACCGTATGACTTGTCATGCTCAGTCCCCACAGCAATGTCGGCTTCTATTGCTCGAATTAGGTTGGCCGAAATATGCGAAGAAGCAGTAAATGAGCTCCCTTTCAATGGGCTCGATTCCAGCGAGCTGGATTACGAAATTGTCTTAGCTTTGGATGCAAAGTTTCAAGAATACCTCCGAGATCTCCCGTCTTTCTTCCAGCTCCATCCAGGAGGAGTTCAGGATACTCAATTCAGACCTCATGAGAACTCATATATCTCTTGGCAGCGACTGATCCTCCACTTCTCGGCCCACACCCGCCTATGCTGGCTGCACCGGCGCTTCCATCTGGAAAGTTCCGTCAACAAACGATATGCATATTCACGAGAGGCAGGAATACGCTCTGCTCGCATGGTACTCGAATTACGGCGCCTCATGGACGATGCAGGCCCTTTAGTGAGCATAAACCCTTGTCGTTTATGGTCGCTTATGCAACATGTCTTTCACGCGGCCATTCTTCTGGCCAGTGACTTTTCTCTCTACCCTACTAGTCCAGATGCTACAACTAGACAGCAGGAGGTCATGGCGGCTTGTCGCATACTGGAGCAGTCCGCTTCTGAAGTAGATGGAACTCACAGGGTAGTGCAAAAGCTGCGTGCCACTTTGAAAGAGCGCAAACTCAAGAATGTTCCGTCCGCCACCATCAACCCATCCTCCTTGATTCCAAGAGAGCATGCACCAGGAGGCTCAGTGCCAACAGCAGTCGATAGCCCAGTGATGCGATATAAAGAAGAGACTAGCCCGCTACCAAGCCACAGTGACGATTTTTCGCCATCGCCCCTTGATAAACTATGGTCTGAGTTTGTCGATGCAGCTCCTGAGATGGACTTGGACCTGTGGACATCTCTTCTAGATGAGATCGATGGGACTCTGAGTGCAGAGCCTCTTGGAGGGTTATGGGGCGGATTCGAAAACACCATCTAAATATTTGTCCTAGCTTTTTCTTTGCCACAATCATAGTGATTGAGGTTAAGTCTCGGCTTCAAGTCTAGTATGTGTTTTGTTTTCCATTATGTAGTCAACATCTATGGCGAACATGAATTTGTAGTTTACTATCTATTAGACCACAAAATTCCTGCGAAATAGAACCATCTCCGTTTGAATTAACTCCGCACAAAGACTTCCAAGTTTACACTTAGCAGGCAAGAAAGTTTGTCGCAGTTGGGGGATGGAAGATCGGGTGACCCACTACTCCGTTTGATCGATCTTCCACTTTCCTTCTTCCATCCCTCGCTCTCCAAATCCAAATCTCATTTTGCCTCCCTCTCTTTGCTCTAGGTACTAAGCAACGCGAAGGGGTGATAGAGAGTTGCTGTCGACAATGTTCCCCAACTGTGCTCCATATTCAATGAGGACCCGTGCTACCTCCAACTGGCCAATTTCCAATGCCTTGTGGAGTGGAGTCTGATTGCTGGCATCAACGGCATTTATTCTTTTTCTTTCGCTATCGTTATCCAAGAGAGCTCTCAACACACCGACATGGCCCTGCTCCACCGCCAAGTGTATAAGAGACGTGGGTGCAGGCGGTGGGTTTTCAACGGTTTTGTTGGCAGAAGAACAGTTGTCTTCGGATAGCTGCATCCCCTCCACGCAGTCGCTTATTGGCTCCGAATATCGAATCTCTTTCTGCATTTCAGATAACTCACTCTCTAGTCGAGCCAACTGTGAAGATTGACTTTTGGTGCTCTGCCCTAATCGTGAGAATGTCAGCCTCCTTGCTTCGGCACTGGGTCTGCGCCCGTCTTGGGCGAGATCAGCGAGGCATGAGAGAGAACCGAGAGAAAACCTACGATATGCGCGCTGGGCGAGGCGATTCTGGACTCGCCGACGGCCAATGCGATCGTTTAAAGATCGCCAGTCTGGCTCACCTGGTCGAGAAAGCTTATGGTGCACGGGGTTCTCCTTTCGGCCCATGATAGACTGTGACAGTTCTCAAAGGTCTCAACGGTTGCAGACATCCTTCAAATCGGCCAAAATGGAATCAATATTTTCATACCCCTCTGTGTTCATTAATCAGCACCTGAGACCCATTCAGCCCTTGGTCTTGCGATGTGCCGGTGAGTAAAATGCATATGCTTACGGACCGAAAGACGCCGAGTTTGGCTTCAAGCTCCACTTTGTGACCGGGCAGTCTTCTCGACAAAATACGTGATTTTGGCATTCACCATGCATATCTTGTCCTGGTGGATTGGGCATCCTCGGAGCTGTTTATATCCTGTTTTGTCTGTTTTTCAGCGATGAACATCATCCCCATAGAGTCCAGCAAATCCTTTCCACTTCGGGACCACACGATGAATCCCTCCACGATAAGGCTTGGAAGCAACCCAGTCGTGATACCCGTCTCCCCCCAAAGCTACGATATTGCCGAGGAATTGTCCCATGCCTTTGATAACTTCTTGGAATCTCACGAAAAAGAGGGATCTCCAGCCGAGCTGGTGTTGAGATTCATCATCTTCGTGTCGCTCCAGAAGGCAACCACCTCCGATTCTTCATATCCAGGAACTGGTCCGTTTCTCGAAGATCTATGCGACTTTTATGAGCAATCTATCTTGGAGAAACATGATATCCATACTCACGCGGGTAATGTCACCGACACTTATCAACTCAGGTCTGAATTGCTTCGCCTGCACTATACCGCCTACTTGAACCCCCAAATACCTCTTCAATTGGAAATGTCTTCTCTTTTCTGTGCCGCAAGCACAGGCAATGCAAATATATATGCCATTTTCGGTGGACAGGGTAACACTCGGGAATACTGGCAAGAGATACAGCAGCTTTATCATGCATATGAACCACTGTTCAAACCGTTTGTCGTTGCCCTCGACAGTCACTTATCTAGTCTGGCCTGCCACCCAGCCGCTAGAAAGCAATTTTCCCAGGGTTTCAGTGTTCTTAATTGGTTGAAAAATGCCAAAGATATACCTTCATCAGAATATCTTTTACGCGCGCCTGTTAGCCTACCTCTCATCGGGCTTCTTCAATGCATGAGTCTCCACGCACTGCTAGCGGCACTTGGGATTTCACCACAAGAGATTCCTTTAGTATTCAAGCAGATACACGGGCACTCACAGGGTATCGTTGTAGCCGCCGCCGCATCCTCTGCTACATCATGGGAAGACTGGTATCAATATGCCACCCACGCCATTACCATTCTTTTCTGGATCGGAGTTCGAAGTCAGCAGGCCTTTGCCGATGCACCACCGTCCCCAAACCAAATTTCCGATATTACACAGCGCGGGCAAGGAGAACCATCTCCAATGGTATCTGTGTCAAATACACAGCGACACATTCTTACACAACAAATCGATCGTCTGAATGAGGGATTGCCCGTCAGCAAGCATATTGCTATCTCCCTTGTCAACAGCGACACTGGTTTTGTGGTCAGCGGGCCACGACGAGCACTGATAGCATTGAGTAATATTATTCAAAAGGATATTCCGAAAGAAAGCCAACATAGGGTCCCATTTTCGGAGAGGAGAGCAGTCCCCTCGCTCACCTTCCTTCCTGTTAGCCTTCCATTCCACTCTAACATCCTCTCATCAGCGGTGGACGCGGCTTTGGGGGACTTGAAAGATGTGCGAATACTTCGGAGCCAGCTACGGATTCCTGTCAACCAAACTGCCGGTCACTTTCCCTGGAAAGATGGTTCTGAGACGAACATTGTTCCCGACCTTGTGCGACTGGTCACTGTCCTTCCGGTTAACTGGAAGGATCATTCATTCGATGGTGCTACCCATGTGGTTGACTTCGGGCCTGGATTGGGGAGTGGTATCGGGGCTTTAGCTCAGCGCAGCTTGCAAGGAACGGGCACACGAACAATATCGGCCAATGTACTCGCCAAAAAGCAGTCCAGTTCACTCGGGTCTAGATTTGAGTTGTTTGATCGCCAGAACATTTTCCGAGGAAAGGATTGGAGCTCTTCGTTTGGGCCAGAGGTCATACAAACGGCCGCCGGTATGCATATAGCAACCCGATTCAGTCGACTTCTTGGCCTTCCACCTTTCATGATTGCTGGTATGACTCCTACCACTGCGCATATTCCTCTGGTAGCAAAAGCTATGCAGGCCGGCTATCACATTGAACTTGCTGGTGGCGCATATCATTCGCCTGCTCGGCTCACGGAAGCACTCGAGAAATTGCGTCCCCAAATGCCCAAAGGTCGAGCCGTCGCCTTGAACATCATATACATCAACCCGAGGGCCATTGCCTGGCAAATTCCCTTAATTCGGAAATTGGTCGCTGAAGGCTACCCCATTGACAGTATCACTGTTGGTGGTGGTGTTCCTTCCTTAGATGTAGCAACACAGTACATTACCACGCTGGGTCTTCGATACATATCATTCAAGCCGGGCTCCATCGCTGCTATACAGAGTGTGTTACAGATAGCACGCGCCAATCCATCATTTCCTGTTGTTCTTCAATGGACGGGTGGACGCGGCGGCGGTCATCATTCGTTTGAGGACTTTCACCAACCTATCCTTGATACATACGACGAAATCCGACATTGCAGCAATGTTATCCTGGTCGCGGGGAGTGGATTTGGATGTGTTGACGACGTTCACCCATACTTGACTGGAACCTGGTCACAGAGCAGAGGCAAAGCAGCTGCCATGCCATTCGACGGTATTCTCTTCGGGAGTCGAGTGATGACATGCTTGGAAGCTAATACAGCGACCGGGTCCAAGAGTTGTATTGCAAATGCTGAGGGCTTGCAAGAGAACCAATGGGAAAGCACACTAAAAGGCTCTTGTAGTGGAATCATATCTATCAAGTCAGAAATGGGCGAGGCGATGCATGTCGTCGCGACAAGGGGTGCCATATTCTGGGCCGAAATGGACTCGACCATTTTCAGCTTAAGCAAGGATAAACAGCTTCCAGTTCTACAGGCTCGCAGAAGGAAAATAATAGAGAGACTCAACAGAGACTTTCAAAAGGTTTGGTTTGGTTATAATGTACAAGCGAACAGCGCATCTGATATCATACACATGACCTATGCTGAGGTTTTGCAACGCATGGCATCGCTCATGTTTTTCCCGGCTCCTCGAGGGTGGATCGATGAAAGCTATCACACCATATTTCTTGATTTCATGTTGCGCACAGAAGAGCGGCATGCGTCTTCGATCATCCCAGAACCTGCTATATCGGCTCTTACGCGCTCAGATCCCGTGAAAGCTATTCAAGACCTCGGCGATACCCATCCTGCGATTTACGACAGTCTTTTGAGTACCGAAGATGTTCATTACTTTCTTCAAATTTGCCGAAGGCCAAATCAGAAGCCTGTACCCTTTGTGCCTGTACTCGATATGAATTTTGAGAGCTGGTTCAAGAAAGACTCCCTTTGGCAGTCCGAAGACCTTGCAGCAGTTCAAGATCAAGATGCGCAACGTACCTTGATTTTGCAAGGTCCGGTCGCAGTTCGGTCAATCAGCAAGATCGACGAGCCAGTCAAGGATGTGATGGATGCCATAAATGCTGGAAACTTGTCACTTTTACTTGATAGTGGCGAATATGGAGATCCAGAGAAACTGAAATATGAGGAGTTTCTTGCGCCATTTTCTGTCATCTCGGATGCGGAGAAATGCCAGTCAGAGCTGCGAGCTACAGAGCCGTCGTGGAAAACAGCATTTTTAAATCACCCAGTGTTCTTCCAAGATCGTGGCTTTGTTGCAAACCCGCTGTCAAACATACTGACACCTACTCATGCATCAATCCATAAAGGAGAAGATGTCGTTGCCTTTGGTCAGCACAACGAGAATGGTGAATTCCGCGAACATGTCACCGTCGAGCGCAATGGACAACAAATCGCGATGCATCTTTGGACGGATATCAGTATGAGTGATGGGCCACTTCCACTGTCTCTGTTGTATGAATACCACCCCGAGGCATCATATTGTCCCATTTGGGAAACAATTGACGACCGCACCGAACGTATTTATACGTTTTACGAAAACATCTGGCTTGGTAAGAGTTTGAGCGGCCCAAAACCCCCCCGTGGACTTCATGCGACCGCACGAGAAGTCAGCCGTTGTGGAAGAATCGGCTGTCCACGCGTTCATTGAAGCAACGAACTATATGGGTGCATGCGATGTTCCGCTAGACTTTGGCATTGTCCTCGCTTGGGGTGCGATATCCCGTGCTCTCCTTCAGCGGCCTGTGCAAGGCGACCTGCTCACACTGGTTCATCTTTCGAACAAGTTTGAAGTTCAAACGGCAGAGCATCCATTCCGAATTGGTGATTGTGTGACAGCATCAGCTCAGATTCAAAAGATCAGTCTTGGAAATTCTGGAAAGCTGATAGAAATTTCCTGCGACCTGAAGCGTCATGAAACTCTCATCGTTACAATTACCTCCGAGTTTCTAATACGGGGCTCATTCAACAACAGCGACCGCTACATCTTCTCCAAGTCCAAGCGGGAATCGACCATAGTGGCTTTCTCCTCATTGGCGGAGCAATCCATTTTGATTTCAAAGCCATGGATTCGCTGGGATTATCCAATAAGTCCCTCGCTCGATAAGACGGATCTTATATTCCAAGTCGAAACAACCTGTCAAGAAAAATTGCAATCTACTCAAGGGGCTGTTTATGTAACATTGCAAGGCCAGCGCCAACGCCGGGTTGGTACAGTTGACTATGCTGGTGAGGTATCAGTGGCGAACCCTGTTCTAGAGATGCTTGACCGTCGAGGAAAACCATTCCACCCACGACATCCCCTTGAGAACACCATACCACTGCCATGTGAAGAATTACTGGTTCTTTCGTCTTCGAACAGCAAGTACTCCCAAGCCTCTGGGGATTTCAACCCGATCCACACATCGCCGGTATTCTCGAATTACGTTCAGTTGCCTGGAACAATTTCACACGGGATGAAGACTTCCGCACAGGTCCGCTATGCAGTTACAAAATGGGCAGCTGAGGATGATGAGCGCCGTATCTCTGTTTATAATGTGTCCTTTGTGGGCATGGTACTTCCCGGAGACACACTCCGGATTTCCCTACAACACGTGGCAATGAAGAACGGTCTGAAAGTGGTTCAGATCGACGTTTCGAAGCAGGATTCGGGTGAAAAAGTCCTTTCAGGAGAAGCACACATTCATCAGCCCCCCACGGCCTTATTTTTTTCGGGACAAGGAAGCCAGCAAGCGTCTATGGGTATGGACCTCTACGAGCGATCATCCATCGCCCGGAATCTGTGGGACCGCTGCGATGCCTACTTTGAAAATCAATTCGGTTTCCAGCTTCGCAAAATCGTTTGCGAAAACCCCACAGAGCTCGTGATTCAGTTCGGGGGACCTCGTGGTCGTCAATTGCGTCAAAATTACATGCAAATGGTGTACGAAATTCCGGAGGACGGCTCCATTCATCTGCGTCGGATGTTTCCCGAGGTGAACGCAGAGACAACGGCATATCGATTTCGTTACCCCGGTGGCCTTCTATTCGCAACGCAGTTTGCTCAGCCGGCCTTGACTGTGATGGAAATGGCATCGTTTCAAGATGCTGCGTCCCGGCAAGTAGTTCCCCAAAATGCAGTGTTTGCCGGTCATTCCTTGGGAGAATACGCCGCCTTGGCAGCTGTGACGGATTTCGTGGCGTTGGAAAAGTTGCTCTACGTCGTGTTCTGTCGTGGACTGACCATGCAGGCTGCCGTTGAGCGTGACGATTTGAATCGCTCTAGCTATGGAATGGTGGCCGTTGATCCTTTTCGAGTCTCTCCTGGTAAGCTTCCGTATTATCACGTCAAGAATACATACTAATGGGATTACTTTCGAACAGCATTCAATGATTCTGGGCTTCAGACTGCCGTTACTCTGGTCTCCAGACATACTGGTTTTGTGGAAATCGTGAATTTCAACGTGTCCTCTCGTCAATACATTTGTGCTGGAGATCTACGCGCTTTGGATTGTCTTCAGCATGTTTTGGATGCACTTTCAACCAAATACACCAGCGACCTAGATGCGTTGGAGACTCTGATTCGCCAGCAATCTATCGCATACGAAGAGGTTCAAGCTTCAACCTTGCAGCTACGCCGCGGACGTGCGACCGTTCCCTTGGCTGGAATTGATGTTCCATTCCACTCTTCCCAGCTCAAGCCAATGATTGAGCCATTCCGCCGGATTTTGAGCACTATCCTAGATCTGCGCGGGGCAATTAATCCTGCCCAGCTGGTCGGTCGGTACGTCCCTAATCTGACTGGCACGCCCTTTTCCCTTGATCCATTCTACATCAAGGCTATACTTGCGAGGACGGGGTCTACGCATCTTCGGCACATATTAGACCACTGGGATTCGGAGTGGGGGTCGCGCATTCGGCGTGAGCGCGCGTTGCTATCGGGCATCGGGCAGTAATTGTATTTCGTGATAATTTCCTTATATGCTCGATTCCATATTGGTTTTGTACATTTTAGCTACTCCTATTCTGCTCACAAAGAAATATTTTGTTCTTAACGCCCGCATCTCACGTCTTCCCCCCGGCGAACTTCCCAATCAACTTCCTTCGTTCATTCTTTCCCTTAGACTGATTACCACCCACAACTATGGCGCCCGTGACCGAAATCACATTCTATGCCTGTTTATCTGTGGCTGGACATCTATGGATTAAACCACCCACGGTGTACTCTGCACTAGCCTTTTTCCTGCTATTAAATATAAAGGCCTGGCCACTTTCTTACACTGTAAGCGCTATCTTGTCTAAGTTCCAATTCCTCCATAACTGAACCACGTCAAGGCTCGCCTGCTTCCGGCTCTCGTTCGGACCTATGTCCTTCCCGCTCCCGTTGTGCAGTTGCCAGCAGAAAAGTCAATCGAGGTCCTGTTTCGCGCTCAAAGCCAAAGTTCATGGGCCTGTCCCCTAGAATGCGATATAAACATGCACAAGTCCAACAGCACATTTCTTGTGGACCTTGATACGAGTCGCGCCAATCTACTAGCCCAGCAACTGGTACCAGCGTGTCGGGCATTGAATGGTGCACGACTTATCCTCGGAGCCGTTGATACCACCTTCTATCGCGAAATACTACCTTTCCAAGCTTACGAAACACGATCCCGGATTTTGACATGGGATAATAAATGGATTTCGATCGTTACATATTTAGTTCAACCGGGGACCGAAGTGGAGGACGGGGCTGTCGGACTATCGGACTTCCTTGGTCGTCAGCGAGAAAAAAAAGAGGCTTTTCGCTGTGGCCCTCTCTAGGTACGTCGCGAAGAAAGGGCGACGCACGGTGGCCCCAGAGGATCTTTTGAAGGCCGGGGGGTATATCGGCGGGGCCAATGGAAATTTCCAAATGGCGCAGCAAAGGGAAAGGGAACAATGGGACATTTGGCAGAAACTCTAGTAGCAAGGCGTCTGACGGGCCGAATGGAACTTGGCCTATGATTTTGCTTATAATCCATAGATATTCAATCACGGAAGGGGCGAAATGCCGATGAAAACTTCAAGTTGGAGTCGCCATCGGCGACTAACTATCGGCGGGCTGTATGATACTAAGACTTGGATGATAGACCCCGCATAGGCATTTATTTTCATGACGCGGATCAAAAATTAAAATAATAGTAGGTAGAATAGCAATTTGACTGCTCATCCCGCAAACATGTTTACCCCTTTGGATTTTACGTCCATTTCTCAACCGGAGATCACTGAGTCTCTGGTTGGGATGTTCAAAAGCACAGTCCAGCGATTTTCGGATCGAATCGCCGTCGAAGACTGGTCAGGTACCCCACCAACGAAGCAACAATATACTTACTCTGAGCTTGACAATGCCTCGGATCATCTTGCAATAACCCTTCAAGCCAATGGGATTCATCGAGGATCTCTCGTTCCGATTCTCACTACGCGATCGATGCCAATGGTTATTGCCGTTTTAGCCGTACTGAAGGCTGGAGCGTGCTATGTACCCATCGACCTCTCAGCCTGGGGGGGCCGACCGTATTGAAGTCACTTTAAAAACCGTTAGTTCCGCCAAAGTTCTTTGCACTGAGGTGTCAAGTAGTATTCCTTCTGGGTATGAAGTTATTCAGTTTCTTTCAGCTGAGGCTGTGTGGACTCCGGCGCTAGATTTGAGCTCCCTTGATTCGCCAAGGCCCGATGATTTGGCCTATATTATATTCACATCCGGCTCAACTGGAAGGCCTAAAGGTGTTAAGGTTGCACATCGCTCGATGGTGGCCTACGCCTATGAGAATGGCGCTGGCACGCCACTGAAATTCGTCGTGACAGCCGAGTCACGTATGCTGGTGATGTTTTCAATCGCATTTGACGGTTAGTGCCACCAGGTAACCATTTTCCTGAAGATAAACATCCACTGACGTGGACCACAGGTTGTGCTGGGGTCTTTTTCTCATGTCTGGGCAATGGGTCCTGCCTCGTCCTTGCGAACCCTGATACTTTTCCCGATGCTGCCAAAGAGTGCACCGATCTCCCCTTAACCCCCAGCATCTTGTCCACACTTGATCCTTCAGACAACTATGGACGGGTAGAGAGGATTATTTTAGGTGGTGAAAAAGCCCCTGATTCTCTCATCGAAGCTTGGTCCGCCCCGGGACGTACAATATTCAACGCATATGGACCTACCGAAGCTACCTGCGTCACACTAATGGCAGAACTTGTCGTCGGTCGGCCACAGACTCTTGGATTCGCCCTTCGCGGGGCCTTCGTTATTCTACGGGATGAAAATGGCAACGAGGCCGATGCTGGAGAGATTTGTATTGGCGGTACTGGAGTTGCCCTTGGGTACTTCCAAGACGAGGCTCGGACAGAGCAATCTTTTATCACATACCGTGGTGAAAGGCTTTATTGCACAGGAGATTACGGTCGTATGTCTTTTGCCGGTGTGGTTTTTGCCGGTCGCAAAGACAGCCTCGTCAAGAACCGGGGATTTCTTATCAATCTTGAGACAGAGGTTGAGCCACTGCTGCTGAATATGCCGGCCGTCGAAGTCGGCGTCGCTGTATCGGTTGAAACTCGCCTCTATGCCTTTGTCTGTCCGCCCTCCGCCGCGATAGGCCTTCGCGAAGATTTGCTGCAGGCAGGTCGATCTCCATTCCTGGTACCTGATAGGATCGTCGGCATAGACAACCTGCCTCTAACCAGCAATGGTAAAATTGACCGCAAGGCACTCGTGGCGGTCTTGGACACACCAAATCTTTCGACTGTCAAAACGGATCCAAAAGAAGAGCTTGAACCAGAAGAGGCCGTGCTGAAAGCGTTTTCGGTTGCCCTAAAGCTTCCGGAATCACAAATAACTTCGGTGTCATCTTTCAGGCAGCTAGGAGGTAGCTCCTTAGCAGCCGTCTCTGTGGTGACAACACTAAAACGCTATTCATTTGCTACCAGCCTGTCTCAAATTTTCCAGTTGGATACTGTTTCTGCAATCAGCCAAGGCCTGACTCAAGCTGTGCAAGACCAGCCACAACTAAAGTTGGAAGTCGCTAAAAAGGAGCTATGGAAATCGGTGAATGATACCCTTCAAACACAGACTGATGGGATAGTTGATGTTGCACCGATGACAGACCTTCAAATGCGGATGGTGCATGGGACTTTGCAAGATCCCTCTGCCAACTATTTAAGACTGGGAATTACATTTTCTCATGGATCTCTATCAGAACTCAAACGTTCCTGGATATCCGCTCTTGCGGCTCATAGCTCACTTCGAACAACATTCCTGCTTTTAGGCGAGCGAGGAGCACAACTTATCCACCAACACGTCAATCCAAGCTGGGAGGAGATACCAGTACAAGAATTACCCAGCGAGCAAGAATGGCGTACATTACAATATCTGTCTACCGAGGAAAGTTTATCGACTCCATCCTACCCACATGTTCAACCATTCGTTGGGTTCCGAGTCTATTATGCACCCCATGGGGCCACTCTGGTCACCCTGACCATACACCACAGCTTAATAGACGGGTGGTCAGCAGTGAACCTGATTGATTCCTTCTCGCAGGCAGCTGAGGGCTGCTTACCGTGTCTCCCACGACCTGAGTTTCACCAGTTCATCGGGTCTATCGACCAATCCCATCTTTTAGTTGAGGAGAAGGCGCAAGCCTTCTGGAAAGAAAGTCTAGGCAATTTAGATCCTATCCCTCGTCTCACTTTGCCTGCCCCGTCTACCCCCACCTCGCTGGCAAAGAGAGAAGAGATATGTGTCTCATTGGGAACCACATCAGCCGAGCTGGAAATCCAATCTTTGCGCGCCAAAGTAACCCCCGCCGTGCTGCTATATGCCGCGTGGTCAATAGTTCTCTCAACATACTCTGCTTCAGAGAAGGTAGTCATAGGAGCAACTCTGGCAGGTCGTTCATCGCCGATATCTCATATTGAATCTGCTGTGGGCCCATTCGTCAACACACTCCCACTCCGGGTGCAAATTGATGAGAAAGAGTGCTTTGAGCAGTTTCTCCGCAGCGTTTTTACAACACTTTGCCAGATTTCCGACTATCAAGGGTCTACAAATTCTCTGATCCAGACTGCGACAGGGAAAAAGGCGACTGACTTTTATGAGACGATTTTCGCCCTTCAGTATGACTTTCCTCCCATAAGTGCCTGGAAGGCTGATACAATTGCGAAACCTTCCTCATTCTGGACCACCGACTCATCCGGAGCAAAGCTGAATGTACTCGTTGAAGACTCTTCGGAAGGACTGGTCGCACGGCTGGTCTATCACACTGACAGTTTTACCACCTCCACAGTGGAAGGTATGGGCCGGCATCTCCAGAATGCGCTTGAAGTACTCATCACGCAAGACCTTTCGGAACCTGTTTCTCGCATCCGTGATCAGCTACTCAAACCTGCTGAAATAGACGCACTTGTCCGCAATTTCCCCCGATTTCACGACAAGTATCTGGGCGCTGCAAATTTGAAAGAAGCCTTTGAGTCAATGGTGGATCGTGTGCCTGGCTTACCAGCATTGGAGTCGCCAAATGGTGATGTCTTGACTTATCGGGAGCTGGATCGACGAAGCAATGCGGTAGCACTTGAAATAATGCGACTAGAGACCAAGAGCCCATTTGTGGCTGTTCAAGCAGACGGCTCTGTTGAATGGATTGTGGCTATTTTTGCGACTATCAAGGCTGGATATGCTTATTGTCCCATCGATGTCAAGTATGGCCGGGACCGTCAAAAGGTCATGTTGGATCTTGCAGAATCCGATATCATAATCTATCCTACAGCTGGCTCCATCCCATTGGATTCCGTCCGACCAGACTTACGGGTATTGACAGTGGAAACTATCGTCGATTCACTTGACGAAAATGAAGTTGCGCGCTTTGAGACAACGATTCCTGGTGAAAGAGTCGCCGCCTTGATTTTCACTTCAGGTAGTACCGGAGTTCCAAAAGGTAAATGCTACAGAGATGAAATTTAGGCCATCTATCAAGACGCTAATCCACAGGGCAGGTGTTCAAATCCCCCATCTAAATCTCTTGTCATCTCTCGGTCATGAAGCTGGCCGAAACCATTCGCGTCCTGGTCAGCGAAATGCACAGTTGCTAGCATATGGTACGTCATCGCGTAAAAGGGAATTCCGAACAAAATTAAATATTTTGTCTCTAGGTTTTGATGGTTGTCTTCATGAGATATTGGCGGCACTGCTATTCGGTGCCACATTGGTACTCAAGGATGAGAACTCTCCAATGGCTCATCTGCGCCACGTTGACGCTGCTGATATTACACCATCTATGCTTGCAACTCTTGACCCTGATCTTCATTCCAATCTCAAAGTGGTGAGTTCAAAGCAAACTATTCTCACCTCAATGAAATAACTAATCTTGGCAGCTTTCTGTGGTGGGTGAGGTATTCCCTCAAGATTTGGTTGATCAATGGGGTATTCAAGACCGCATTCTATTGAATGTCTACGGCCCAGTGGAGACAACTATTGCTGTGACTTGGGGGTATCAAAAGTCTGGACAACCAGTTACGAATGGACCGCCTGCACCACGCACAGCCATATATATTGTTGATACAGCTAACCGTCCCGTCCCGGTCGGATGCACAGGAGAGATCTTGATTTCCGGAATCCAGGTAACGCCGGGTTACCACAAATTGCCCGATCGCACTCTGCAGTCTTTTGTTCCAGATCCCTTCATCCCGGGACAAATTGCGTATCGCACGGGTGATGTAGGAAGATGGACCCCAGATATGAACCTCCAAGTGATCGGCCGCATGGACTATCAAGTCAAAGTACGCGGATTACGTGTTGACCTACAAGAGGTAGAGCACATGATCACGAAAGCTTTTAATGGAATCCAATCCATTGCAGTCATCTTTAGCCGCGAGCTGGCCACGATGACAGCATTCGTGACTCCTCAAAATATTGACATGCAGAAGCTGCAACAAAATATCCGCAGCAGTCTGCCATACCATTTCCAGCCTACCCGAGTCATTGCCTTGGAATGCTTTCCCTTGAATGTCAACGGGAAGATTGACAGATTAGCATTGGTTGCCATGCCCGTCGAGTCGACTACATACACAGTGCTTCCAGAAACAGAAATGGAGCGTCTAGTCGCACGGATCTGGGAAGAGAAGCTCCCACAGACTCAGGTGGGGGCTCTAGACAACTTCTTCGATCTCGGTGGTCACTCCTTGCTGCAGATAGGGGTCGCACAGCGACTAACGGAAGAGTTGGCTTATCGCGTTCCTTTGCGCATGGTCATCGAAAATATTGTTCTACGTGACCTTGCAGCATCTCTGGAGACTAAAGCCAACCAAGGCATCTCCGATGATTTTTCCCCCTTTCGTCAAACGCGAGAAGCTCCTCTATCTATCACATCTGCACTGGAGGATGAGGTCTATACTGTGTGGGAGCAAAACAAAAGATCCACCGCATGGAATGTGGCACTTGCGATGCGATTCACCGGGTCACTAGATCGGGATCGCCTCTGGGACAGTTTCTCTCAAGTCATCAATTACTATCCCGTATTGCTGTCTGAGTTCGCTCCCGTCGACGGCATCATCCGCCGCTCTATTCGAGCAGATTTTGGTGGACCCATTCAGCTTCAAGTTCATTCATCCATTGACAGTGCTATCGCTGATGAAATTAATCTTGGATTCGACTTGAACAATGGACAGCCTATTCGTGTTCGATGGATTGAAGAATCACCCGTTTCAATCGTGGTGGTGCTTACAATGTCTCACGCAGTGTCAGATGGAACTACCAGAAGCCTTCTACTTGATGCAATCAGTGCAGCATACAATGGAACTGAGGATTACAGAGGTCTTCCCGCCGACCAGAGCTATATGGATTGGGCGAGCTGGTCTTCACAGCAGAAACTCGATATTGAGGCCGTAAGATTCTGGCAGAAAACACTGGCTGGATACACACAGTCTCGCCTTATTCCTTTCAAAAACAAGCCGCAGACTTATGACGGACATTGCCGGATGCTGACGATCCCACAAGAAGGGCGCAAAGCCATCGCTCGACTGGAAACTGAAGCAGCGGCAACAAAACACCATGTTGTACTAGCCGTAGTTTCGCTTCTACTGCAGTCATGGGGTGAAAGCGACTCTTTCATCATTGGTGCCCCATATGCAAATCGCGACATAGCCGGGACCGACAAGGTCGTTGGTATGATGGTCGATCGGATGCCAGTCAAGGTCGAACTACCCACTGATGGCAAGGAAACATGGCGATCTTTGGTTTCACGGATGAAAGGGGCAAGCCAGCAATCCATTGCACATTGGATACCGTTCACACAGATCATGAAAGCCGTCGATGAAAACTCCACGCAAGAACATTCCCCCCCTGTTTGACGTGATGGTAACATTCCATACTGCCTTCGAGACATCTCAACGGACGCAAAATTTTGGAGACGCTGAAACGACGCTATTGAGAACCCATCCAGATGGCGCTAAGGTATGCTTTTTATTCATGTATCGCGTCCAGTCTTTCGTGGAAATGGCTAACATTTGGACAGTATCCCCTTTTGTTCGAGTTCACAGAATGGGAAGATCGATTGGAGCTGGATTTAGAGTATGATACGGGAGTTTTGAGTGAACAACAGGTGGACAGTGTTCAGTCCTTGCTTATGTATATATTATCCAATTTGGCTTTGCAGCCCGACTCGAACCTACCTGTGGGCCAAATCGGCGAGGGATTGAAGAGGTTAGATATATAAACATTCATGGATGTCAATAGAGAACCTTGGCATGGCTGTGACTATTCGAAATTAACAATCGGACGTTTTGGTAAATGAAAAATTGAAATTGAAACCGGATCTAAGAACCTCTTATAGTTGTGGTCCACGCAGTCCAGAAGAGTAGTAGTTATCTTTAACTCGGTATTTGGAATTGAAGGACAAAAACACTATAGCTGACCCCGAAGCGACTCGAACGCTTAACTTTCAGGACTGGAATCTGACACTCTACCAATTGAGTTACGGGGCCGCTTCTTATGTAAGACAAGATCAGCAAGGCCATCTGATTTGGAGGATAGATATAACATCACACTTCTCCCTTTCTCCGCCCTTCTGGGCCTTGGGCCTTTTTGCATTGAAAGTTTGGTTGTGGAGTCCTGCCCTGGCTGGTCTTGTTCACTAAGAACTGACTACTCTGTATCAGATGTATTGCTAGATTTTTTCTCTAGTTATTCAGGGTGTCCTCATTTACTACTCTCCGGTGTAGTGGAATCAAAATATTGCATGGGTTCCTCTTTCTATTTAGACCGTAAGGTCGCCAGTTCGTACTTTCGTACTTTTCGTAATAAGTGGCGAGAATGAGAAGTGGGGGCCACTCGGCTGGTCCCATGGTCTTTGGTCTTTGAGCCTTTGATGATCTCCTCGTTATCGACCACACGAGCTCCACATTTGCTCCCTCCTATGGCTACAGCCAGAGCATTAAGTCACGGACTCAATGATCCCCGCTACCAAGCGGACAGTCAACTCCTGTCTGCGATGTCGCGCGCGAAAGATTCGCTGCGGTCGCGAAAGACCTGAGTGCCAGAACTGCGCTCGTCATGGACATTCCTGCCGATATGCCCCTACGATTCCTAGTGAGACCATTCAGAAGGACAATGATGGGCCTTACCAGGAGCTTGCACGGCGACTAAGTCATCTTGAGCTGGTCGTCGCGCGACTCGCAGGCAATACTGCACCTGAGAGCTCCCCTCCGGAGGAATCGACTGTTTCTAGTGCGGGCGATGCCCACAATGTGGACAATGAGCCACGTCTCTTGTCAGGCTCGTACTGGAAGCAGTTGGCTGCACAGGTGTGTAATTCAGGCGCGTAGTCAGCCTAATATTGAATTGAATTGAATTGACAGAATTGGCATTCAAATAGCACCCCGATTTCAACGCCCTCATAGACGCGGACCAAGATTCACAACCACCATCGAAACGAATACAGCCCAGTCGTCCCTTGAACCTCTTTGTCGCCCCAGACCCCGAATTCCACCCACATGCGTATATGCCACCGCTACCTGATGCCGAGCGATTATACAATATCTTCCTCGACCGGGTGGACCCAGTTGTGCGCCTAATTCATAAGCCAACGTTCTGGGAGGAAATGAAAGAATACTATCTCCAAGTGGGACATGATAATGGAGTGGAGAAACGATCAACAGCGGCATTCGAGGCGCTTCTATTTGCTGTGTTGTTCAGCGCTCTGACTAGCTTATCCGAGCAGGAGCACTGGGACTCATCGCCTCCAGGTCAGGACTCTGCCCCTTCCCAGGTCAGGCAGGGATGTCTAAAAGCTCTTCGGCTCGCCATTGAGCAGAGTTTGGTCCGATCAGAGTTTCTCGAAAAGCCGAGCCTTCACTCAATCTCAGCTTGCTGTCTCTTTTTGGTCCGTAATCGATCTCCCCACCTCTTCCACATATTCCCGCTGTATACTAACGTGCGATCATGTTTCAGTTTGTTACGTGCGAAGAAACCGACGTCCCATACCATTATTGCTTGACCGGTCTCTTACTACGCGTTGCGCGATCATTTTCTCTTCATATGGACCCAGAGGCGCTTTCAGACCGGAAGCGAGCACAGAAACCAGCACAACCACCATTCAGCGGCATTGTCACCGAACTTCGCCGGCGAGTTTGGCACGTCATTGTTCAGTAAGTACTGCGTCTGTCAAGACAAGCCGAGACCCGCGCTAACAACTCTGAAGCCTTGACTTCATGTCTAGTGAAGCACGTGGCGTAGATCCTGAGCCCATTGGCATGCAAACTTGGCCCACAACCCTTGCGACTGCATTACCGGGCAACATGAATGACGAAGACATCATGCAGGATAAAACTACTGCCCGTTTTACTGACATGACAATGTCTCTCGTCCGCTACCAACTCTCCCTCGGCCTGAGACAACTAGTGACAACCCCTGCCCCCCCCAGCAGGGTCCGATGGGCTCCAGAAATGCCTTGATGAAACAATAGAAGTAGTCAACAGACAATACTTGCAATTCTGCCACGCTAGCGACCCTATCCAGAGAGTGACGCTGGAGCTTGGCCGCCTTGGAGAATATAAACTCCGGCTCTTGGTGTATCATCGATTTCTGAAAGAACGCAATGGCACTACCAATAGTAACAATCACTGGACCCCGGCTCGAAAGAAGTATGTCATAAGCGCCCCTCTCCTTCCTAAAGTCACGTTAAATACCAATTTATCTTTGATACTAATTTGAGACAGGGCTATGGAATATGCCAAAGATCTGATTTCTTCCTATCAGAATGTTTTAGCCGACCCTAATATTAGACGATTCCACTGGCACATTCGACGTCACTCCCAACTGCACGGAATGCTCCACATAATAAACGAGCTATCAACAATAGATACTTTCGATCTATCAAGCGATATCAGTGTTATTTGCAAACAGGCTTGGGAAACCATTGCCGACGTGGAGATGGAATACGGCAATTCAGGAGAAGAAAACAGCGACGAGGAACGACTTTGGACCTTTCTACATAATCTGCGGGAGAAAGTGAGGCTTCGCTTATACACCCAGGGATTCATCAGTCGAGGCTTTACTGCGGATTCGGCATGGGAAGCCGAATATGATTCCCCTATGGGTGGCATTGATAGTACGAACCTGCTAGAATCACTGTTCGGTGGCCAGTATGGATTCAGCGGTAATATTGGCCTGGAATTATGACATAGGTACCTGCCACAAAGCCTCGGACTCGACCGCCCTTCAAGAGCTTGACCTACGGTAGACGAAATGATTGATGACCTAGAAAAGAATTGAACTCCAACACTGGAACAAAGTTGTAATACATCTGAATGGCCTCCCTTGTGAAATAGAACTAGCAAAAATTCCCAATGCCACCCATACGTAGATATTTCCATAAGACATCAAATATACAAATCATGCGAAAGCGTGCTATGACAGGTTTTCAAACGAAACGACGGATTCTGGGACACGCGTCCAAGTATCTCGGCGAAGTTTGGTGTCCAGGGCCCCGCCTAGCTGGTAATTCTCTAACACAGTGATGACGAACAATTTTATCATAATAGAAGCAAAATTCTTTCCGAGGCATTTTCGTGGGCCGAGTCCATACCCATGCAGACTGTACCGTGCATCCAATCGAGAGACAGAATCCCAACGGCGCGGTCGGAAAACTTTCCCATCCGGGGCCCAAATCGGAGAGTCTTGATTCAATCGGCGTACGTCAATAATGACAGGTGTGGCAGCTGGAATAAGGTAGCCACCAATGTATTTATCCTTTGCGGTCATCTCAGGAAGGGAAAACCCTGTATTAAAATTAGTCTTCCAAATTGGTATACTGCTTCGGAGTTACAAACAAGCAGGAGGGTTGTTGCGAAGAAGCTCCAGGTAAACGTGATGAAGCTGTGTATTTTCTTCTTTCAGATAGCGATCCAGAGTAGCGATGTCGTTTTCCTTTGATAAAATCTCGCTTCGCAGATTATTTTGTTCATTGGGATGACCCGCCAAGTTTATCAGGCAGTAGGCAAAAATGGTCGAAGTGATGTCTATATTGGTGAAGATAATTTCATCAAGAGACTGCAAAAACTGCTTAAAAGTCAGTATAGTCTAGCCAGCGTAGAAATCTCACCAACTTACACTAGTCATATCAATATTCCCATTCTCGACCGCTTGGTACATTCCTTCCAATGGAATCGAAATTCCCCTCTAAGAGTATATTAGTATTGTTGACGATTCAATACTATGAAATTTTCATACCTTTCTTGCAAGAGACACCGCATCTAGGTTCAATTCTTTCCATAGCTTGTTGAACTTCCTCAAGGTGGCATTAGCCTTCGTTGGTAGCCAGGGGTACCACCAGTTTTTGGCTGCTGGACTCAAGAATGTGACAAATGTCACCTCCTCGTGGAGCGTATTTAAATCCCATAGGCGCCCAAATAGCTACGAAATAACCAATATGTTAGTCGCTTATGTTGATTTTTCATGGCACAGTTTGAGACCGACCTCCTCTGAAAAGACTTCACCGTACAGGGCCATGGCAATTAGTCGAAAAGGCAGCTGGCGGCAAGCAATTATTGCGTCAAGTTCAAAAGGCCCCGACACGCCAGCATTTACCTCCTGGGGAAGTGTTTCAGCCCAGGTCTTGATAGCATTCTTAGTTGTTGCAATAACTGAATTTGCTGATGTGAAGGAGAAATGGGGATCCAGATGTGAGCGCGTGTTCTTCCATTCCGCGCCGTTTTGGACCCCTACACAAGAACCAAGCGTTCTTGCAAAAAAAGACCCCATATTACAGTCGTGGAGCTTTTTGTGATCTGATGATGATGCATACTATAGTTAGCCTTTGAATTTTGAGTATAACAACCATTTTCGTCCACTCGCCTGCAGCATCTTGCATGTAGAAATCTTTAATATGAGAGGGGTGAGAGACGATCAGCTCCCTGTGACGTCCATTTCGCACGAGAAATGGTCTATCTCCGAAATTTTTAGCCCCTTGGTCTGATATTTCCTTTCTGTGTCACAAAGGGATTAATTGAGGTAGATTCTAGAGGTCAAACTCCCAACTAAGACTAACCCATTTGTAAATCGCCGGAATCTTGTGTCCTCCTGGAGGGATGGAATGGGGTCCCCATTTTTGTCTTTAAAATATCCACTCTGACTTTTGCTGCTTTTGCTCTTTATCAGGAATAAATAGAGAGCCAACACAAAAAGGAGAGCCAGTCCCTGAATTGCGTAGTACATATTGGTTGTTGTGATTCAGCTTTCCAGGGTATATACACATGTTTAGTCATAGGAAAATTGCGCATTTTAAAGCGAGATGAATGCTAGCCGATTTATTGCTCACTGTCGACGCCGAAACCTGTCGCTCTCTTCGGTGTTTATTTTTTTGTTTTGCTCGCCGTGATATAGTCCCGGTTATCTTGGAAATTTCGGCTTTAAGCCCCATTGCTCTAGGCCACCAACTAGTTATAATGGCCGCGTTAGACCGATAGTGGGGAATAAGCAAGCCCTTAGCTAGTTGGCGATGCCACGGGATATAGTACTTAAGTACTGCCAAGCAGCTATCTGCGAGTGTTTCTCATTTCGGCTTTAACAACTTGAATATCCATTATAATCTAACAATTTCCATTATAAGCGAGGCGAGAGATGAATGGTCAAACGCTCTATATTCAGCGGGCCGCTGGCGTTCGGGTGCGGGTCTTGTGTATATACCAAAGCATGCAAAGGCATCAGAGAGGGTACCTGTCTCACCACTGGTACTGCCACCGAAGTAGAGATAAGTAACGAAGGCAACGAATTGGGCCCATTCTACTATGAGGTACCAAGGTTCGGCGAATATGTGTCAAGCGAGTGGTTGCGGACGGGCGGGAGCGGCCCGTTTGCATCCAGCCAGAAAAAATGTGGAGAATGGTGGGCTAAATTCCAACTAATGCAACACCAAATGGCTCCTGAAGAGTCCCGATTTGCCTCCCCGAGAAATACTCTTATTCCCCCCCCTAAACCCACAGACGCGTGGCAATAATTGTCGGCTGTGAAAGCCCAGCCCCAATTGGGGCCAGTCAGATACCCACTCGAGAATGACCCACATCATTTCGCTCATTTCTTCTCTGACTTATGTGACTCGTGGATATTCGCCGTACATATCGCGCTATTCCGGCCGAACACAATCCGTGAGCCTGCACGGAGTACTTACATTTCGAGCAATTTACTCCGTAGAATGAAAACATATATGATGTTGTCTACGAATTTCATTTCAACAGGCTAATAAGTTCATGTAAATTGAGATAGGAAGGACGCAGTAAGTATGGCGAATGAGTATTTGGTTGTTGTTGTGTTTTATTAGAGCAGCCGCTCGCACGTATTAGTATTCTGCGGTCTAGATGTAAATCGGAAAAGCTAGCATGGGGCCAAATTCAGATGGATTGCAAGATTGTCCACATTTTAAGCTTTGATGCACTCCAACACCGTATCTAGACCTGCATTGCGCCACACGCGAACTACTTTTAGTCCCGTGTTTTCGATCAACGCACGATACTGAGTCTCAGTTCTTTCTTTTGCGTTAAGGCAGGCCAACATCTGCAGGTCCAACCGACTAACAACTGACTGGCCCCAATTGGCAAGTAACGGCCGTGGCGCAAGTTCTCGCGAGTTCTGCGACGTGTCCCGATATGTTGGAGCCAGCATATGCTCGAGGATCAAAAGTTTGTTACCCAAGCTCATTTTGGCGGTGCAATGGGACAAAATCTGACGTGCTTCTTCATCTGGCCAGTCGTGGATGACATGACGCAAGAAGTAGATGTCTCCTGCCTCGTTCTGAGGAGTGAAAAAATCATGACCGATAAATTTGATGCGATCCGACTGTTCGAATTCAGGGTATGAACTTTTGAGGTACTGATGTGTAATAGAAATTTCGTCAGTCAAGTTCCAGATTTAACCTTTGACTTTATTTCAAATTAGTATTTTCGGGGAAGCACCCACCTCATGAAACTTTGATTCACTCTCAGGGCGATCTTGAACTCTCACACGAAGATTGGGATTCTCTTTAAGGATAGGAAGAGTTCCGGCTCCGACCCCGCCCCCCACATCAACAATCGTTTTGGTCCCCTCCAAATGCCATGGGTAAACTATTAAAAATGTTAGTACCCGGAAAGCCCAAAATTTCGCCACTGGATATAATTACGGGCCAAATATTGCTCCAAGTTGAGCCCTTTACCGGCCATGGCGGTATTAGCCCTTTGACCGATATCGGGTCTGACATTTTTCACCCATTCAAAAACAGTCAAATCAGTGCCGTAAGCGAGGTTAAAGGGCGCTTTATTAGCTTCGGTGGCGTCTTTGTAGTCAGGATGTATAAGCGCCTCCCAAGCCTTGGAAGATGAGGTTCTGCATTCATCGGCACTATAACCACATCTGTTATTATTTGAATTTCCGAATCTGGGAAGACACAGCTCGTATCTTACCAGTGTCCAACTAATGCCCGTTTCCCCTCCGATTGGAAGGTAACGGAAAGTAAATTGTTGGCAAATCTGTTGTCTGCGGTCTCTCGGAAAATTTGTTTGTTACATAGGTTCCTCAAGTAGCGTGCTAGCTTTTCTTCATTGAGGCCAGTTTTCTGGGCTAGGGTCTGGATGGAATGCTCTTCTCTGCCAAGATGGTTCGCAATATCTGCTTGGCAGGCAACAAATAGCGCTGTTTCGTCGTGATACTGTAGCAGCGGCGTAAGTAAAGTATTAATATAATTGTTGGGATAGAAGCAATTACACCATAAATTGTATCGTTGAGATACGTGTTTGGATCACAGAGAGCTCGCAGCATGTTCGTCGCGGATGATATGGTTTTCAAAGCATCCTCAAGGTCTGCCTCAAGGCGACTATGGATGGGGTGAGATTCGCATGAATCGAGGGTTAACGCTGGATCATCGTGGTCAAGAATTGACTTTTCGACGGCGTCTAGAGATTTATTTATCAAATCTCTCAAGCTCTCCAGTGTTTGGACAGATGTTGAAGAGGGCGCCATTGCAAAGACCAAAACTCAGTTACAAACTGGAAGCTACTGAGAAAATTATGATAACAATGCTATTTTTCAAGGACAGAAAAGCCTGGTCTTATATTCTATGCATACGTGAATTTGAAAACAACAAAGCAAATCGGATATACTAGTATTTACGCAAAATTTCCGTAATAGTAGTACTAGTAGTTGCGACCCCTCGATCGGTGAGTATATAGCAAAACTTTTCAGGTGTCGATATAGCGATTCGATTTTGATTCCATTCCAATAGTACACGGACCTAGGATGTAGGATTCTAACCAGTTTAAAATCAACTGTCTTGGTTAAAATAGCAGCAACAGAGGGGAATTCCCTAATGCGATGCCTATGGTTACAGAGCGAATGGAGATATCATACCCAAGGAGGGCTGATTTCATAATCGGCCTCTATGGTCAATATTATTACTTTTCGCCCCCAATAAGTGCAAAATTTCTTCCATCCAGTAGCCACCGAAGTTTTTCATTTGAAACACGCCCAATATCTCGTTCGTGACATCGGGGGCCTGGGAATGCCAGAGGACGGATCTAGAGTGTTCGTGTTCCCTCGGCCGCTTCGGCCGCTTTCGCAGCCGCCCTCTCAGCCGCCCTCTCAGCACTAAGGCCGTCGTATACGAGACTAAATTTGTCTTAGGTTAGACTGTATGCACTGCAAAAACTAGTGACGGGACTTATTTATTCCAACCGGAACCAGTTATCAGCAAGCCAAGAATTACGTTAAAAGTGGCAGAAAGCCGAATCGTGCCTTTAGCCTGATGACGGCTAGCGCGACGCAGGAGTCGGTCGTACTTCTCCGGTATTCTACCGTCACCCATATCTTGTTACTGCATGTACGCCCTAAGCTTAGTGCCAGGTCCCGCAAGGCGTTTAGGTGGCTACCTAGCTGGAGGGGTAGATCATGCCAAGCCCCATCCACCACTTCGCATAGAAACGGCAAAATTGCAAGTGGATTGGTGGATACTTGCGGATCAACCGAGTGGCGCTAAACAAACATCACCATCATTTATCACGACAACTGGTGATATTTTGGCTAAATATCTAACCACTCACTATGACTAGTTGGAAACGTGTAAGAGGTTTCTCCGCTTTGCATAACCCAATCCGGTTCAAATCATAGCTTTACGCCTGCAAAAGCGCCAATTTGCCTGATATATGTGGTAAGGTAGGGCATATACGAAGTAAATTCCCAACTGGTAAATAGTTCTTTAATATTAAGGCCGATTTGATTTATAGATACGATATAAAATAGAGAGAGAGTGGGTGAGTGGTCAGCTTGATGCTGCGGTCAGCTCGGTGGTGGATTACGTTACCATTATGAATGAGGAAGAGATCAACTGTATCACTTTGCCTCTTAGGACCTGAAGTGCTGGTAAACGAGTTCTGACTCACTCCTAAGTCACAGTACCCGACTAAAATCGTTGAAAGATTGGTGCAGAGGAAGATAGTTGCGACCTTAGGCACCAGGCGTCCCTTCAGCTTCGATAACTGCAAATCGTCGGTTTCATCTAATTAATTCGAGTGCTCTGTAGCTCGATTTTCTTTCTGCAAGTTGCACTCTATGGCCGTGTGCCGTCAGAAATTTGTAAGAACATTTCCTGACCTATTCATTCGCTAGATCGTGGTTAGTCTCGTACTTAGGGAGCCCCTCCATGTTTCCGTGACTAGTGCGTGTTTAGCCACCGGGCTTGGAGCTTGGGGGCCAGGGGGCCAAGATGCAACCCTGGGACAGCCCTAGGCCAACCTTCGGCCATTGGCGTTTCCATCGATTATTCACGACAATTTAACACCCGTAATTTCGATGCATGTAAGATTCCTCAGCCCTTTCATAGGTCCAGATTTCAGCAGGAAGCTGGGCGCAGCCACACAAGAGCTCCAGTACAATGGCGACCTCACGCTAAGCTAAATATGGCATAGAGAACTATTGTACTTTGACGAAAATATTCTAATTGAAATAATAAGCAGACCAGATATCTTCCTATGAAGAATGATGTGACTGCCTTCTCCACCATTCGACTTTGTTTTTCTTCCTCGGGCCTTCAACATGACAACAGATTCAAACACTTTCAAGTCAAATCACCCCGGACCGGATGAAGATGGAGCAAAGAAACTTCGAAGAGCTTGCAATGTTTGCCATCGAATGAAACTACGCTGCTCGGGGACAAGTCCCTGCACTCGCTGCAAAAAGGCGGGGTCCGAATGTGTGTACTCATTTGCGGCCAAGATCGGCAAGCCTAAAGGCAGTCGAAATAAGAAGACATTGGAAAAGTTACAACAGAGGAACGAAACTATCGGAGAGAGTAGATTTCATCATCCGATTATAACTACTCCGGTCACCGATCGCTCTGTTTCTCTCGATTGCGATTTTGATGACGAGGAGGTGTCTGAAGACCAAGATAACATTTTGAACCTTGACACTTGGATGTCAGATCACACTTTGGTTTCCTTATCAGATGTGGAATTCCCTATTGATATCGATTGTTTGAAAGAAACCACGATGTGGGATGTTAGTAAAACCCCCGCAACAATGAGTGACTATGGTTTCTAATGGTCTAATAGGCACAAGGGTCGTCCGATACAACAACCGACGGGCTTGACCAACATTTCTTCGGTACGATAATAAGCACACCCATAAAGAATAGTTTTACTGACTTAAAATCCAAGCTTCTCCGCCCAGTTTATCTGGGGTGGTGCAGTCCATTGGTCTCTTTCCGGGTGACATGCAGCCACTAGAAAATACCGGCCTTCAATCCCAGTTTCAGATGACAGAAAGTTCATCAACGACACAGCTGGATGGTCCAAGTCAACGGAATGGCCATAATAGCTGTTTATGTCTTCAGCATCAGTTCGAATCCCTTTGCAAACTCAAAGCTCTGGAGCAAAGCTGTGGACCAGTTCAGGCGGACACGGATTTTGCAACAACTTTAAACGCACTTACTGCTACTCAAACGGTTCTTAATTGCGACCATTGCCAAGAAGACTCTGAGACAAACATGTTAGTTACAATGGTGGTAGATTTGGCGTTTCGTCGCCTTCAGAACTTGACTGCCGCTACGCCAGACGGCTTGGTGGAGCTCCGACTCACCCTCGGAGGCATAGAGATGGTCGAGACTGAACCATTGTCATCGATGCGCAAAACCATTGTCACATTAGCTCGCGACCAAGTTGAGCAAGTTTTTATTGCGATGCGCACGCGTGTCAGTCAATTAAATGCACGGGCAAAGGAAACGACTCAAAATGATGTTGACAAAATGCATGCTATGAAGTTGCAACTGACTTTGATGCGCCTCGAGATGATGTTCACAGCTCTTCAGACGATTTTAAAATAGACTGGTCCTACATAAAGATATCGAATTTGGCTCGAAAGCCCTTTCACATAATATAGATAGCTACTACATGGGTGGAGCAATATAACCCTCATTTTACAATTGGTGCCAGGAATAATCAAGCACTGGCGTTGTATCTCAAACATTCAAGTTCCGACTTCAAGTTTTCCCCTCACTATTAGGTACCCAGGTGGTTGGGTCCAAGATACATAGTAATTTCGTCGACTTTTAGAAATACACAGGTTTGATTGTGACTCGGATCCACCCTTGGAAGCATTTTTAAGTTGGAATACGAGGAGTAATATACCTAGTGCTATTTGTCAGGTGAAATTAATACAAGGGCTACCTGGCAACAAGAAGTCACCTAAACAGCAAAGCCGTGCTGGAGTGCTCTGTAATAATCAAAAAGAAGTAGCAGGGGCTGAAAAGACGTTGGGAGATGTGTACGAGTGTGCCTCAAGAGGCAAAACTACAATATCTAAGTTTAAGACAATCAAATGCAATGGGGCCACCTGAAATTCTTTCTCCGCCGACGAGCATTTGTCTCATTTTGCTTTCTTTTTCGTAAAGTAGCATTGTCATTTCAACCAAGCTGACTAGCTGGACCTTAGGCCGCCAGTGCTTACCTAGTCAATACACATGCACCGCCAGTTGCATGTAAGTAGCCTGGATAGGCTCATTATCTCATACTAATATCGGGATCTTTGTCATCTATGGTTCATACATCTATATTTCTGACCTCATGATTGGGAAACTTGGAAATCTAGTATTTAAAGCAGGTTTCCTGTGAGATTGTGCAGATACGTAGATTTTCAATCCAGACACCCGAGCAGCGTACTATTACCTAAGGTAAAACACTTGTTACATTAACATAAAGATAATATGTTACCTTGGTAGTATGGACATAGAAAGGTATTGACCACGGAGACTTTTAATCCTGCTCCCTAATCTTGAACTGTAGATATGGCCCTTCCTTCTGACTGGTAATATGGTCATGCAGCTGGTATTCATGAGCCCTATGACGGTGCATTCCTTCCCTAGGGCCTCCTTCTCCAATTCGACCTAGGGCCCCATCTGCAAGCCGGAAATCATAGGTATAGAACAGAAATGCCAACATGAGTTGAATTTCCACTGTTGCCAGTCCTTTTCCAAGGCAGCTGCGGGTGCCAAGCGAGAATGGGTTCATCACTGCAAGACCGCGATCGAGGCTCTCCTTCGCGTCTGTTTGCGCATTTGCCTCGAGCCACCGGTTTGGATCAAAGTAAAATGGGTTTTCAAAATATGTCGAGCTATGGTGAATGGAATAGATTCCGACACCAACGTCGTAGCCAGTGGGAATTGTCTGCCCGTCAATTGTAATGGGATTATTCACTACCTCGCGAAAGAGGCAACTTCCAACGGCCGGAGACATGCGAAAGGCTTCATTCACACATGCCTGAAGGAACTGGCAAGATGCCAATGCGGGACCGGAGCGAATTTCGTCGACTGAACTGAACTTGCCGCGAACCTCTGCAGTAACTTTTTCATATACGTCTTGATGATGGGAAAGATAAAATAGCACTGCTGAGATGCTGGTAGATGTCGTGTCCGATCCTGCTACAATGAGCGTTGTGCTCTCGGCAGCAATTTCATCCAATGTGAATCCAGCACCGGTGACCGGATCTTTCGCATCGCGCAGGCGATGAAACACATCTGGTACATCTGCCGCATCATTGACGGAAGTGGGTGACAAACGCATCTGGACAAGTTTCGTAACAAAACGCACGAATCGATTGCGACCAAAAATGGCCTTTCGGAATAAATACTTTTCGATCTTCATAGATCCCCATCGTCCTGCCTGCACCAGCGTTCCCATGCGTACGTTAGAGGCATCGATGGCGTCGCAAACGTACCGGAAACGCTGCTCGCCCAGAAGGTTGTACTTCGCTCCGAACACCACGTCTGCCATAATATCGAATGAGAGATAATTGCACCACTGTGCCATGTTCTTCGGCTCACTCCAAGCATCTGAAGTTGTCGAATCCTCGATCATGACCTGAAGAAATTTATCGATATGCTTGATGATTCGCGGCTCATATTCACGCAGCGCCTTATCAGATAGGCCCTGAGCCATTATCCGACGGCGTTTGGCATGCTCCTTTCCCCCGCGAATGGTAAAGGTGTTTGGAGCGCGATGAACCATCGGCTCATATACCTTTGATTTGACAATGCCACCCGGACGCCGATAGATCAGATGAAGAGCTTCGACTGTGTTGAAAATGACAGAATTTGGTTTGTAGCGAATAGTGTCGCCTATTTTCTCAATTGTATGGTAAGAAGGAAATCTCGGAGCAAGAAGTGAAGTATTTAATTGAATCCTTGACTTACCATAGCGTTGGTGACAAGCCCATATGTCTAAATGAATGTCTCCCTTCCAACCATGGTAGGCCGCATACAGGGTGGTAAATTTCGCCAGAAAGGGACCAGGGTATTTGGCCAGCGGATGAAAGTACAGCGTATAAATCACCTTTTTGGTCAATTATGTTTTTCTAACATGTAGGATTTCAAGATGATGCTTACCCAGCATAAGAATGGGATTCCTAAAACCCCACTGACGAGCGGCAACAGGTAGCTCGGATAATACATGTTGACAACACTGCTTCGTAGAAACTGATACTTTTTCCCCAGGAGGCTCTTCTTATTGTACATAGTTAGAAGGACGATATCCAGCTTGCCGGTCTTTCGGCCCGTTACTATCGTTTCGGCTTTTTGGCTTTGCTCGTAAGCAAAGGAGATAGTCGCCGACCTATTAGGTTACGCTCCACATTCTTGCGTCAATATCATATACCAATCCGACTTAATGTTTAAATCTCGACATGTTGGTGACTAAAAGCCTTTGCATGAATTACTTGTCATAATTTCAAGATGCAAACATATACGCGTGCCGAGGAGGAGCTTACCGCGATTCTGGTTACGGAGCTACTAGCGTGAGTGCCCACATGGATACAATCACAACCCCAACTTACTTCCAACTTTTGCTGAATAAAATTTCATTTAGCTATCAATTCTGCTCCCCAGTACAATGGTATATATCACAAAGATTCCAAGGTTCGCCTCTGTCTAACGTTAGCAGGATTTCAACACAAAAGTCCATCTTAAGCGGCGCTCAGCCTGCCGAGCGCGTCATTGAAATTGGCCCTGGGGAGACTCTGATCAATATGGCCAAAAAGACATTGGACATTTCATGTAGTGTTCAAGATCTTGTTGCTGGTCGTACCCGGCAGCTTCTCAGCTATGCAAAGAACGCCGAGGATATTCAGTACTCAGCACAGTCTCCACCTGACGCCGAGACCCCAACACAAAGTCACGATTCTTCATCCACAGAATCAACACAGTTACTTGTCGCGGCCCCGACCGCATCTTTGGCTCCAACATCCACCACAGGTCCTCTTAAAATCGAAGACGTACCATTAAATGCAGCCGATGCCCTGCGAACAATTGTCTGCACTGGTCTAAAAAAGCAGCCGGATCAGATTTCATTTGAAGAAACGATTAAACGTTTATGCGGAGGTAAGAACCTCAACTAGATTGAAATGTCCCTTGCTAAGAGAATAATTCAGGTCGTTCCCCTTTAGAGAATGAGATAGTCGGCGACTTAACAGTGGAATTCGGGAATCTTCCAGACCAGCCGGAGGATCTCACTTTGTCTCAGCTAGCAGTCACACTCAACGAGAGCCAACATGAACGAGCATTGGGTGCATGGAGCAACGCGAGAATCGGAAGATTCGCTACTTCCAAACTTTCCTCAGGCTCAAGCCTCTCATCAATACGACGTTACCTATCTAGCCGCTGGGGACTTGGCCAAGGGTTGCAAGATAAAGTCTTACTTGCGTCTCTACTAAATCAACCTTCTGCCCGTCATTCAGACGAGGCTGCAACACAAGGATTTCTTGACGACATGACACGAAAGACTTTAGCCGCCCACAATATCAATTATGAAGCAAGCTCCGCAGGGGCCATGCACCAACCTCCTGCTACCGCCAATATTTCGCCTGAAGTTCTTCTCGCCCTTCAAAAAGACAGTGTTGCACATGACGAACGTTTATTGAGTGTGTACGCACGCCGCTGTAACCGTGATCCTGGTGATTCTTCTAAGTCATTAAACAATATCAAGAAAGAAATGAGCAATATACAAAGCCAATTGGACTTGTGGCTAGAGGAGCACGGGCAGTTTTATGCCGATAATCTAGGTCCGAAGTTCGACCCACTCAAAGTCCGGACGTACGACGCCTCCTGGAATTGGGTGCTTCAGGATTTCATGGCGTGGGAATCATCTTGGAATAACAACCCTGAGAATGAAATAGCGACCGCGACCGGCCTGGATTTTGAATCACTCGGTTTCGAAACAAGAGCTACTTCCCGTTTGTTGCAGACAATTGATTTCATTCGAAATCGATCTGTGCAAGATAAAATCCACATTGAGCGGTTGGAAAGAATTCGCCAATCTGTATATGAGGGAATTGAAAAGCCTCCTACATTTCGCTGTTCATCTGGGTTGATCAAATCTTTTGAAAATATGGATGATGCAAAGAAAGATGCTCAACCAAATTTCAAACTACCGCTGGAGGGTGACGATGGTTACTTCAATCAGTCCATCTTCGGGCAAAATCATACTCCATCAACTTCGGAAACCAGTACCCCGGAAGAACAAAGCGATGGGATGATCAACACTCCGCTGAGCACTATTTCCTCAAGGAACGATGACTTGGCTGACCAGGCCATGACATTCGGGCCACGGGGTCATGCCCTCGAACCAACGATAAAAACAAAAGGACAAAGCGGGTGGTCATGCAATGCAAGCATTACTGCTGATTTTCACTCTTGGGTGAAAGAGTCTTCTACCGATGGAACCTCTTTCGAAGGGCAGACAGTTCTGGTAACTGGTGCTGGAAAGGGCTCGATTGGACAAGAGTTAATCCGTTTCCTACTCACTGCCGGTGCGCGAGTGTTGGTTACCACGAGCTCATACTCCACCGAAGTGACAAACTCTTGGCAAGCACTTTACGCCAAATACGGAGGTCGTGGGTCTCAGCTATCAGTTCTTCCCTTCAACGGCGGAAGTAAAAAGGATGTCGCGTCAGTGGTGGATTACATTTTCAACAACTTAGGCTGGGACCTTGATATTGTAGTACCGTTCGCTGCTATCAAGGAAACGGGCCGGGGGATTGACAACATTGACTCACGATCCGAGATGGCCCATCGGGCAATGTTGACCAACACGATCAGGCTCTTGGGTGCGATCAAAACTCAGAAAGAGAATCGGCGGATCTTTTCAAACCCGACGCAAGTAATTCTACCGCTATCGCCAAACCATGGAATATTTGGGAATGACGGCCTGTATGCTGAGAGCAAACTGGGACTGGAGTCTCTGCTCAACAAGCATCAGTCCGAGGATTGGCAAATGTACCTCAGTATCTGCGGAGTAGTCATTGGCTGGACCCGTGGAACTGGCCTCATGGCTTCCAATGACACCTTCGCCAAAGAGATTGACCGACGTGGAGACATGAGAACATTCTCGACCTCTGAGATGGCGAGCTACATAGCCTGTCTTATGACAGGTCCAGTCCATGCCCTCTGCCAGATGGAGCCACTACTCGCGGATATCTCAGGTAATATGTCCTCGCATCCGGACCTGAAAGGGCTTTTGAATCAAATCCGGGCCGAGCAAGGCGAATCGAAAAAGATGGCGGATATTCGAGCATTAGATGAAGGGCTGGAGTCTCCCGAACAGAAGACCATCACGTCAACTTTGCGACCGCGACCTATGATGGTCATTGATAGCTATAAGTTTCCAGATGATGAGGCAGAGGTTGCTCCCATACGGAAAGAGCTTGAAGGCATTGTCGATCTGGATCATGTCGCCGTTATTGTTGGCTTTGGGGAAGTTGGTAAGTGGAAACCTTCATGAATCCTACCCACACTTTTCAATTTCCAAATGATGGGAGACTTGACTGATTGTAATATAGGTCCGTTTGGAAGTAGCCGAACGAGATGGGAAATTGAGGCGACCGGGAAACTGTCTATCCAAGGATGCGTGGAGATGGCCTGGCAAATGGGTCTTATTCACTACCACAACGGAGTATTGAAAGGTGTTCAGTACTGTGGATGGGTCGACAAACAGTCCGGAAACCCTATTTCCGACTGCGATGTGAAGGTCAAATACGAGGAGCATATTGTCAACCACACCGGGCTGCGCTTCTGGGAGCCACAAGACGATGAATCGACAGGCGCCTCCCAGCAATCTCTTCTTCACGAAGTGCATGTAACCGAAGACCTCGCCCCTTTCGAAGTCACATTCGAGACGGCAGAGGATCTTCAACGGCAGCATGGCAACAAGGTAGATATATTCGACAGAAATGGCGAGACATTTGCTCGACTCAAAGCAGGCGCGACACTCTTGATTCCCAAAGGAGCCAAACTGGATGTTGGAGTTGGCGGTCAAATTCCAAAAGGCTGGAATGCCAGTGTCTATGGTATCTCAGACGAAATCATCAGTCAGGTTGATCCAGTCACACTCTGGACAATCGTTTCGACCGTTGAAGCGCTGCTGTCGGCCGGTATAACAGATTTCTATGAGCTGTACCAACACATCCACGTTTCCGACGTCGGGATCTGCGTAGGAGCTGGCATGGGAGCAGCGGAGTCCATTCAGAAAATGTGGAAGGGGCGCTACATGGACCAACCCGTTCAAAAAGACATATTGGCTGAGACTTTCATCAACACAACGGGCGCATGGGTGAATATGCTGTTATTGGGTGCGTCTGGTCCGATACGAACGCCCGTTGGTGCATGCGCGACGGCCCTGGAGTCGGTTGACACGGGATATGATCTTATCACAACAGGAAAAGCGAAGTTGTGTCTCGTTGGAGGGTTTGATGCGCTACAGATTGAGACGGCGGCGGAGTTTCGGAATATGCAAGCAACGGTCAATGCAACTCAAGAAACGGCCGCTGGGCGTGAGCCTCGAGAAATGTCACGACCTATGACTTCTTCGCGTGCGGGCTTCGTGGAAGCAGAAGGCAGTGGTGTGCAAGTTATGACAACAGCGCGATTGGCTTTGGATATGGGTCTCCCTATCCATGGTATCGTTGCTTTATCGCATACGGCCAGCGATAAAATTGGACGCTCTGTCCCTGCTCCAGGCGAGGGGCTTCTGACGGTGGTCGCTGAAGCACCTTCTAAATTTCCGTCCCCAATGCTCAAAACTGCGTATCGTCGGCGGAATATTGTGTTGAGGAATTCTCAAATCGAGGACAAAAGAGCAGAAGATATGGCCTGGCTGGATGAGAACGCCAATAGCTACGACACAGACAGCGTGAATTCTATGAGATCCGAGATCGAAATGGAAGCTGAGCGGTCCCGAAAAGAGGTTCTTCGTACGTATGGAAATCGCTTCTGGGAGAACGACGATCGAGTATCGCCACTTCGGGGAGCATTAGCCGTCTGGGGCTTAACAGTAGATGATCTCGACTTTGCGTCTCTGCATGGGACCTCTACTATCAAGAATGATTTGAACGAGACGAATGTCATCCAGCAACAAAACGCGCAATTGGGCCGAGCACAAGGGAATCTTCTACCTTGTGTCTGTCAGAAATGGCTGACTGGGCATGGAAAAGGGGCTGCAGGTAAATTTCGATTTTAAATTCATGCAAGGAGAAATCACTGACGACATATAGCTGCGTTTGCCCTCAACGGCTGTCTGCAGGTGCTGTCCAGCGGGCAAATTCCTGGCAATCGCAATGCGGATAACATCGACCAGCGACTTGACGCGTCCAACTATTTGGTGTTTCCAAATCGTACTATTGTTGCTCCCAAACCCTTGAAAGCATTCACGGTGACATCATTTGGATTCGGGCAGAAGAATGCTCAAGTCATAGGCGTGCATCCTCGATATTTGTTTGCCGCCATTTCTACGAGTGAATATAGAGAGTATCAGGAGAAGGTAACTGGGCGTCGTCGACGCGCATTTCGATATTTCCAGGATGGCTTGTATGGTGGCATGCTAGTCCAGCTTAAGGATAACTCACCATATGCGAATTCCGACACCGCTACATTCTTGATGAACAGCAAGGGCCGGCTTTCCGGGGAGGAACACCAGTAACATTAACTATCAAATTAGAGTCTCTACCTTATTCCAGCTCTGCAATTAGCCTCACTTGTGTTATATCATTATTCTGGTCTTAGTGTCGATTTTACTATGGTTTTTAGATCTAGTATGCTTGTGTATTCAAAACCTTAGTTCGTAGTTAAAGTATCTACAACTTGAGGTTGATGCACACCTGCGAGCCGTTCCAAACAATGTGTCTTCCAATTTGGATTACAGCATATCCATGAACTACTACTAGTAGTACCAGTCAGGCTTGGTGTACGAAGTAAAACAAAATCGAAAAAGCTTCCTGCTATTCGGTCTAAAAGCTCGGGTTCGGCGAATTAGTCAATGTCGGCCTAAGAATCGGCCCCGATCCTAGTAAATTAGTTGAAACTAGTGGACCCACGCGGCGGCTTTCAGCGCTTCGGCCGCTTCGGCCGTCTCGGCCGCGCATCACCCAAGCATCCAATTCTATAAAATTGCATTTGAAGGCGTCAAATTTAACGTTTAGTTCATTCAGCCCCGTGCAATTTTCAGTCGACCTCAATCATCCCGGGCCCTGACAGAAAAAAAAACAAGTTGCAGATATGGAAACCGACTCTGAGCGCAGTGCAGGGTCAAAGGAAATGTCAACGACCAAGGATGGACCCGAAGAGCAAGCAAAAGTACCAGAAGAAGGTCTCAAGGCATGGCTTTGTGTACTTGGAGGATTCTTCTGCCAGTTTTGTTCATTTGGATTTCTTAATGCGTTGGTCATTCCTGCAAAAAAAAGTGATCGGAAACTATCTGACTTTGTCCCAGATGCGGTATTTTTCAATTATACTATGAGGAAGAGACGCTTTCCCACTACGCCCAGTCAACGATCTCGTGGATCATCACGATCCAGATTTTTCTCATGTTCTCTCTTGGCTTAATTAATGGGGTCCTGGTGGACGTCGTCGGACCGCGCAAAGTGCTTCTCCCTGCGTCTTTCCTAGCTCTGCTGGGAATATTCATGCTGAGCTTGAGCACGAAGTTCTGGCACATAATGCTGACACAGGGAATTGTATACGGACTTGGAGCATCTGGACTGTTTTTGCCGCCCATGATTTGTGTTGGTCGATGGTTCACGAAGCGTCGAGGATTAGCTACTGGTATCGTGGCTAGTGGAAGTAGCGTTGGTTAGTGGCTCAACCCAAAATGGAACCTCGTCCGCGAATATATGCTAATGGTTATGAATACCAACAGGGGGTGTGATATTCCCAATTATGGTGTCCCGCCTTATTGAACGGGTTGGATTTCCAACTGCTCTTCGCTACATCGGTCTTTTGATGGCAATTTGCCTTGTGATTGCGAATCTTTGCGTTTCCTCACCATTTCCTCCAGAAGGCCGCGCGAAGCGCAAATCCGCTGGTATCGAGGCATTCAAAGATACCCCATTCCTCATATTCTGTGCCGGATGCTTCTTTATGCTGTGAGTCTTACGTCCCTAGTACTTCCTTTGGTCAGTTTTCAACTTTTATTTTATCTTTGCTCACAAAATTGCTTTCGAACTAGCTGGGGTCTATTTGCTCCGTTCAACTATCTGCCGACAATGGGCGTTTCTATCGGGATGTCACAAAATATGGCAGTATACACCATCTCCATTATCAAGTAAGAAACCCTGGAATGCATATACAACCAGTATCAAACCTGAAACAACTTGAACGTTTTTGACATATTTTATCTGCAGTGCTGCCTCGGTCTTTGGCAGAATTCTCCCCGGCTTCGTCGCCGACCGTATCGGTCATCTCAATGTCATGGTTTTCATTGCATTCTTGTCGGGACTTTCGATTCTCGTTTATTGGCTACCTGTCGTGTTTTACCCGTCCACTGGTGCTATAATCGGATTCGCCGTTCTGTATGGTCTAGCAAGTGGTGGGTTTGTCAGTCTGATGACCCCTTGCGTTGTGGTATTATGCGATGGTAAAGTCGAGCAGTTGGGCCCAAAGCTGGGCGCTTTTATGTTCATCATTGCTATTGCGTATGTGATATTCCTAATCCGGCCCTCCCTTTGAGTCATAGGAAAGCAATATAGTACTAACGGCTATTTTAGTGCTCTAACGGGATTGCCCATGCTCGGCGCAATCGCGGACTCTGCGTCGATTGGATATAAAGGCCTGGTTGCATTTGCTGGTGCTGTAATGACTTTTGGAGGGGTCCTTGTCACTTTAACGCGAATTAAGAAAGGTGGCCTCCGGATGGTGAAGGTGTAAAATAGCGAAAGGTATGAAGCCCTGGGGACTATGCGCGCGCATGGATCGATCATTTTGGCCCTATAGACGGCCCTTTGAGTAACTGAACTGAACTGTACCATATGCTGCGAAGCCCAAAATTAATATCCCATTAAAGACACAACTTGGAATTAGGTACACACTACTTCAATCCCTCAAAGTCAGGTCGCCGTTTATAAATGCCCTGCCCATCTATGCTATATGTACCCCTTAAATGCATCACATATACAACTCGAACTCTCATAAGCCCGAGGACAAAGCAGAACTTGAATTCGAAGCCATGGCCATCACACTCCCCACCTGAACACCCTCATCCATCACTCCATCACTCCATCACTATGACCCGGCCACTCAACAAACTCCATCCTCTCAACAACATCCCCCTCAGGCCCGAAAGGCTTCATAAGCAAAAGTAAATCAACCCCCTCCCCATCCTTAACATTAGCCGAGCACTGCAAAGGCTCAACAACCCTCCATTCATTCTTAACAAATCTTTCCGCGATCGGTAAATGCCAAACAGGGCCCTCCTCAATCTCCATAATCCTCCTCGCACTCGCCGCATGTCGCCGATTCTCCCATCCACCCTGACAACTCGGGAAGGCCAGTATAGCTTGTATAGCTCGTCGTCGCAGTAGTGGGTCGCGGCATTTGTAAGCGGTCCAGTAGAGGGATGGGGTTACGGGTGCTTCCATTGTGAATCTTCTGCGAAATGGGAGACTACTAGTAATAGAAGGAGGTGTAGAGGCTGAGCTGGAGCTTGAGAAGAATGAAGGGCTAGGGCTACCGACGGGTGTATTGTCGATAGTTGCACTCAGCGCAATGATTTGCTCCGCACACTCGACTATTTTCAAATAATCGGGCATATGTCGATCGTAATCCGTTTCATAGAGCGCGTCGCAATTGCAGAGCCAGAAGTATGAGACGTGGTATTCGATTAGGAGGGTGAGAGGAGCGCGGGGGTCGAGGATATTTGTTGTCTTAGGCGGTTTGGTCATCATCTTTTCGAAGGCATAGTGCCATCTGTGGAAGTCTTTTATTAGGCGGTATTTTCGTGTGCTGTGTTCCGGTGATGCTAGGACTGGTGGTACTGTAAATATGAATCCGATTTCGTGGAGGAGAGTCAGAGCGCGTAGTTTGATGCTTGTTATGCAGTCGCGGGCTTGGGAGATGTTTTCGAAGACTAGTTGTGTCGTAATATCATTATTATTATCGTCGTTGCTGTTGACCCCATCGTTGTAGTTGTCGTTACTGAAGAAGTTTCGGGCAGTTGGGTCCTCTGGGGGAATCTCGAGGATCTGCTGTAGACGGCCCGATAGACTGATCTGCAGATTCATCCTATAGAAAAACTGAGAGAGTTCTCGTTCAAAATCAGCTCCAGCGGTCACTGTCTTTGGGTTTTGAGAAGAAGAGGCGTTTGCGTTCCGGAGTTTCGAATAGAGGATCTTGAGTCCACCCTCGACATGATCCATCGCCCCATTTTGATTCGAGCGTAGCATTTCCAAAAACGAAAATAATGCACAAGTCATGAGCATGATGTCGAAATCTGAGCCCCGTGGACTCTGAATTTGCTCTTGGAAGTGCTGGATAGCCTGATTATATTGCCGCAAAGCAAATCCTTCAGTAACATTTTCCTCCCCGGGAGCGCGAAGCGTATATTGCTCATAAGCAGCACCGACCGCAGCAGCCGCATGGCGCATAGTAGAACTATGATGGCTCATCTGAGGCAGGAATCGGTTCCAGAAATCCGAAGGGAAAAATCCCGACAGTGCACTGGTGGCTTCTGCGCAGAAGAAGTGGACATACTGGCGCTCTTGACGAGTACCGGGGATCAAGACGAGACGGCTGTCCGAGCTAATGACGGATACCCTGGAAGTAGGTACGACTGGCGCGTAGGATGATTTGCTGATGTTGGCACGTAGTTCCTTTTGCGATGCGTTGGAGTATCCGTCGCATTTGCGGCCGGTGCTGGTGCATTGCTTGCATTCGGGCTTTTCTTCTCCGCATTTCACGTGGCGGATTCTGGGAAGGGTTAGTGAGATTACGAAAAGAATACTAGTATGGAGCTGCATCCTAGTCCTAACTTACTTGCAGGTAATACACCCTTTTTTCGACTTTGGCCTACCCGCTCGTCGATATTGCTGCATAGTGGGGTCGACGGAGCGGTCAGCATGACCAAAGTGCGAAGATCCCACGGCGATACTAGTAGCTAGCCTGGCTGCGCTCAGTTACTGCGCTAGACAAATGCAATATAAGAATATATTTGCCTCTCGAGGTCGTCAGCTCTAGATTTAGATTCTCTCGAGGAGGAAGGGGGGGGGGGGATTCTTCAGGATGCGGCTGTGGTGCTTATGCTTGTTTTTGGCCCCCAAGGCTGACTCGACGTCGGCAGAACTTGAACGGCGTGAGATGAATACAACAGTAAATGCGAGGGAGTCTTGGCAGATTGCGACGCGGCAAGGATCAAAGGAGGTCTACATCGTGCCAGTTTGAGATCTAACTAGCGTCCAAGGAACTTCAAGTTGAATTAATTAAAGGGAAGTACTAGTAGATCGAGATATATACTAGTATAGTTATAGGAGCAGTCCGAGGTATAAAAAATCATAACAATTCCAGCCACCGTGGGTATTCGAAATCCAAAAACCAAAGCATCATGAATCAAATAGAAGAAAAGAAATCACCAGTCATAGATTAATAAACCCCGTTCCTCTCCCCGGCCCGCCTCCCCAATCGAAGACGGAGACGAAGCCGGATAACCCAAATCAAAAGAAAAAAAGAAAAAAAAAGAAGAGAGACAATCATATAAATAAACTTGAAGTCCACATATAATCCCATCACGCAAGAGAGCGTTCAATATTCCTCGGCCCCGTCAACAAAGACGGGGGTATAGGCGACACGGCCCGAAAGACCTGCGCCTCATGCGATCCCGGTCGCGGGGGCGGAGGAGGGGGAGGAGGATGTTGATGTTGATGTTGAGGACGAGCGAAGCCCGGATGATGAGGATGATGAGGGTGGGCGAAGGGATGGGGATGGGGCGGTGGTATAGGAGGACCGCCGTGGGATCCAGCCACAGCGAGACGATTAAAGTCACCGCTCAAGTGTGCTGGTGCTTGGTATCGGTATTGGGGGTGAGAGTGAGGAGGATGAGAGGGTGGCGAGGTTGGACCTGCGTAGGGCATTGGCCTTGGAGCCGGTGGACCGGGTAGGGAGACGAGGGAGGCGCCGAGGGTGCGGGCGATGTCGTCGAGGGTGACTTCCATCGGGGAAATGTAGGTTGTGTTTGTTTTGGCGGACCAGGCGAGGACGTGGCCGCAGACTCGGCCGGTTGATCTGTCGAAGACCCATGCGCCGGAGTCGCCGGGGGCTGGTTGATTAAGATGATGTTAGCTGGTGGTTCTTCTTTCTTTACTCAGCCCCGTACGGGTTGTCTTTTTGAATGGGGTGGATGGTTGGGGAGGCCTTCATCCGGCGCGGCGTGGTTATGGTTTACCAGCTTAACGGGGAATGAGACAATAGAGGCAAGGCCATGGCAAAACAGGACAAAAGGGTATCTAATTAAGGATCGTATAGACATAATCATGAATCTGCAGTGGTGCCGCTCTTACCTCCAAAGTTCCCGTTGACGCAAAAGCTCGTTGAGAACGAGTGTCGTCCGTGCAGTTTTACCAGCGTCATTGCTTTAGATATCTGCCCGTTCTGAAGACCGCTTGTCCGGCCGCAGCAATGCACTGGCATACCCCCCAGCTCCTCCATTCGAGTTACTTGACTGAGAAAGATTGGGGGAGGCTGAGGCATGCCGGGTCTGATGGGAAGCGCCGACGAGGTCTCGACAATAATGTTGCGAGGGTCCATCCTGGCCTCATCTACTTTGATCAGAGCCCAGTCAATCTCGTGTTTGATGCCTTTTCGCGTCCAACGCCGCACGCCCGAAGATGCATGCACATATCCTAAGGAGTGGGAAGCGAGATGCTCGTCATCGCGATCTTCAGGCGATGGAAAAAAATCATCGTGGACATCGTCGATGGCGGGTTGCGTCACAAGAAGACGAGGCTCTTCGCCAGGCTCAATACCGGCGGTATCGCCAATTGAAGCAGTATCGTCATCATCATCGAAACCGCCATCAATTGAATCATCATCAGACGAATCGTCATCCGATAACCAGTATTCTTCGTCACCACCTAAAGATAAGGAAGCGTCATCGTCCTCCCCATCCGATATGTCGAATTCAAAAGAGGGATTGTCATCAGAATAGGTGTATGAAAGATCTTGAGGAATGGCAGGGGTGGATGATGTCTGAGGCCAGTTTCCAGCAGAGCGGGAGGGAGCATCCGGCTCATCATCTCCAAGGCCTTCATCGTCACTAGGCGCTTCGAGCATATGGTGAACTGTCAATCCATAGGGCTGCCCATCGACAAGAACAGCACCACCATAGGAGACTGGAGGCATGTGTTCTTCATTTTGAAAAGCACCAATCGAAGCACCGCAGAGAGGCCGTTGTTGGTAGCAAGGGTTCAACTCTCGCTGACGAAAGGGAATCTGGTTTGAACCGTTGGGTCGAGTCTTAGCGGGCTTGCGCTTTTTATTGCGGGGGACTTTTGATCGCTCGATATCGCCACGGACGACAATCAGATCCCAGTCTTCCCGACCGATAGGGAAATGCTTCTTCAAGGCCTGTCGAACTTTCTTGACGCTGGCACAGGTAACACATATAGTAGTGCGGGCAGTTTCGGTAGACTCTCCGGTCATCATGAGAGTCGCACCGCAGGACTCGTTAGATTCCTTTAGGATCTTCTGAAGTAGTCGACTAAGCCGCGGCATCATCTGGAAATTCCACTCTTGCAGATGGTCATCGGGTATCTCAAGATGAGGAAGTCTATGCACCGTACGCTTCTTGGCCGGCTTGTCAGAACTCTTCTCCTCAGCCATCGCGCCCCACTCACCTGCCGGGATAGTGGGCAGCTTTTTGTCGAAGTTAGCAGGCACGAAGGCATTGGCCTGCATAGGAGCAGGGGCTGGCTCAGGGGTTGGAACGAGGGCTAGAGGTAGACAGTCGTTTAATTCTTCTGCTGTGGGCGCTCCGAATATGTCGATCTGGCAGCATGACCACAAAATCTTGCAGATCGTGTATTGGAAGTTCATTGAGAAAGAGAAGGTGCCATCAGGGTCGGACAAATCAAGAACAGGATAATGGTATATCTGGGGGACGCGTAGCCCAAGATCGGTCATTGGTTGCGTCGATAAGTGGAAATTAGGCGCATCCAAACACAATTGGACCACCTGAAGATAAGCATTCCCACACTTCGGACCGAGCTTCTTGACGTATAGTTCCTCGACACGACGCTTGAACCATGAGCGGTCATACTTCAGCTTCCAGAGCTGCTTGACAGGTGCCCACAGGCCAATCTCCAGTAAGACAAGACCAAGAGAGTAGAGATCATAAGCCCATGCGGCATCATCCTCAAGAGATCTCTTGTCATCCGGGTGACGGTACATCGCATTGGATAGCGGCTCCGGGGTGGGGCCATCATTGGAGAAGCGGACCGGAGATGTCAAATAAGGACGTTGCATGTCGGGGGCGAGGCCGCCTTCATCGTTGTTTGCATCGGTCCGACCGGGGAAGAAAATAACATTACTGCTGTTGATGTTGCCATGGACCACATTCTGGCTTCTGAGGTGGAGTGCGGACATTAAGAGGTCGTAGGCCAAACGGAACCGAGTCTCCAGGTTGGGCATGCGCTTGTCGCCGGAGTTATCCGCGGAGGGAAGCATGGCGAGGAGAGGCACGGGCTTCAGCTCTTTCAAAAGATCGCTGGGGTTTCGTAAAAAGGGGAAATAGTCGACGGGCATCTGGTATAGGAAGGCGTAGCGGGCATTAGGTTCATCAAGAGCATAACCAATGAAGCGCAGAAGGCCCAGGTGGGCAATTCGTGCATTCTGCAGCAACTGGTCGAGCGAGTGCTGGAGCTTTTCCAGCCGAGAGTTGTTCGAGTCCATCTGGGAGTTGACCATCACGGGCATGAACTCGACCAACACGGAGACATGCGAGTCTTTTACAGAACCGAGAAGATATGGGGCTGCGGAGGTTTTAAGTCGACCAACGGCCCGTGAGTTCGACGATGCAGCAATTGGTTCATAAGGAGGCGGGCTATTATCGTGGGCCGTGCCGTATAGTTGTAGGTCTGATCGGTCGATGACGAGAGGATTGGGAGGGACAAAGGGATTGTTATAGTCGTTGCGGTGCGGAGTTGAGGGGGAATAGTTTAAATGGTCGTACATGGACTTCGGGCTCTGGACTTTTTCCTTAGATTCGGAGAATGAGCCGTGGGAAGCATCGTATGGAGAAACGGGGTTGGGTCGTGGTCGTCGTGTGCTGGCGCTGGTACTATGCTTGCTCGAGGACATGCTGGAAGCCATGGTCCGCCGCGAGCGGGAGAGGTCATAGAGGGTGTCGATGCAGGCAGTGAGGTCGCTGAGAATAGTCTTTGATCGAGTAATATCATCTTCAGTCCATTGTGCCTTTAGTGGTCGAGTGCTGAGGGGGGGGCTTTGACGGCAGGTCCACCTTGCGTTCCTTTGACTGAAGGATGGGCAGGTCAATATGCTGTACGCGCTCTGCCTCATTCAGGAGATCCTGAATGGAGGACATGACACTCTCGACGACATCACTGAAACCGGCGGCTGTGAGGGACTCATCGATATCATTTGGCTGGGCGGCGCTGGCGTCACTCCAATCCAAGCCCCACGAGAGCAAGCGGTCCCGCTGTTTCTGGAAGCTCTGATGTAAGGCGACCAGCTCGGGGTCGTCTACGGCCTTTGAGGCAGTTGTTATACTTTCGCAGGAGGTTTTTGTATCGGTATAGAGCTTTGTGAGGCGCCGCTGGAGAAAACCGCCCCCGCCTCCTCCGTGGCGCAAGACGGACATGTTGGAGCGATAGCGATTCGATAAGGGATCAAGGCGATTGGAATAGATTGGGGTGGATCGGATCCGAAATCAGGATTCAGAGGGGATGTCAGTGAGGGGATTCAGAGGTCCATTGTTGGGGGTGTAGGAGTGAAGAGGCCATGAAGCAGAGAGAAGCAAAGCGGAAAGCAAAAGGTAGAAAGCGAAAGTGAAAGGCAGAGGCAAAGGCAGAGGCCGAGTAAAGTGGTGCCTGGTCCTTCCCAAAGTGAGAGTCGCAGTCGTGCCTTCTCATTCGGGGAATGCTGTTGCCTAACCAATCAGGAAGGAGCACCGCGGGGGAAAGAGTGGGTCACGTGGACGGGGACGAGTCAGGCAGCCGCGTTTTACTAAATTTAGCTGCATAAGTATAGTGTGGTACTAGTGTAGGGTATATAGTATACAGAATATGATTGATATGGATATGGATATGGATATGATATCTATTGATCGATCTAAATGTACAGATGCCCGGGGACTCTCACCCGGTCCCATATACTAACAAACTACTGATCCATGGCAGTCCTCAGATGCTGCTTTTTCGCTTTTCTTCACTTCATAACTTCATCTCACCCAGTGATCACTCGTCGCGATACTCCCACATCACGCGCCCGTTTCTCACTGAAATTGTGCAGCCGCTCCCCAATCAAGTAGACGTCGTCGCGGATGTTGATCCGCCAGAGCGCCACCCGTCGCCGAACGAGGTGGATAGTCCACGCGGCAAGCACCACCAGCAGAGTCGCAGGGTAGGCATACCGGTAAACATGGGACTGCGCCTCAACTCGTGCGTAGAAAAGGGTCCATCGCAGGATCCCTCCTAGCGTCAACGGGACGATAACCGCCGCCACAGTAAATACCAATAGTGGGAGGACGAGAGCCCGAGTCGCCAAGCGCACATTAGGTCGCAGCCAACCATCGCGGAAGATCCCGTTCATCACCGCTGCGGCCCAGGATCGAGGGTGCCACACCGTCAGTTTGATTGCCATTTGAACGTAAAGGACTCCCAGCGTCCAGTCCTGGATTACGTGCACGACGTGTGACTGTCCGTCTCCGAGCAAGGTGTGAGCGGGAATCAGAATGTACAACTCGGTAAGGAGGGCAAAGAGGGTCGGGAGCACGACCACCAAGGCGGTGGCGATATATGCAAGACGGGCAGCGTGCAGCGACAGATTGGTGCAGGCCCCCATCAATTGTCCAGGAGACTGGAGATAGGTGCCGGCGTTCTCCCGCAAGAATTGAATGCCCTTGTGGCAGTAGTGAACCGTGTATGCCAGACCGCCAACAACACACAACCCACTCGAGAAAGCGTAGATGTCGTTCACCGGGACGGGGCTCCCAAGGCAAATCGAGATGATCAGACGACCAATGACCAGCGGGATAATGGTGATGCCTACGCCAGTGGTGGCAGCAAACAGCCAAATAAGAAGGATAAAGGCTGCAATGCGAGTCCGGAAGGATGGCGGGATGTAGGTCAGTGTGTATGATTCCCGGAAACGAGGGCGTTCACCATCGTCAGATTCCCACCCGCCCTCAGGTCCCCAATTACCTTCGGACATTTCCCAGAAAACGAGGTTGCCTTTCGGAATGCGAACCTGGTCCGAAGCAGGAGCCGCCACAAACCGACCGTCTCGCAGGAAGTAGGCATCACGGTTCTCCTTCTCCGCAGCAGCCTGTTGCTCCTCGCCGACGACGGGGTGTTCCCAGTCACCCTTGCTTCCGAGTAGTAGACCCCACCAGCTACGCAGGACATGCCGGCCCTCCTCCTCTCGGTGGCGCTCAGTGAAAAGGAAGTTACTGAGACGCAGGAAGTGTGCGCACTTGTGAAACCACCAGTCGTATAGCTCGTGCAACCCATCTGAAGGCTTGACAAACTGGATCGCCAGCGGCATGACGAAATTATAGAAAAGAAGATCAACGGGAAACTCCAGCATGGGGGCACTGGCCGACCAATGGATCGGGAGAATTCCATCGAATGCAAAGTAGAGGCCCCAAACAACCCCTCCGAGGCAGACAATGACCAAGGCGCCGTAGACAAGGGCACTAAACCCAATTTTCCGGAGCTGGGTGGTGATGGTGCGTTCCAGAACATCACGAATGGGGTGGAAGGTTGGGTCATCCGGATCGCGAATAAAATCTAGAGACAGGTTAGGAGCTGTTGGCCAAGAATGTCTTTTAACAGGAGCACACTTACAAAGAACGCCACTCCGAAGAATCTTTCGGCACATGGACACAAAGAGTGCGAAGTGAAACATGTAGCACGTGCCAACGAACCAGTGGACGAATAACGAGGTAAGCGGAGAGGCGATGGTGAATGCGATCCGGGAGGAGATTGTCGCGTTTGAAAAGAGAGGGAGCAGGGCGACATCAAGGAGGGTGCCACAGTATAAAGGAAATATGATCATCTCAATTCCAATGATTAGAATGACCTTCATCACGCCTCCGGCCTGTATCAAGACCTCAGCAACCATGCCCTCAATTCGCTGGCCTCGATTAGTCCCGGCTAGCAGGCCCGTGATCCGAAGATAAAGGAATCCCATCATACTAGCGAGTAGGTAGCCCATGGATATGGCAATGATACGGTCTTTGGTGTCCCATACTGCAAGGTCGTAATCAACAGGTAGCTTCGCAGACGCCGCATTGACTGCGTCAGCACTCAATAACTTCGCGCCAGGGGCGGAGAAAATGATTGACTTGGTGAAGTTGCCGACTTGGCCCTGTAGCTGAATTGCGGCTTGCGTTATTTGCGTGAAGTCGAAGTCAAATGATAAAGCACCTGGAACGCCTAGCGTGACCAAGCGTAGTGGGAAATCGTGCAAGACGAATTTCACCAGGCCATACACAGAGTGAAGCAATGTACTAAGTCGAGCCTGATGTAACTTCAACGCCTGGTGGGAAAGGACAGAGAACATGGGGATATCGGAGTCGTGGAAGACAAGGAATGCTTTCATCACCTTGTTGAGGCGATTGGTACTGGCATCAATCAGGGTCAGAGAGGCGCTAGTGACGGATTTGCCTCGCGGGATCCATTCGCCAAGCGGAACCAGCGCCCCAAGGGGGCTCAACAGCACCTTGAAAATGAAGCTGAAAAAATACATCAGGTAGCCAAGAACCCCAATCAGGGTATCCAAAGCGATGTCCGCGAGAACCGAGATGGCAGTCATAGGAACACCGACGATAAGCTCTAAAGGATTAGCTAGCAATACCAAGGCAATCTTACCCCAAAGATAAGGAAGCCAGATTCCAATGGCCACGGTGAAGGCGATGAGAAGTGCGCAAAAGACCCCGTTTTGCAAAAGTCCGAATATAGGTCCTTGCATACCAATGAGATCCATGATTCCCTCAAAGTCATCGCCTTCAATGGCATCCATGTCATTGGGATCAAGGCCAGCATCATCCGCCGGGGCGCCTCCGCCTAGAGGTCCATCATCCACTTGATCCTGGACTCTGTTGTTGATAACAGGTACGAATGGATCTTCCAAGGCAGGGTCCTGAACGATTTGCTCATCATCTTCTGGCACCGCCTCGGCAATGTCAGTGTCATCAAGCGTAACATCACCCCAGAACCAGTTTACGAGCCTCTCGGAAACTCCAGTTGGTGGTTGATGGTTTTCCAGTTGGCCAATGGTCGGCGCGGTTTGGTCATTTGCAGGGGTTTCACTTGTTGTGTTCTGATCGGTGGGGGGATTTTCAGGTTGGGCTGGCAATTCGGCGATGGGGCCAGTTGGCGCAGGGAGATGATTGTGTGCTCGCATAGCATCTTCCGCATTGGGAGCATTTGGATGATCTTGATCGCGTACTTCATTCCTGGCAAATTCTCGAAAGATCTCCGGGATGCCGCGTGGTCGGTCTGCATGTTCTTGCTCTTGAAAGGCTCGCGGCAATTCATCTCGCTCGCCATCCCAGTTTGCTAGGACATTATCGTATAACGGAATCCTCTGGCGCCGCTGATCGTGAGCTTGAGCGTTGTCGGCAAACTCGTCCTCGAATGCAAATCGGTTGTGGGGTCCAGGATTCCGTTCGAGGATGGGTCGTCCATCATCAGAGTCTGTTAAAGATGCGGCAGGTGAATGATTTCCAAATCGAGGTGGAATATCGTCATTGGCTTCCTGGGGATGATCGTTTTGGTGGCCCTCAAATTCAGCGTTCGCGCGAGCGGGAGGGAAGTCTAGTGGCTGTATCTGCTGTCGCTGTTGCTCATCGGGCCGGTCATTGGCGATAAGCCGTAAAGCTGCTTCACGTTCCCCCTCCGCAATGTTTGCCATTGGCTGTTGCTGTACTACCCATTCTCGGATGAGGAAAAGAAGTATAAATGCAATCACAACCAACAGAGTGATGAGCTGCCCTTCTAGGGTATCGATGATCATGTTGTTGATTGTCGGATAGGGCGTCAATGTGTTCAGGAATTTCACATCGGAAAGCCAGGACGGATATCGGGCCTTTGGCGAAACCGCGGTATTGTTCGGATCCGAGCCGTTTTGGCCAGTGCCGCCGGTTAATGCGGGAATAAAGAGACTGGGGATGACTTTCTTGATGAGCGTAAGCATCAGTGGATCCCCGGTAGGAGGTACTGCTGTTGTGGCGGACGAGATAGCACTGGAAGCCGCTGAAGCTGCTGAGTTCAGCGCAGTCGCAACTGCCGCAGTGTCATTGAATAATAACTGCGAACCAGCTGATTGAGCAGCGTGTGCTGCCCGCTGTTGGGCGGCCGCTCCAGTGGCCGACCAGTGACCATCAGCTAGCCAAAACAATGCTCGCCAGATTGCTCGCATGGACCACGGTAGCCATCCTAGCCAGACGAAGGCCACCAAGACGAAACGCATCCATGTGACGAGAGTGTGGAAACACTGTATGACCGCCTGCTTGATGAAAAGCGGTGTTGGAAGACTCTGGGGCATGTTCGGGTCGTATAGTTTGGTAAAGCGAAATGGTGTTTTGCAAAGCTCACAGTGCTTCTTCTGTGAATGTGCAAGCCATTCCACCAGGCA